GCGACTTCAGTTCAGTTCATCATACCACCCCGAAATCGACGGACAGACAGAACGGACAAATCAGACCATGGAACAGCTCATCCGAGCCACGTGCGACGACCCGACCACATGGGAACAGCAACTGCCACTCATCGAGTTCGCGTACAACAACTCGCCATCTGCCACGACCCAACAGTCACCGTTTTACCTGAACTACGGACAAGACCCCACAGTACCCATGACCCCGAATCCCGACAACCCAGTCCCACGCGCGCAACAGTTCGCAGAAATACTGCAAGCAGCACGAACCCGAGCAGCAGAAGCAATAAAAAAATCAAACGTCATCGCTAAGCGCAACGCCGACCGACACCGCCGCCCCGTCACTTACCAACCAGACGACCTGGTATTACTCGACACTCAAAACCTCCGCCTGCCCATCACCCCAAAACTCCGCCCCCGATATTGCGGGCCATTTCGCATCAGCCACATGATCACACCCGTCACCGTCCACCTCCTCCTCCCTGCTGACTGGTACGTCAGCCCGTCATTCCACGTCAGCCTGCTTCGCCCATACGTACCATCCACCAGCCAACTGCCTCGCAACCGCCCCGCCAACATGACACGACCACCGACAGAGCCAATCATCACGCCCAACAAAATATTGAGCCACCGAGTATGTGAACCACGGGGAGCCCGCAGGATCGAATTTCTGATCCGCTGGAAAGACCGCACGCCCACCGAAGACAACTGGGTCCCCCTGGATAGAATTGAGAATCACCCTGTCCTGACTGAGTATTTGCGTAGCCGAAACTTTCGAGATGTACACGCGCTCTCGTAAGAGGGGCCTCCTTGGGGGGGGGGGGGGTAGTGTAAGGAAAATTCATTTTCCTTACTTCGCGTCCCTGCTTACCGCGTACATACCCGTTCCCGCCATCGGCACCCATCCGTGAACGTTACCCGCTCGCGACATTCGCCTCGACCACGACCCCCGCCACTGTTCGCGATGCGACCCAACCTAACGGTTCGGTTGGTAACCCGCGCTCCGGACCTCCGCCTCGACAACTTCCCGAACCTCGGCGCTAGGCCCGTAGCGCACCCCAATTTCCCACATTACCGTTACCACGCTAGCTTCGCTATATAACTTCGCTCATGCTTTTCGCTCAACTGTATTGTTTGCTTCGATAGTGCAATTCTCGCTCGCTCACTCAATTGCACTCGTAACAGTACGTCATCACCACACCACACCCTACCCTAGCCTCGTCCATACCTATCTCCGTCATCCAAACCAAACCATCGCGCCTTCCCCTCGCCCTCGTCCCGCCCGTCGTCACTTCTCAATTTTCATCCCCCCTTTCTGCTTGCACTTGCTCACAGCCGCACACTGAAGCTGCTATTTTTCTGCGTGATAGGAAGCTTGCAGGAGCATAAGTGAGGAAATAGTCTATTCAGCGTCGACAAATTAAAAGAGTGCAAATCCAGCCCTTCGCCATAGTGTCGTCGACGCATTGAATATTTGGAATCGCGGCTCTTTTCATCCAGACTCCCTTGTCCGAATCGCGGCTCGCCATAGCTCTCAGCTTTCACGATAACGGCATCTAGGTAATTCCTTTTCTGAAACGCGTTCGAACTGCATTCAGGTCGTTACAATGTACCAGCAGTTGCTACACAATCTCGCGTCGGCTCTCGGAATGAAGCCACCGCAGGCAACCACCATAAACCCGACAGGTCCCGCTCACCTACTAAACTGGGACTTCGAAGTCACTTTTGGCTCCAAAACTTTCCGCGGGCGGTCTGAAGCTTGCCAGGTCATCTCCAGGGACAGAATGCCTGGGGGTGAGCACCTGCCACTCGGCTTTAAGAAGAAGGATGCGCAATTACTGGCCTACCGAGCAGCGTTTCGGAATGCGTTACTGGGAAAAGTTTCCTGTCCTGGCGCGCACCCGCCTGCAGACGCCGACCGCGTAGCAGAGCTGGCGAAGGAAATCGCGAAAGCGGAGGCGAAAGGTCTGTTACAAGTAGACTGCAGCCGCATGTTGCAAGGCATGCCCGCCTACACGACAGCCGGCTATGGACCATCACATTGCCCCTCGTTCACGACCACCGTTGAGTTACCCAACGATTGGGGTAGTTACTCTGGCATTTCCTGCCCGACGAAAGGCCTCGCTGAAAAAGATGCAGCTTTCGCGGCCTGGTGGGGATTTTTCATTGTGGGACCGTTCGTGCAAGGCGGAGAGGACGGCACTCTTATTGTGGTGGATCTTACAGAAAATGGGGAGGAGGACGCTGCAGCAGCACACGCGCTAGGTGCATTGTCGGGACCTTCAGGAGGGTTTCAGGCACAGGCAGTGAAGCAGGAAGGATGAGGAGAGTCTTAAGATCATCAGGAAGCGGATAAATGTGGTAGACGGAGGTGCTGCTGCGGCTGATGCTGCTGCTGATGCTGCTGCTGAAGTTGCTGTGGCTGCGGCTCTTCAGGTTCAGGGGGAGGGTGGGGGGACGGAGCACTATGCAGCCTAGCCGCAGAAGGAAAATTCAGGTTATGGAGATGTCAGCAGGGAGACTGCAGCAGTTGGGTTGGGGGCATTGTGCTGTGCCACTGTACAGGAACAGCACTGTTTAGATTTGTAAGGTCGTCGTTCCACAATCTGTGATGACTCCGAATTTCCTTTTCCTGTACTGTTGATGCACGTTATGTGACATCGTCCTTGGTGAGCTTGGATTGCAAACATTTTATCTACGCTGCAGGGTGATGGCTAAATTGTAGAAAATAGGGGCATGGATGGATGGGTGGCTGTGTGGTAGGCCCTCCAGTGCCTTCCTCACCTGACTCATTCACTTCATGCACTCCTTGTGGCTGGAGTTTAATTGCAGCAGATTTGATTACTGCAGTACTTGGTATCTATGTCTGCTCAAGCAGGCTCCTGTAGACGAGAGGATGGAAGCTGAGTTTGCCAATAACAATTTGTTATCATGGTTATTGTTGCATGCAGCATTTTCGTATCTGCAACATTCGAAAAGAAACGTGTAGCATTTTCCCATTTAAAGAAATGAGCCAGGTCAGAACGTCCACACCAGCCGCTCCAAGACTTGTGCGGCCATGGTAGTCCGCGCTCTGTACATGTCAGCAAGCGGTGGTCCCCAGCACCTGGCCCACAGCTTCGGATGAGTGTCGGCTCGTGCTTACGTGTCCACAGCACAACAGCGTGATTCGCCACCATTTCCGGCAGCCGTTCGACCACAAGCGCCTTCCATGAAATGGACCCATCAGAGACCAGCCAATATCATTGATGCTCAAAGTATGCCAGAGAAAGTTTGCATCGGTACTCAACCTCGATTTCTCATCGCTGATTGGTCGTCGCTTTTCAATCACACTTTTACGCTAATATCACCTCCGAAATGTGACAGAAACAAAACGCAATTACCTAAGTTAAATATGAACAATTGTGTCGAGGTGCTACCCAAGAAATAAAAATTGTATCAAGCGCAAATTGCGTTAAAAAAACCATTTAGGAAAAAGGATGCAGACTGGGAATAATTCAACAAAATGGGGTCGACGGCACCGTCAACCCTCCGTGGACCATGGGTTGCTGTCCTAGAACAGAAGAAAATTATAATTACACCGAATGGCATGTTATGTAACGGAGGCATCAACCTTAAACGTCATGCGACAAGGTGTTTAAGGTTGATGCCATCCGTACTGGATGCCTTTACGCATCGAGTTTATTTTTATTTGTCTGCGGGCACCAAGCTTTGCTGGACGGTGTCGTTTTTTCGTTGCAATAATCCAAGTGTAAGGCATAGTTATACAAACTTGAAGGCTCATTTAAGGTTAATATCCAAGCGTTTTAGTATTTTCCTGTTTTGTTGGGTACGTGCGGTTGAGGTGCTGGTGGCGAATTGTTTTAGAATTGTGCTTAAAATTAGATGAAACAGTAAATGTAGTTACTCGACCGAGAAAATGTCGGTTGATTACGTTTGCAAACCGCGCCTGGCATAATCTGAGTATCAATGATATTGGCCGCATCAGAGACCGCGACGAAGCATGAGGGTGTAGAATCGATGGTTTCCCGCCAACCAATCTCGAGGTAACCAGTCTCGCTGAGAACAGCCATGGCGAGGCATAACCCTGCACCGCAATATCGTAAAAGCTTCAATCAAGGCTGGTCGGCTTGCTCCTTGATCAGCTCGACTCCCGTCAATCACGCCAAAGAGGTTGCGGAGGACGGTTGGTGAGACCCTGACTCTCGTAACCCCTGCTCTTGGAAGTACCGCACTGATCCTATCGTGAGTCGAGTGGCGAGACTGACGTAGTCGTGCTTGCTAAACGACCAGCTCTAACCGTGACCCGATCAGCTATGGCTAGCCAGCTAGTCGTTCGCGTTTCCACAACCGCGGCTCCGACGCTAGCGGCAGCAGCGGCTGCAGCAGTCGCCACAGCAGCAGTCAGCTCCGAACTCCCCGATCGTCGCGCCGCTCCGAGCCCCGCCGTGCTCGTCCATTCCGCCATGGCCGCTCCTCTCGCCACCTCTGGTCGCCACCGCTTCACGCATGCCATAGCCGATCCTGCCGCTTCGCGATTCAAAACGTCCGGGGTAGGTATAGCTTCGTCCGTGATTCTCCAATCCGCCGTCTCCGCCGCCGCCGCTCGTTGCCCGGAGACTAGTCTCGCCGCTGTCTCTTCCATCTCGTTCCACGCCGCGTCCCCCGCCTCCCATCATCTACCACCAGTATCGTACAGAGGTTTAGGCGGCATGTTTACAGGATCCCCATACGCGTTAGAGTCCAATCGCTTTTTCTCGCCTTCTCGTCAGCAGCTTTCCCGTCTTATCGCACCGTCGACCCTCTTCCCCAATCCGCGATTGTCGAACCGATCGATCGCAGCAAGTTATGGTAGTAATTCAAGTGGTAACCCTTTCGGATTCTCCTTGGGAAACATTTTCTCCCTAACACCGTCATCTTTACCGATCTCGGGTCCGTTTAACGGCGACGTCCATGCGTCCAAGCCTTTTCACCAGTGGCACATGCCAGCCGTCAGATCTAACGGCGACGGCGTAGCTAGTGAATTGGACGGGTCTGGCCCGCCGTCAGAAGCCGCGAAGCCGGTGGTGGTGCTGCTGGGGTGGCTCGGCGCGCAGCAGCGGCATTTGCGGCGGTACGCTGAGTGGTACACGTCACGCGGTTTCGACGTAATCACGTTCGTCATCCCTTTTAAGGACATCCTTAGTATCCGACCCGGAGAGAAGGCGGAAGTCCACGTGGACAGTTTAGTCGACGAGCTGCACAGGTGGCTCTCGGGAATTGGTCCAGAGGTGGCCTTATCCGCCACGTCAGCCCCCGTGAGTCAAGGAGAGGCGAAAGAACCGCGCACGCTGATGTTCCACACTTTCAGCAACACGGGGTGGCTGACCTATGGGGCCGTACTTAATAGGCTGCATGATAAGTACGGCAAGGCAGCTATAGACGTGGCGATTAAGGGATGCGTCGTGGATTCCGCGCCGATCCTGGAGCAGGACCCGCAGGTGTGGGCGCGCGGATTCGCCGCCGCGATCCTGCAGAAGCGCAGCTCCGCCACTCGCGCGGGGCGCCCGGAGGTTTCCGCCACTGCGGAAGCGCCCGCTACTGCCGACTCAGCAGTTTCGGCGGCCGAGTCATCTTCCGCCGGCGGCGCTGCGAAGGGGAGCGCTGAAGTTGTTGAGAAGGAGGCGAATGCGAAGGTGTGGGGAGTGACGGATAGAGGCGAGTGGGACGCACAGCCAAGAGTCCCCGCCGCGATCGACGGTCCTAAGCACCACCATCGCAGTTCCCTAGGCTTCGCGTCTCTCACTGCAGAGATGGATGTTGTGGGGGAGGGGGAGGAGGGGGAGGAGAGGAGGCGGAGCGCGGGTGGTGGTGTAGCGGGAGCGCGAGCGGGGGAGGGAATGGCGGTTAAGAAGGTGGTGAAAGCGGAAGAGGATGCGGTGGAGAAGACTTTGCTGAACGTTCTGCGAAGGTTCTTCACGTGGGTGCTGCAGCTCCCTGTTGTCAAGACGTAAGTTGATGCTTCGAGAAAGCTCTGACATGCATACCTGACATGCATAAAGGACGTGCCTAAATACTCAAAGCACCTGCAGACATTGTGTCATGTTGCATTGCGTCATGGGTGCTGCAGCTCCCAGTTGTCAAGACGTAAGTTGATGCGTAGAGAAGGCTCTGACATGCTCTGTCATGCGTAAACGAAGCACTTGCATAACTTTTTTCATGTCACATCATGTCGTGTTGCACTTGGTCGCATTGCTTCATGGCATGTTACATAATTTCGTGTTGCGCAACGCATGTTTTAGTTGACATTGCCATTTGCCATTCGATTTCTGGGCTCAGTGTTCAGTTTGCATAATCAGGGATCCTGATTGTTATTGCTTTTGTGTTTCCCACTGTTGTTGTTCGTATTGACTTTCTCCCTCCCCTGATCCTTCTCATCCCACTACTCCATCCATCCACATCCAGTCCATCATCTAAGTTCCTTCTTCTGCTATTCCCAATCCTCTCTGCTACCTCCCCCAACCCCCACTTGCTTTCCCCTCCCGTTTATTCTGGATAACAGCAAGCTCGATACAGTCACAAGCACGCTCGCTTCAGAACAGCCTGAATGCCCGCAGCTGTATCTCTACAGCACAGCAGACACTGTGATCCCCGCAGAGGCTGTAGAGTCGTTCATCCAACGGCAGAGATCGCGCGGATGCGCAGTCATGTTCAAGAGGTTTGAATCCTCGCCGCACGTGGATCACTACCGAACCTTCCCAGAAATTTACTCGGCCGAGCTAGAGGCGTTTTTGAAAAAGTGCCTGCAGCAGCCCAAGCAGCAGCAGGATCGGGGACAGAGAGGTGGACAGGAGCAGCAAAGGAACAGTAGGGAAAAAGGGAGTGGGAGAGAATCTGGTTCTGGGTTACAGCCAGCTCTCGCCTTTGCTCAATCACAGGAATGATGATTGCTGGTACTGCAGCCACACCAGCATATTCCGCATCCGAGGCTGTTACGGTGCTAGGGGAACATGGGCTCCCCTTAGTTAGGGTAGGTGAACACGGTTTTTACGCATCCAGGACCACGCTGTTCATTTATTTGTTAGATGAACACATGCGTAAGTGATTGCAGTGAAGGCTGACGCATTGATACATTGCTGGTTGTGCAATACACGAGGGGTACACTCACATCACCGGTCGGTTACATATGGGACTATGATCATGGGGTGTGTCATATGGGTTCACTTTGTTGCAATGGGGATGGGGTGCAATGCGACATGACATGGTATTACCGGTAGTACCGGTATGAATGTGTCGGCTAGTTTGCCTTCTTACCGTAATGTTTGGGTAGGATCTGAAGCAAAAGGAAGTTCGTTATGGCGGGCCCTTGGTCAAATTTAAGTGGTTTTAGAATCTAGACTAGTAAATTGTATGCCATAAATTAGTTCAATCCAATGCTACACCTACGTAAGCTAGCCATATCAACATCAGAGCATTCAGTTCAGAAGGGGACCTAATCTTGTCCCATGTTCTAGGCCTAACAAGAATGCACTAGGATGGTGGGCATCTTCAAATGCTACACGAGCTACACCACACCACCCAAATTTGACCTATTATAATCTAAATACTCGGCATGCGCCAAGCTCATCTCGGTTCTCAAACACACCCACTCCGGGTCATGTGGACAACTGGGGATGAGTGAGGGTAAGGCACAGAATGCTAATGGGAAGGGGAAGAGAGGGAAAAAGGGCCAAGGGGAGGAACAACGGAAGGAAAGGGGAAGGGAGTGTAGGTGCCAGTGATGTTTCAAAAACCCCCCTCGGAGGTCATACTCCTCTGCAGGTCATCTCCCTCTCAACTCGAAACTGTCAACTCGGGACTCTCAACCTTTGGGACCATCTTATCGAGCCATCAGCTCACGGCATCTTGTAACAAGCTCGTGCAATTCTCCAATGCCACACCCCTCGACTGCAATTCTCAAGCTTGGTGAATAGTATGTGGGAAACAGCTCCCCTAATGGACACGGCTCGTTTGCTGGACACCCCGAGTAGAACGAGCAGCAGCCTGCACATGCTCTCAGGATGTAACATAACACCCCCCTTCCAGAGCATCTTTTAACCGGCTGCAGTATGTGGGAGACAGGCCTGGGAATAGCCATCCCCTTCTCCAGTGGACACCCCAGTTTGTAGAGAACAGAAACCCGCAGGTACAGCAACTCCTGTGGTGGTGTCAAAACTGTGAGACCAGGGTTTAGGGTATGGCATACCAAAGGCAGCCTTGCTGCGGGAGCTGCCGCTGTGGATGTGAGAAACGACCCCACACCAGTATTCTGCTTCTGCAGCTGCTGCTGCTGCTGCTGCTGCTGCTTCTGTTTCTGCTTCGCTTCTTCTGCTGTTTCTGTTTCTGCTTCTGCTGCCAAATCTATCCTGTCCCGTCTCCCGCGCCATCATTGCTTTCCGCTGTCACCACCACTATTGCCTATTACCCGTCACTTATTCCCTATCCCAGTGATTCCTATTGCATACTGTCAGGGTCATTATCCCAATGCCCCAACCCACTGGAATGCTGATGCAGCCTCTGCCAACAAAAGCGACAAGGAAATGAGGAACATGGCTGCTTTCTTCCTCCTCCATCTCTTCCTCCCTCCTTCCCCTTTCCTCCTTCTCTCCCCCTCCAGGAAGGTTCCCTCCTGTCACCTCCCACTTACCAGGACGGATTCCTGTTGGTGCGTTGCAAAGCAACCTTCCAGGCAGCTTCCTGCGGAGGAACCTTCCATGCAGCTTCTTGGGAGGGAAGCTTCCAGGAAGTTTGTGCAACGAGGTAAGAGGAAGGCGGCTGGTAGGCGGTGTGCTGACACACAACACACCACGACAAGGGACCCTATGAATGGGGGAAGACGTGGGGAACAGGAAAGGAGTGCAGGGAAGGAGAGGGATATGATATGAGCATCGAAGGCAGGGGGCTGGTAGGCGGTGTGCTGACACACAACACACCACGACGAGGGACCCTGTCATGGGGGGGGGAAGACGTGGAAAACAGGTGCGAGTAGGGGAAGCATATGAGCATAGAGGAAGGCGGTAGGCGGTGTGCTGACACAACACACCACGACGAGGGACCCTGTCAATGGGGGGAACGTGGGGCATGGGAAAGAGGAAGCATAAAAAAAGAGGGGATAAGGGAAGGCATATGAGCAAGAGAGCTGCCCGGTAGGCATTGGCGCTGACACACAACACACCACAAAGGAGAAAACTTGGGGCAAGGTAAAGGAAAAGGGGGAGGGAACGGGGGCATAACAGCACGAAAGATGGCTGGGAGGCGGTGTGCTGCCATACAATGCACCTCTGGAATCCCCCCCCAGCCCCATCCAGCCCCCTCCAACCACCTCCAACCCCTCTCAACCCCTTCCTCTTCTCACCTGCGGGGCGCACTTGCTGCAGTGGTAGTGCCCGCATGCCAGCTGCATGGTGTAGGCCGCTTCTGGGGGAGGGCGCATCCGGAGGGCATGCAACACAGGCAGAGAAAAACGAAGATTGAGAGAGAAGTGAGTCAGGAGAAAGAAAGAACGGGTGACACAACATGAGTGGGCGCGACGGGAGAATCAATGGGGACAGGGACACACCCAGGGCTCTTCTTACCAGAGCAGGAATCGCATGTGTGACCCCACACGCTCGCCACCACCCTCCCATGCTCCTCCTGCGGCTGCTGCTGCTGTGCATCTCCCATACTGAGTTCCCCAATAGAAGCAGTGAGCTGCGTCGCTGCGTTCCCTGCTGCTGCCTCTGCCCCCACTGTGTGACCCCACAGGGATGCCGTGCTTGAGACATGCTGCTGCTGCTGCTGCTGCTGCTGCTGCTGCTGCTGCTGCTGTATAGAGCCGACAGGGGGGAACGCACTTGCAGAAAATGGAGCAGCAGGAGCAAGGGAGGAGGCAGCAGCAGTAGAAATCCCACCGAACGAGGCTCGGCGGGTGGAAACAGGCAGTGGCAGCTGCTGCTGCTGATGCTGCTGATGCTGCTGATGCTGCTGATGCTGCTGATGCTGAATATGAAGATGATCAAGAGGGGGAGGAGGAGGAGGGGGAGGAGGGGGAGGGGCTAGAGCGGTCGGAAGCGACGGGTTGAAGAACCGAGAAAGGGCGGCAGAGGACGCAGAGGAAGCAGACGAAGGAACAGGTTCCGGGCGGTCTGCGTCGTCCCATGCTGCGGCGGAGCCAGCTGTGAGCGCAGCAGCGGGCGGCAGGCGGTCTTGGTTTTTGTCTCTAGTGGTGGCACTGGCGGTGCTGGCAGTGCTGGTCATTAAGGGAGACGTGAAGGGGCTGTCAGGGAGAAGCGAGTGCAGATCGCTGGGGAAATAGAAGGGGGGAAAGGCAGGGGAGAGAGAGAAATGAGCCTTCGAGTGATGCAGCACTGGTGATGCTGGCGGTGCTGGTCATTGAGAATTCTCAAAAACCAGGGGCGAGGTGAAGAGGCTGTCAGGGAGAAGCGAATGCAGATCGCTGCAGGGTGGAAGAAGAGAGGAAAGAGGGAATACAGGGGGGACGGAGGGGGGGAAGAGCGAATGAGCCTTTGAATGACGCGCTGCTGGCAGTGCTGGTCATTAGGGGTGGGGTGAAGAGGGTGTGTGGGAGAAGCGAGTATAGATCGTTGAGTGATTGAAGCGGGACGAGGGAAGAAACGGAGTGAGAGAGGAGAGAAAGAAATTCAGAGAAACAGAGTGAAAGTTTTCGCAGAGTGACAGAGAAGAGAAAAAGGGAGCAGCGGAGAGGAGCGAGGGAGAGAGCAGCGAGGGAGGGAGGAGCGAGGGAGAGAGCAGCGAGGGAGGGAGGAGCGAGGGAGGATCGAGAGCGAGCTTACAAGACGTCATCGAGCTGCCGGTGTGTGGGCGTTTGAGGAAGGGAGGGAGGGAGGGAGGGAGGGAGGGAGGGAGGGAGGGAGGGAGGGAGGGAGGGAGGGAGGGAGGGAGGGAGGGAGGGAGGGAGGGAGGGAGGGAGGGAGGGAGGGAGGGAGGGAGGGAGGGAGGGAGGGAGGGAGGGAGGGAGGGAGGGAGGGAGGGAGGGAGGGAGGGAGGGAGGAGAGCAAGGGAGGGAGGGAGGAGCGCAAGCTTACAAGACGTCATCGAGCTGTCGGTGGGTGGGCGTTTGCGGAAGGCCCTCGGGCCCTGCATCGCCTGTTAGGGACACGAGGGAGACACACAGGGAGAAGCGCAGCAGAGGGAGAAGCGGGCGGGAAGGGGGGGACGAACAGGCGTGAGTTGCCTCGAACACATCACTGAGCTGCCATAGCCGTGGAGGACAACTGCCATAGCCGTGGAGGACAACTGCCATAGCCGTGGAGGGAGGAAAGGAACAAGAGAGGAACGACGAGGGAGGACGACGCGACGCCAGAGCACTTGCGACGAGTTTTGAGAGAGCACTTGGGAGTCGACTCAAAACACGACGCGACGCCAGAGCACTTGGGACTGTCCCAAACCCGCACGATGAAGACGCTGTCTGGGACGTGGGCATAGCGCACGTCCCGGTGCCAGTGGCAGTGGCGGCATAGCCAGGGAGAGAGGAAAGGAACACGAGGGAACAAGAGAGAGGGCGAGGACGAGGACATAAGCAAACACTCACCGTGTGGGAAGTGGGCTGTAGTGCCGGTAGCGGTGCCGGTGGCGGTGGCGCCATAGCCGGGGAGCGAGGAGAGAGAAGAGAGGGAGGAGGAGGCGAAGGAGAAAGAGTGATCCATGGGAGTGCGAGCAGAGGCGAATCCGGTAAAGCCTGAGGAGATGGAGGAGGAGAAGGAGGAGGAGAAGGAGGAAGAGGCGAGGCTGAGAGAGGAGGGCTTGAAAAGGTGCTCGTCTGTACCACCACCACCCATCCCTCCCATGCCTCCTCCGATGCCGCCCATACCACCCATACCCATTCCACTTCCCATTCCCCCCACGCCCTCCATTCCCCCCACGCCCTCCATTCCCCCCACGCCCCGCATGCCCCCCATGCCCCTTGCGCCCCGCAACGCATCCACGTCACTGCCGGAAAACGCACGTCCCACGTCCCCCAGAGCGATTCCGCCCAGCCCTAAAGATTGCCGAGAGTTCTCCTCCTGCTGCTGCTGCCACTGCTGCAGCCGCTGCCGCACCTGCCACTGCTCAGCGCTTGCCCCCTGCTGCTGCTGCTGCTGCTCCTCTTGCCGCTGCTGCTGCTGCTGCTGCTGCTGCAGCCGCACCTGCCACTGCTCGTGCCCTCCCCCCTGCTCTTCTTGATGCTGCTGTTGGTGGTGGTGGTAGTGCTGCTGCTGCTGCTGCTGCTGCTGCTGCTGCTGCCGGTGCTGCCACGCATGCTGCGGAAGCTGCTGCGAAGCTGCCTCCCGAAACGACAGTGACTGATACAGGCTCTTGCGCCTGGGCGGCGCGTCATACACAGCCGCGGAAGCAGCTGCAGCCGCAGCCGCAACAGCCGCTGAAGACGGCGAATACGCAGAGGAGAACGACAGAGAAGCAGAGGCAGACGCAGAAGCGTAGATAGAGGAGGAGGTACGAGCGTAGGGAGAGGGGGCGGCCAAGGGCGATACACCTGTGACTCCACCCGGAGTGCCAGCAGCGGCAGCGGCGGCGGCGGCGGCGGCAGGAGAAGGGGAAGGGGAGGGAGATGGGGAGCCGTATTGAGATGCTTCGTATGAGGCTGACACGTGGTGGTGGTGAATCGGACGGCTGTGATCGCTCCCCCACCCGCCTTCCAGACGAGATTGCTGTTGCTGCGACTGCAGGTGACGCTGCTGCTGCTGCTGCGGGTCATGCGGTTGCTGCTGTTGCTGCCCTTGCTGTATCGGTTGCTGCTCCTCCCCTTCGTCTGCTTGCTGCTGCTGCGCCGCCGGCGGTTGCGGCTGGTGCTGACGTGGCTGCTGCAACGGCCGCTGCTGTGGCTGCTGAAGAACATTCTTGGCGGGAAAGAGTCGCTTCGACGCCTTGGGAATGGGCGGCGGGGGGGGATCGTCTGCAACACGCGAAACAGAGACGACAAATGTACAACAGAAATAACACGTCAGTACTGTACCGAAACGAGGAAATTAAGAACAAAGTGCGATAAAATGAGTAATATACAAAGTACACAAAAGAAACAATTATTGCAGAAACCACCATCACAACACGGTTTCACCACAACGGTCACATTACAGGCGATTCCAAACACAACGATCATATCACCTGAATATGGCTCCATGGCGCCTTTCGCGGGCGACACTTGCGCGCCGCGGTCCACACCCGTGCGCGTCTTCCGGTCCCCGTGCACGGCGGCGGCGCTGCCGTGGCGCGATTTCTCGCGGTACGGCTTGACGAGCACGCGCGAGTCGCCGATGTGGTGCGGGTTACCCTCCTCGAGAATTGCTTTCACGCTGTGCGCGAACGCGAACGTCACGAATCCGAACATGCGCTTCTGCTGATGCGGCACGCGGACTTCGTGGACTGGGCCGAACTTGCTGCGCGCAGGGGGAATGAAGGGAGGGGGAAAAGCGGAAGGATTAGGGGGAGCGAACCCGAACATGCGCTTCTGCTGATGCAGGGAGGAGAGAAGGGGGAAATGGGCGGCGGCGGGAGGAGGGGGAGGAGGAATAAGCAGAGCCCAGATAGGAGGGAGAAGAAAGGGGAAAAGAGGAATATACTCTACGGCTGCCACGTGTACCTGAAATGAGCTGCAACGTCATCCTCCGTGAACGTGCTCTCAGCGGGGAAAGTGAGATAAATTTGTCGCGACCCCGGACTAGGCGGCGCCAAATCCGCTCGCTCCTTAAACGTTATAAACTTCTTCGATTCCTCCAAAACCGGCGACCCCTTTAGAACGATCGCGCGCTGCCCGCTCGGCCTATCGACGAACGCGATCGACGATTTCATCTGCGCGAGTAACTTAGTTAGACTTAGTCCGGGCCGCCCCTGCCGCTGGCTCTCTGTTAAGTAACCCTCCGCTTGCAACGGTTTCCCGAACCGCTCCGCGTATAGCTGGGGCAGCGATGCCACGTGGATAGGCCCCTTGTGGTCTCTAAGCAGCTCGTAAAGCTCCGTCTCGAGCCGCTCCAACGTGAAACCCGCCGCAGAACCCGGGCTGCCGCCCGCAAGCCCGCCAACAGCAGACCCGGCCACACCAGCACCGCTACCGTCGCCGCCGCCACCGCCGCCACCACCGCCGGTTGCGGTGTTACTGCCAGAAAAGGAATCTCCACCGTCACCGCCGTTACTGGCATCACCACCAGATCCTTCGTCGCCGCCGCCGCCGCCGCTCGCGGCCGTGCAGCTCAAAGCAGCAGTCTCTTCCGAGCCTTGCGGCTCGGGGTAAGTCGCAGCCGCCATCATGCCGTCCGAGCTCGTCGCACTGGGCGACCCCGGCGACGACACGGGCGCCGTCGCCGACTGGCCGTGCGACGCGTGCAGGAAGCGACACGCGCTGCCATGCTTGCAGAATCCGCGTGCGAAGTGATGGCATCGCTTGAACATGAACGACTGCGAACTCTCGGGCGACGACCCGTAGTCGCTCGCAGCGCCACTTGCGCCGTGAAGCGCGGTCAGGTGCGGAATCGCTGGAACATCCGTGGGGATTGGTCGCGCTCCCGCCGGAGCAGCAGCAGCATCTCCGGGAGCGGCGGCGGCGGCGGCGGTTTCGGTTGGTTCAGCGAGGGGCGTATTGGGAGAGAGCGACGCGAGGGCTGCTTGCGTCGAGGGAGAAAAACGTTCGGAATGGGGAAATCTGGCGCGGGAAACGAGAAAGAGGAAGAGAAACAAAATAAATTAAATCAAAACGAGAGAAAAAAAAACGAAAAGACAACAGGACGAGCATGCCATGGTCAGTTGTAGGGCCCACCGGAAGTTCAGGGGGGAGGCTGACAGAGCTGGGGGGTTGAAAGAGAAGTGAAAATGAACGGGACAAGTGGCGCAGACCGGGAAAGAAAGAAAGAAAGAAAGAAAGGAAAAAAAAAAAAACAAAAAACAAAAAAAAAGTCGCTGCGGTTTGAGAATATGCATGGTAATAAAAAAACAGAAGATGATAGGTACCTGTCTGTGGAAGCCTGGTGGGCTTGGTGAACGAAGGACTGAGCGGCGGCGGTCCGTTGTCGCGCAACGCACGCCGCGCTCTCCTGCTGAAGCCGGATTTCCGCCAGAACCCCCTGTAGCGCACCCCCATGCACGCCCCCCCAGGCAGAACAACAAAACACGGCTTTAGAACGGTCTCGCGGATTAAGGCTTAATCGCCTGTCATAATTTACTGCCACCGAAATATGGTAGCTCCAGTTTCCGAGCCAACAACAACCCAAAAAGGCAAAGAAAGAGGAACGAGAAAGAAAAACGGAGTGGGCGGATAAAGTGCCCACAAGGTGTTGACATCCTCGTATGAATGAGCACACACTGACTGAGAATCCGTTTCGTAAACCCAATAACGGACATGACTCTCGAGGCATCTCAAAAGAAAAATTCCGCGTACCTGGTGTTGCCATCCCGGAATGGACGAATACACGCTGAGGTTCCGCTTCGCGATCCCAATGGCCGACATGAGCTGCGCGTCGGAGCCTTTCGCGAGCGCCGCTAAGTCCTGGTCAGCATTCTCGCGCATTAGCATCCACCCGAGTAGCTTCGACGCGTTGCCTCCTTCGAGTGATTGCAGTCGAGAGTAGAGGATTTTGGACGCTTCTTGAATGTCCATCTAAAGGCCCATGCGTGTTAGCACGCGGGAAACCTGGTGTAATCGGTTCTGGTCAACATGTCGCCATTGCATGTGCAGAGGATAGCAAATAAAAAAACCTAGGTATAACGCACTAGAATTTGTAACGCGGAACGACCAGCCTAACGAGCTAACGAAACCCTAGTAGCAGCAGCAGCAGTAGCAGGTAGGCTGTTCTATTAGACCTCTAATCCTTTTGTCGTGGGAGGAAGTTGTTGACGCACAGGGAGGGACGCTTCTCGGGGCCTTTTGGGCCTTCGGCTTCGTTTCCTCGCTGCTGCTGCTTTTCTCTCTCGTCCACTGTTCTACGCTCTGCTCGTCTGCTCTGGTCGTCTCGCCTGTTGAGTGTGCGTCGCTGGGTTGACTTGTCGCACGCACTCCGCGCACGTTCCGTCCGCAGTGACCTCTGCTCACTGGCGACGTTACCTTTCTCTTTTAGCTAATGTGGGGCGGAGCGGAACAAAATTGCGAGCTAACCGAGATTCAAATTCGAGTGGAAATGTCACGGGCTGATCAAAAGCAGTTGTGGGAGTTTGAAAGGTCAGACGCTCAGAAAAACTCCGCTCCACTCAGGAGCGTCTTTTTGTTTAGTTTCGGGCACGATAACAATTTCTCGCTGCACTTGGCTGCCCGGTTTGGGGTAAGCCACACGCGGAAGGGATTCAAAGTTGCGTGCAGCCATTGCGACGGGTTCCGCAGATTGAGGGTTTCAAGATATTGCGGGCGGAACATGCTGGCTGGCGCGGACGAATGAGCTTGCGCCAGCGTGCATCAAGCAGGTGCCGCCGCGACAGAACAAGGAGCAGCCGCAGCGCTGCCCGCCCATTCGCAGGGCAGACCGAGAGAACACATGCCCCTCCGTGCAGCACTCTTGCAGCAGCCGAAGCGAGTCGCATTAGAGGTGACCACGAGAGATGCCCACAAGACGACGCCGTGGGGATGAGTCGCACGTATGGTGTTGGCGACGCCGATGTGTCGCATGGACACTGATGTGCCGATCACGTCGAGGTGAGCGGTCAACGACCAATGAGGCAACGGGAGGATGCTTCGTATGCGATGGGCAAACCACATCTGTTGCCATCGCATCGTGCCGTACGATGAGCCTGAAAATATCGCACAGCAGATGCGCTCACCCACCTACAAGCACGCACAGCCCCTTTTGATGACCAATGGCGAGAGTGATTGATGTCGCACTGACTGTCAGCATGACATGCGCTGTAAGTGTTCTGCAAAAGTACCTATAATAAGCACCTCGATTGAGTAATTAGTGGAGGGAATGAACTAGTTTCTACTACTGCCAAGAATTACTTAACCCAAACATAAATCAATCAGCATTAGGTATATCAATGCAAGGCTGACTCAATGAGCAATTTACAGTCGTCACTGACTAAACGTATGAATCCCTTGAGTATGTTTCAAGAAACTAGGAGAAATTAATTGATGCTTCTTGAAGAATTCTCTAAAACCATAAGTGCTAACGTCATAGTTGTACTGCATTCGTTAAAATCCAAGGAAATGGGAAAGAAAAGGGGGGGGCAAAACGATATTAGCCACAGAGATGCAAGGAACGTAGTAAAGGCCCGCAACACAGCGACAAACCAGTCCTCGCTTCAGAGGAGACGAACATTCTGTTGCACACACTTACCATACAAACTGCAGGAAAACAACCACAGCGCTACAGAAAAAAATATGCAGATCGCCCAGCATAGGTTAACTGATACAACACCCCATACACCATATGGCTTACAGGCAGAACCATGACACTGTAGCGAAACACTCCCGCTGCCCCTGTAGCTCCTCCCGCAGAGGGGGTCGGGTCCCGCTGCGCCTCTTTCGAGTTATAGAAGACCTCTATAAAGGGGTAGTCCTTGCGCTGTCGAGCGATGCAGAAGCCAAGGTGCTTGGGGCAATCCACCTGCCAGTCATGCCATCAGCCATGCCAGCAGACAAGCCATCAGAGAGAGTTGTGATTTGAGTCGACTCAAAACACACAAGGGGTAGTCCTTGCGCTGACGGGCGATGCAGAAGCCAAGGTGCTTGGGGCAATCCACCTGCCAGTCATGCCATCAGCCATGCCAGCAGACAAGCCATCAGAGAGAGTTGTGATTTGAGTCGACTCAAAACACACAAGGGGTAGTCCTTGCGCTGACGGGCGATGCAGAAGCCAAGGTGCTTGGGGCAATCCACCTGCCAGTCATGCCATCAGCCATGCCAGCAGCCATGCCATCAGCCATGCCAGCAGCCATGCCAGCAGCCATGCCATCAGCCATGCCAGCAGCCATGACCCACCCATGCCAGCAGCCATGACCCACCCATGGCATCAAAGAGCGTTGTGATCTACTTTAACGAACATACATGAAATCATAAGTTTTGAAACAGCACTTAAAAATGAGCAGTGACTGGAAGAGCACTTGTGAAATTATAGATGCCTGACAATTTGATTGTAGCAGCATCCGGGCATGGCCTGTGCTTGTAAGCAAACCCGCGAACGATAGACGGGATCAGCGGTGAACAGAGCAGCGGTGAACAGAGCAGCGGTGAACAGAGCAGCGGTGAACAGAGCAGCGGTGAACAGAGCAGCGGTGAACAGATCAGCGGTGAACAGATCAGCGGTGAACAGCATGGGGGGAGCAGCATGGGGGGAGCAGCATGGGGGGAGCAGCATGGGGGGAGCAGCATGGGGGGAGCAGCATGGGGGGAGCAGCATGGGGGGAGCAGCATGGGGGGAGCAGCATGGGGGGAGCAGCATGGGGGGAGCAGCATGGGGGGAGCAGCATGGGGGGAGCAGCATGGGGGGAGCAGCATGGGGGGAGCAGCATGGGGGGAGCAGCATGGGGGGAGCAGCATGGGGGGAGCAGCATGGGGGGAGCAGCATGGGGGGAGCAGCATGGGGGGAGCAGCATGGGGGGAGCAGCATGGGGGGAGCAGCATGGGGGGAGCAGCATGGGGGGAGCAGCATGGAAGGAGCAGCATGGAAGGAGCAGCATGGAAGGAGCAGCATGGAAGGAGCAGCATGGAAGGAGCAGCATGGAAGGAGCAGCATGGAAGGAGCAGCATGGAAGGAGCAGCATGGAAGGAGCAGCATGGAAGGAGCAGCATGGAAGGAGCAGCATGGAAGGAGCAGCATGGAAGGAGCAGCATGGAAGGAGCAGCATGGAAGGAGCAGCATGGGCGGGGGGAAATATTGGTAGAGTAGCATGTTTACCCGGATGAAGTTGACATGGGGGTGGAGATCAGCTGACGCTTGTCGAAACATCAGCGAGAAGAGGCATGGGGGCAGCAGCAAGGACAATAGGAGGACGCCCATGCGCGGAGCAGCATGCTTACCCGGATGAAGTTGACATGGGGGTGGAGATCAGCTGACGCTTGTCGAAACACCTCATCGAAATGACGCGTGTGTGCACAGCTGCAGGGTGGAAAAGAGAGCAGAGGAGGAAGGCGCAGGAATAAACACTCAGTAACGTTGTGTGCGGGAGTGGCAAAGTGACAAGGGCAACAAAACGAGGGGGTAAGTGTAGATGAGATGAGGGAGGAAGGCTCAAGAACAAGGGGAGGGTTCGAATGCAAGAAGAATTCTATAATTTTTTTAAGACAACACCGAAGTGCTTACGTCACGTCTCAAAATCCCCCGAAGTATCAAAAGCGTCTTAATTTGTCTCATAAGTTACCTCCGGGACGAACAAGGGAATGCTGATGAGATGCCCACCCACACGTGTGTGCCTGATCCAGCAAAAGACAATCCCTTGTGTATTGAATTGAATAGGACTTCTCGCAAACGCGAGACCCACGAGAAGGTGCACACCACGGCGACCGGCTTCCACTGCTGCAGCAGCGACACGAACTGCCCACCCACAACTGCCTCCTGATGCAACAGGCGAAACCCCCTGTGCGTATCAGAACAGACTCGCCTGATACGCCAGAATCACGAGAAGGTGCACAGCACGGCGACCGGCTTCCCCTCCTGCAGCAGCGATGCCAACTGCCCACCCACAACTGTCTGCCTGATGCAACAGACGAAACCCCCTGTGCGTATCAGAACAGACTCGCTTGATACGCGAGACTCACGAGAAGGTGCACTCACGAGACGTGAAAAGCTGAAGGGCACTCACGAGAAGGTGCGCACCACGGCGACCGGCTTCCACTGCTGCCGCAGCGACACGAACTGCCCACCCACAACTGTGTGCCTGATGCAGCAGAGCAGATGCGGGTTGTTGTGCTAGACTCATGCCAGACTCACGAGAAGGTGAAGGCAACGGCGACGGGTTTCCCCTGTTGCAGCAGCGACACGAACTGCCCACCCACAACTGCCTCCTGATGCAACAGACGAGACTCCCTGTGCGTATCAGAACAGACTCGCCTGATACGCCAGAATCACGAGAAGGTGCACAGCACAGCGACTGCCTTCCCCTCCTGCAGCAGCGACACGAGCTGCCCACCCACAACAGCGGCACCACCAACGTTGCTGGTGCGTTTCAGCAGCAGCACCAAGGCAGCGGCACCACGCGAAGGTGAAGGTGCAAGCAAGGCACTCACGAGACGTGAAAAGCTGAAGGGCACTCACGAGAAGGTGAAGGCCACGGCGACTGGCTTCCCCTGTTGCAGCAGCGACACGAACTGCCCACCCACAACTGCCTCCTGATGCAACAGGCGAAACCCCCTGTGCGTATCAGAACAGACTCGCCTGATACGCCAGAATCAAAGAAAGGTGCACAGCACGGCGACCGGCTTCCCCTCCTGCAGCAGCGACACGAGCTGGCCACCCACAACAGCGGCACCACCAACGTTGCTGGTGCGTTTCAGCAGCAGCACCAAGGCAGCGGCACCACGCGAAGGTGAAGGTGCAAGCAAGGCACTCACGAGACGTGAAAAGCTGAAGGGCACTCACGAGAAGGTGAAGGCCACGGCGACTGGCTTCCCCTGCTGCAGCAGCGACACAAACTGCCTCTCGGATCGGAACTCCACCACCCGAGCCTCCACGCGAGGCTTGGGAAGGCCCGTGTAATACCTGAGAGGGGACAATTGAGGTGGTTCGGCACAGGTATGGATCGCCTTTTTCAGATGGAATTTTACCACAAGAGGCCTGGGCTTGCCAGGGGGCTTCTCAAGCCAAGGAGCGGGGGGAGGGGCGCGTGAGGGGGGAGAAGGAGGGGGAGGAGAGGGTGAATGTAGTTCCAGGAAAGTGTCGCCGCGCAACCTCCCCCTCCCCTTTCCCCCAACCCATCTTCCCCACCATTCCCCCAACCCCCTCTCCTCCCCCCCACCACACACCTGCATGTCTCCTCCAGCTTCCCCCACAGCGTTGCGCCTCCGCCTGTGCTCTGCGGATCCCCGCCGTCGTCGCGGGGACCCATCCGCTTCCCGCCGCGCGTTTGCGACTGCTGGCGTTCAAGACGTCGCGCGGTTCGCGACGCGGTATTGCGTCGCTATACCGTACGGTGCTTTCGATAGAGTGTACCGATTCTGCCTTATAACCGTCCCCGTCCTCGCTAGCCAAGCTGCTCTAAACGTTACCGAGTCGCGTCCTGGTTAAACCAAAAACAGATTCCAATCAGCAAATATTACTAGAGACACCGATTATTCGAAGAGTCTTGGCGAAATGTCTTGCCTGGTTTTCCTCGCCAGCCGAACCTTGGTTTCCCCAAGCACAACGCATGGAGTCACCAAAATTGTATAATTTCAGAACTGTATGCTTGCAAAAGAAAACGAAGAGCAAGGCAACCTAGGCATGGTTGCACAGCAGAGAAACCAGGATTCAGGAAACGTAGAAACACAGGGGGGGCTGTGGTGGTGCGTCCAGCCGCGACTAGTCCAGAGTCCGTACTTTGCGAGGAGTTGTACCTGGTATTTTGTGTCAGAGTGGGTTAACATACGTTGCAGAGCGGTGACCGTCCGATTCTTGAGCAGATATTGGTACCTACACTGATGGCTGAGAAAACTTAGTTCTTTCAATAACATCGAATGCAACTTGCTGAGATGCTGAGATTATACTGCAGTCTGATTCCGACTGCAAAAGAATCGGACTGTAACGAGGAAACGAATGCTTCCGCCACCCGCAATCAGCCTCACATACCCTCCCCCAAACCCCGACATGTCTCTGTAGGATTTCCCCCTTCCTCTACCCGTGCTTCAATGTATTTTCCGCAACAACTCCCTCCCCGGTTTCACCACCTCCTCCGCATACCCTCCGCACCCGCCCCTGCCTTGGCTTTCTCACCCCATCTTATTTTCCGCCCACTCCTTTTCCCAAGATCTCTTTTCGCGGCTTTAGTCTCCTACCCTAAGCTCGTTGCACTCCCCGTGCCGCCGCTCCCTTCGTTGCTTGCGACGTCGCGACTCTACTTCTCACCATGAGTGAGTTATATTTCTTCTAAGGCAGTTCGGTAGCGCATAGCGGATTGGTTGAGAGGTGATGACGCGAGTTGTAACAAACCCCGAAACCCTGACCTAATTTTGCCGAAATGTGCTGACTGCACCAACAAACCGCTTACGCCTCTCTGTATCAGTCATTGCTGATTAATCTGACCTATGTCGACTATCCAAATTTCGCTCCAACTTAGAGCAACACTGAGCAGACTCCATGCTTTTCTTTTGTTCCGAGATTGTATATCTCTACCAGTGATTGTCTCGTTCATTCAGTGGCACGCGCTTGTGCGATCTGCGATTCTATCTTTCCTGATCCTCCTCAATGCTCATGGTCGCACTATCCTGCGAGGCCAGCTAAGGTACCCTAACCGTTCGGCTCGTGCCCGCGAGGTGCGAGAGCAGACGCCCAAGCTGTCGACACCCTCTCACCCTCCCTCCCGTTCCCTTCCCATCCGTCGCTATTCCTCCACGCGCTCCACCCCCGCCCGCTGTTTCCCCCACCCATTCGCGCGCAGGTAAGGTGCACGGATCGTTGGCGCGTGCCGGTATGGTGCGCGGGCAGACTCCCAAGGTGGAGAAGCAGTTTTGATTCCCCTTCCCTTCCTATCCCCAATACCTGTGTTCCCATTTCCGTTTCCCCCTCCACACTTGCGCGCAGGTAAGGTGCACGGATCGTTGGCGCGTGCCGGTAAGGTGCGCGGGCAGACGCCCAAGGTGGAGAAGCAGGACAAGAAGAAGCAGCCCAAGGGCCGCGCGCACAAGCGCATGCAGTACAACCGCCGCTTCGTCACCGCCGGTACGCACGCACCCTTTGTAGTCACTGCAGGCTAGCTCACGCCCGTTGTTGTCACTGCAGGCAAGCACACAAGCGCATGCAGTACAACCGCCGCTTCGTCACCGCCGGTACGCGCACCCGTTGTAGTCACCATCGCTTGTGGGGCCACTGCGCGACTTTCGTTTGGGGGAGCTGCGGGTAGAAGAGAGCGGTTTCTGCACCCTGCTAGCAGCAGCAAAGGCTTGATTGGGTCAGATATCGAGGCTGTTTAAAGGACAGAAGCAGCTTTCAATGAGGTCAGATCGCACAGGTGCAAGGCGGGGTAGTCAAATAGGTATTTTTCAGGGTCTGACGAGGGTTTCGACGGTGTGTCGTCGCACTCGGCGACAGAGTTCTAATCTACTTAACAGCGTACTCGCACAGGAGTCGCAGCACTAGTGTCGCACATAGGCGCAGCAGTTTCGCATATCTGGGCGACGTCAAGCCGGGTTCGTTCTTCACTGGGAGATATTGTCGGGGCAGTACCGTAACCCTCCGTTACAATCCTATATTACGAGCGTGAGTCACGAGCGTGTAGTTTTAGCGTCAGACATGAGCCTGTGTTACAAGCGAACCTGTGTACGAGCATAAGGCGTGAGCCTGTGTAATCAGGAGCGTGGGCGGCGAACCTCCTGTACTGCTCGTTCTGCCTACTCACGCTCTCCAGCTCGCCCTCCTCTAGCACTCCCGATCGCCTCTCCATGCCTTACACTGGTGGAGTTTGGCGAATTCGCGTGGGTCTACAATTACACGAAACAACGCTAGTGCTGCGCGTGTGCCTTGACAATTGACAATCTCTTACGCCTTTCCGTCTCGTCTCTCCGTCTCCCCCGTGTCATTTTCCCCTCGCTCCGACCTGCAGTGGTGGGATTCGGCAAGAAGCGCGGCCCTAACTCGTCCGAGAAGTAAATGCTGCGACGCTGAGTGCTGCTGCACCCTAGGTATGACGGTCCGAACTCAAATCCTTACTCATTGACGATCTTGTCCTTCTTAACCACCTAACATCCCCTTTCCCCACTCCCCTCCACGATCCACCTTCTCCCTCCTTTTCCCTGTTCTGTACATTCCTCCCGCTGTCCCCTTCCGGTGCACCGGCTCTCGCTCCTCACTCTCCACCCCTCCCTCTCTGTTCCTGTCATCGATCGCACATTCCCCGTTTCTCTTCAGGCCCCCTTCAACCCTCTTTCTCGCTTCGCCTGGCCCCTTGCGTGCTCTCACTGATCAACAATTGTTCTTTTCACTCCCTGTGCCCTCCTCCCGTTACCCCAGCAGCACCATGGCATAGCACATTCAAACAGCAGTCCATGCACATACCTGTCATTTCACCATCTTGGGCATCTCTGACTCTTTCCGCCATCATCCGATCGCTCCTCCACCTTCACACTTTCCGAACCTATCCGCACCTCGCTTGCTGGTGCGCTAGCTTCAGAAGCTTGTCACATTGTTCCGTTGCTGGGTCCAGCCGTATTGTTACGCAGTGTGTAGGAGGAAGCTGTTTGTCGTTTCGTAGTGATGTGTGGTGGCATGATTTGTGGTGGTCCATTTGGTTATATGCAATGAGCTAGCAAGCCAAAAGCAATGCCAGTGAAAGATTTACAGACAAAAATGCACGAGGAATCCATTCTATAATGTGTTCCAGGCTATAGAGCAGTACACGGTTTGCGCAAAAACGAATTGCTTGTCCGCCCAGACCCTCCCAATCGTTTTGCGATATTCGCATGACCAAGAAACAGTTATTGTGGTTACGTGGTCTTGCTAATTTGTGGTGCTGGTTCTGTGGTGTACATTTCTGGCGCGCTATGCCAGCCCTGAACAGTCTGACAGTCAGTTTCCCGCCACCGTTGAAATTTGCCACTCTGTTTCGTTCAGTTCAGTCTGCAACAAATTCAACATCGCAAGCCAAGCCAAGCAGACACAGCTGCTGCAGACTCGAAAATTCGTCCCGCGTCGCTTTCGTGATTGGCTGCCTGACGTTCCTGCCTGCTCAGGTAAAAAGGTTCCTTCACGAATTCCGTTTCAATGTAAAGAAAGGTGAGTTGCTGTGAAAATATGCTGGAACCGTTCTAGAACGTACAGAATCGTACGCAACCGTGGAACTCAACAGTATCCCTTGCTCCAGTTGCCCCTGCACGCGTTGATCAAGAAGATTAGAGAGGTGCGAAGCTTTGACACCGAGAAATAGCAGTGTTCTTCAGCTGCAGCCATGACGCCATGGCTTTAGCGCGACCATAGCAGTGTTCTCTGGCGTTAACAGATTCCTTTTCCTGACAGTATTCTTTCTAGGCCTCCTTAGACTGCGGCTAAGGTTAAGGTTGGTGAAGCAGCAACTGAACGTCGCATTCCCCGTTAGCCGCTTCCCCGTTGTTTGTAATGGCGACCCATGATTCCGGCCAAGAGCACCGCCTCACGGTGCTCGATCCCGTTACAGTCACATGCAGCGCTCGATTCGTTACAAGAGAGCGTCGCAAGAGCAGCGCGGTCCTGGACCCGCATCAAGAATTCCCACCTCGGGAGTTCCCCTCTCCGAGCCGCCTCGAGAGTATCGACGGCGCGTCGTTTCCGTTTTGCCGCGTGCGGGAAGACTATCCGTCCAATAGCTGCTACAGTAGCAGCGCGCTTTACGGCCAGATTCCTGGTATGATTCCCAGCGTTTCTGGGCCTGGAACCTCCGTTAAAAGCACTGGTTGTTGTCACTCTTCCCATAGCTCTGCTCATAATCATGGTCTTTCCAGCAACAGCAATTCTCAGGGCTCCGCAGCAGACGGATCCCGAAAACCAAATCCTCTGGCTGACCGAACGAACCTGACAGCGCAACCCGCGGGTAAACTAGGGAGCGAACCGCAGTCAGCAAAGATCGCTCAGACGCACCACAATCACCAGAGCCAACAGCATCAACACCATCCACGTCAGCAGCATCAGCATCCACGTCAGCACGATCAAGGAGCGGCGACAGAAAATCCCTCGCCTCTCGCTCATAACTCTCTCGCTAAAGGAACAAGCGTTGGGAATCAGACGGAGCGGAAAGTCCGGCCCGCCGGTCGTGGGTTCTTTGAGAAGCTGAAGCATTTCTTCCCTGTGCGAGGATTGGTGGGTAAACGCAGCGAACCCGCCAATTCCGGGATCCAAAAACCAGTCGCGGAGCAGACAAGTGGCGTGGAGACAGGCAACGGTAGCGCCTCTGGTGCTAGTAGCGGGAATGCGGAACTGGGACGTTGGGGTTTTGCGGAAGGTGCTGATATGGGCAGGAGCCGCCCACCTGGACGCGGTATAGTGCGCTCCGTTTCGCTTACAGTGACGGGGACGAGTCACAACGAATACGCGGATACAGCAGGGAATGTTGGCGAGACGGAACGAGCGGATTGGGCGAAGAGACACGAGTATGGTTACTTTCGCCGGCGAATGAGTGATATCAGTGGTATCAGGGGCACTGGTACTGGCATTACTGGTATCAGCGGCAACAGCAGCCGAAGCATCAGTGCCTTGGGAATGCCGAGGCTGGTGGCAGGCATGGATCTTGCCGTACCTGCTGGGATGGAGACATGGGGTGTGGGGAGAGGAGGGGATGCGTGGGACTTGGAGGGAGTGGGAGGCGTAAGATGGGAGGGAGACGGTGGCAGTGGCTTTAGTGACTCTAGCGAATGGTGGAGGGATGGGGGTAGAATGGAGAGGGCTTTTCTGGAGTCGCTTATAACGGGGGAGAGTTTGGCGGATGGGTCTCGATCGTTTGTTTTAAGCCTGTTGTGGCGCTCTCCCTGCCACGTGGCGTCCTCCCTCTGCGTAAGTGCTGAGGCTCGCGTGTCCGTGGGTGACAAGTCCCTTCCCCGCCGCCCCCCTGACTTTCCCCCCTCCCATCTCTAGATCTGATTCTCTTTCTCATCTCCACTCACCCATTTCTCTCCCTCCATCTCTCTCTCCCCAACTCCCTCTGTGTCCCTCTTCCCTCACTCCCTCCACCTCGCCCATCTTCCTCCCGCTCTTGCGCCCTCCCTTCCTCCCTCCACCTCTCTGTCTCTCTCCCTGTGCCGCTTTGCTCCCTCTTCCCCCTCCGCCTCCCATTCCTTACTTCTCTCGCCTGGCCCTCTCTTGTCCCGCCTCTTCATGTTCCCACGCTCCCCCCTCCCAGCGAGCCTATGGGTGCATCGTGGCGGTCAAGGCAGTGGCGTGGGTGGCATCACTCCCAATGCCAGATTTTTCTCGCCTTGTCCTCCCATCTCCCATCTCTTCCTGCCCCTGTGCTCCCCTCTCCCAGCGCGCCTATGCGTGCATTGTGGCGGCCAAGGCCGTGGCGTGGGTGGCATCTCTGCATCTCATGGAAGGCGCCCTGACTCGTTACAAGGACCAAGAGGAAGAGGAGCACGCAGTGACTCGTTACAAGGACCAAGAGCAAGAGCAGTGCAACTTGACTCGTTACAAGGACCAAGAGCAAGAGCAGTGCAACTTGACTCGTTACAAGGAGCACGAAGGGGTACATGGCGCGTGGATACAAGGACAGAGAGGCGGGGGTTCGCGATTGCTCACATGCAGAAGCTGCCAATTGCGGCCAGCCACGTGGAGGCTGTGGGAGAACTCGCGAGAGGTGCAGAGAGGTGGTTAAGGGACTTGGTGAATCCGAGGCACGGTTAAGGGACCACTCGGGTAGTGGTTCGTGTGTGTGCTGCTGTGAGAAGAAGGGGAGACTGACGGTTGGGGCGAGAGGAGAGAAGAGGCGGGTTCAGGAGAGGAAGCAGCAGGGGGGGATGGGGATGGAGGAAGGGGAGGGTGGGGTTAGTTGTCTTGGCCAATGGACAATGGAAGGGTCTGTGCTACACAATGGACATGCGCGCGATGACTGTAATGCGCCTGTCTTTGAGTCGACTCAAAAACAGTCTGTGCTGCAGAATGGAAACGCGCGCGATGACTGTAATGCTATGCACGGGACGCATAAGTCGCATGGGAAGCGTGTGCGGGAAAGGCAGAAGGATGGCATTTATAGGCTTGGAACGTACGGCCTAAATATTCGAAATGCAGGAGCGGCAGTGGCAGCAAGAGAGGCGGGAGAAGCAAGAGTAACAGCACCAGCACGTGGGGAGGAAGAGAGGGTGTCAGGGGCATCAGGTGAAGCAGAAGAGGCTGCAGCAGCAACTGTAGCAGCAGCGGAGCTTGAGAGGTGTGCAGTGAGGGCTGGGATGGACCGACTGGTGCTGGACGTGCCTGGGGGGCGGGAAGGTGCCGCTGCAACACTGGGCTCAAAAGGCAAGGCATCAGCAGCAGCAGCAGCAGCAGCAGCAGCGGAGCTTGAGAGGTGTGCAGCGAGGGCTGGGATGGACCAGTTAGTATTGGACTGGGTGTTTGGGCCGGGGGAGAGCACTGGCAGGTGGGTGGCTGACGTGGGGGAGGGCTCTGACGGTTGGGAAGTGCGGCCAGGGGAACACGTGGGCAGGTGGGCGTCTGGCCTGCAGGAGAGCACTGGTGGTTGGGTGGTTGAGCCGAGAGACAGTGGCAAGCGGATGGCTGGAGGATGTGGAGAGGAGTTTCTGGAGGGTAGCCCGAGTTTTGAGACGTGTGGGAACGAGTTTCAGGAGGGGAGTCAGAGTTTTGAGACGCCTGAGAAAGAGTTTGTGGAGGGAACGCAGAGTGGCCGTAGGGAGGGTGAGAATAGGTCTCTCTATGGTGCTTCACATGAAGAGCTTGATGTGATTCAGAGGGTGCGGGGAGATCGGCGCTTGTCTGCCGCCCTCCCCAGCATCCTAGAGGAAGGTTCTGAGATGACTGGGGAGGCACAGGGAGAGTTTGGGCCAGCTGGGAGCGTTGATGCTCCGTGTATCTATGAATCAGGGCCGTGGGGAGTGTCCGCAAATTGGTTTCAAGGGGGGAGACGTGTGGAGAATTCGGGCTTTGGTATGCCGGATCTTACTGATATCGAGTCGTCCACTAACGAGTGGGCAGTGGGAGAGGGTGGTATGGCGCAAGGGGGTGCAGTGGTAGGTACAAGAGTGGTAGCAGAAGGGGTTTCTGTTTCACTGGTCGGTTTTTTGGCGTCATTTGAAGCGGAGATGAGTTCTGGCAGGACTGGTGGTGTGGGGGAGGTGATAGGGGAGGGAGAGAGGGAGGGAGGAGAGGAGGGCGGAAGGAAGTGGAGTGAAGGGGGGCTGGATGGGAGGGAGGATGAGGGAGGAGAATGGAGGGAAGGAGGTGCAGAGGGGGAGGTGGGAGAAAATGCTGTTGAAGGAGAAGGGAAGGTAGAAGAGGAGAGGAGGTCTGGGAAGGAGGTGAGGGTTGAGGAAAGGAGGGGTGAGGGAGGGAGGGGTGAAGAGGGGAGAGTGGAGAAGGAGAGAGGGGGAGGAGAAGGTGGAGAGAGGGAAAGGGAGGGGTCCGATTATGAGGTATTCGAGGAGGCTGTTAGCGAAGCAGGGTCTGGTGCCTTGACGGTTTTTGAGTCAGCTGTGACGTGGGAAGGAAAGGGGACAGTCTGTGACGTTTTCTCGGAAGCTGGTTGTGAAGCAGGGTCTGGTTCCTTGACGGTTTTTGAGTCAGCTCTGACGTGGGAAGGAAAGGGGACAGATTGTGAAGTTTTTGAGGAGGCTGTTAGCGAAGTAGGGATCAGGGAAAGCAGCGTGGGTCTGACTGAAGAGAAGGCTGCTGGGTTGACTCGGAATGAAGGGCAGCAGCAGGAGCAGTGGGGACAGGAGCAGCAGGAGCACCAGCAGGAGACGGGACAGCAGCAGCAGCAACAGCAGCAGCAGCGCCACCAGCATCATCAGCAGCATCGATTCTCGCCTATCTCACTCATGCCTCAAGCCAGGAGCCCCAGATTGCACCCTCCGCAGCAGCAGCTGCAGCAGCAGCAACAGCAGCAGGATCAGCAGCAACAGCAGCAACAGGAGCAGGAGCAGCAGCAACAGCAGCAACAGCAGCAGGAGCAGCAGCAACAGCAGCAACAGCAGCAGGAGCAGCAGCAACAGCAGCAACAGCAGCAACAGCAGCAACAGCAGCAGGAGCAGCAGCATCGCTTTTCGCCTATCTCACTCATGCCCCAAGCCTGGAGCCCCAGATTGCACCCTCCGCAGCAGCAGCAGCAGCAGTTTGAGTCACACCAGAAGCAGCAGCAACAGCAGCAGCAGCAGTTTCAGCCACAGCAGCACCATCATCATCAGCAGCAGCAGCAGAGTGAGGGTTGGGTGTCTGGGCACGAGACACACAGGCTCCCATGGGTCAGGAGGGGGGGCGAAGGAGCGCTGGAGAGCGTCGGAAGCGGGTGGAACGTGGAGGAGGATGTGAGGGAGAGTGTGGGGGAGAGCAGCAGGGAGGGAAGGATGGGTCTGATCAAAGGGGGGAGGTACAGCAGTGGTGCTGGCAGCAGCAGAGGGTGCAGTAGCAGCGAGAGTGACAGAGGGCGCAGCAGCAGAGAGGGTAGCAGCAGCAGCAGCAGCAGCAGCAGTGGGAGTAGCATTGTGAGAAGCAGCGGAAGGGAGGGCAGTGCGAGGGGTTCTGGTGAGAGGAGTGGGGATGGGAGCATCAGAGAAGGTTCGCTGGACGTGGATGCGCGTTGGGGGGAGTCCGAGAGTGGAAAATCTTCGAACGCTTATTCTGCTGAGCATGAGGACTCAGATCTTACTGTCTTGACGCTTGGCCGAGGTGGGGGACAGGGAGGGGGAGGGAGACAGGGGAAAGGAACAATACACGGTAATTCACAGGAAGATCTGGGGAGAGAGAAGGGAGATCAGGAGACAGCGAGGAGGACCGGGATAGGGGAGCAGGGGGAGGAAGAAGGAGAGGAGGCGGAGATGGGAAGAGAGGAGGGGGCAAGGGGAAGTGAGGAAGGGGCGTCAGATTGCCTGAGACTGGGTGTGGCTATGAGTGGATGCTCTAAGGAGTCTCAACGCACGATTGACTTGATGGGGTCATCTTGCATCCACGGCAGTGAGGATATGGAGGATATGGCCATGCCACGTGGCACAGCATCAGCCTCTCCACGTGGCAGATCACAGGCCTGGGCTCACGCCACGTGTCATCATGCTCATGCAGGCAGCCCGTCATCAAGCAGCGACCTCCGGGTAGGTTCCGGCCTGGCTTCAGGCAAGAGGCTATAACACCATGTCACTGATTTGAGACCTTGGTGGTGAGTGTGTGAAGACACGTGTCTGCATGCTCATGCAGGCAGCCCATCATCAAGCAGTGATCTCCGGGTAGGTTCCCTCCGGCCTGGCTTCAGGCAAGAGGCCGTGACACCATGTCACTGATTTGAGACCTTGGTGGTGAGTGTGTGAAGACACGTGTCTGCATGCTCATGCAGGCAGCCCATCATCAAGCAGTGATCTCCGGGTAGGTTCCCTCCGGCCTGGCTTCAGGCAAGAGGCCGTGACACCATGTCACTGATTTGAGACCTTGGTGGTGAGTGTGTGAAGACACGTGTCTGCATGCTCATGCAGGCAGCCCATCACCAAGCAGCGACCTCCGGGTAGGTTACCTCCCTGCCTTCAGGCTAGAGGCTGCTTTGAGACATTAGTGAGTAGATAAAAAAAAAATTCCTAGCGTTTTTAGAACACTTACTTGATGCCTGTGTGAGTGGGCCTTGGGTGATTTTTGAGGCGCCTCAAAATTCACTTACTTGATGCGTGTGTGAGTGGGCCTTGGGTGATTTTCCTAGCGTTTTTAGAACACTTGCTTGGCTCAAAACTCACTCACTTGATGCGTGTGTGAGTGGGCCTTGGGTGATTTTCCTAGCGTTTTTAGAACACTTGCTTGGCTCAAAACTCACTCACTTGATGCGTGTGTGAGTGGGCCTTGGGTGATTTTCCTAGCGTTTTTAGAACACTTGCTTGGCTCAAAACTCACTCACTTGATGCGTGTGTGAGTGGGCCTTGGGTGAAGCCGCCTGCCGCCATGCTGCCACCTGGTCGGCAACAGATGGAGCCATGCCATGCTCTGGCTGCTGCTCTGACCCGTGCTGCACTGCACTGCTGCCTTGTGCTGTTAGTCGGTTTTTTAGTCGACTTACTACAGATGGAGCCATGCCATGCACTGGCTGCTCTGACCCGTGCTGCACTGCTGTCTTGTGTTGTTCCCTTACAACTTCCCCTTCCTTCCCACCCCTTTCAGGAGCTGGTGGCTCGGCAGCAGGGGCAGATAGATGAGCTGAGGCGGCTGCTGGGGCAGCAGATGGAGGCGTGCCATGCACTGGCTGCTGCTCTGAGGCTGCAGCAGCAGGAGCGTCAGCATTTGGGGAGGCAGGGGGGCCAAGCGTTTGGAGGGTTGAAAGAGACTCAGGAGGCAGAACTAGAGGAAACAAAGCTTGGGGAATGCAAGTCCGAGGAATCAGATGGGGCAGAAGGGGAAGAAGGGGCTGAGGAGGCGGGTGGTGAGAGAGAGAAGGAAGTAAGGGATAGTGGAGGAGGCGAGTGTGAGGGGGCAAGGGGATGGAGGGACCTGGATTGGGACGATGAGTTGATGCAGCAATCGGGGGAGCTGCGAGGAGATATCACGAGTCTCAAGGATCAGGTGAGTTGATTCCTGCTGTTTGGGTCCTTGCCATTCTGAGGTATGAGTGTGTGGAAAAGCAGTTGATGCAGCAGTCGGGGGAGCTGCGAGGAGATATCACGAGTCTCAAGGTGGGTTAGTTTCCTCTCTGTTAATCCCCTGCCTCCCGAGGCATGATTGTGATGTGAATAACAGCAGTTGATGCAGCAGTCGGGGGAGCTGCGAGGAGATATCACCAGTCTGAAGGATCAGGTGGGTTGATTCCTGCTGTTTGGGTCCTTGCCATTCTGAGGCATGAGTGTGTGGAAAAGCAGTTGATGCAGCAGTCGGGGGAGCTGCGAGGAGATATCACGAGTCTCAAGGATCAGGTGGGTTGAAATCTCTGTTCAGTCCCTTGTTTCTCGGTTGGTCCCATATGTACCCATTCGGAGGCATGAGTGTTCGGGTTGACTTTTGAGTCGACTCAAAAGTCAACGAGGCATGAGTGTTCGGGTTGACTTTTGAGTCGACTCAAAAGTCAACTCGAAATCTCTGTTCAGTCCCTTGTTTCTCGGTTGGTCCCATGTACCCATTCGGAGGCATGAGTGTTGACTTTTGAGTCGACTCAAAAGTCAATTCGGAGGCATGAGTGTTCGGAACAGACGATGACGCAGAAATCAGAGGAGGCGGGTGGAGATATCACGAGCCTGAAGGATCAGGTGGGTTGATTCTTTCTCAGTTGGTCCCATGTTCTTGCTCTGAGGCATGAGTGTGTAGAGCCCATTCTGTGCCCCTCCTCCTTCCCCTCCTTATCGTGCCCCTCCTCGTTCCCTGCATGCAGCTTGTTCGTATGGCCAACAGCATCGCAACGCTCAAGCAGTCGCTCCTACACGCCATGGCTCAGCGCCCTCCCTCTCTGCTAGCCCATGCTTTCTCTCCTTGCCTATCCTCCCCCTCCCTCCCGTGCCCCTCCTCGTTCTCTGCATGCAGCTTGCGCAAAGGGCCAGTCACATTGCATCACCCAAGCAGTTGCTCCTTCACACCATGGCTCAGCTCAAGTCCCGCTCTCCCTCCTCTAACCCCTTCTCTCCTTCCTTGCCTGTCTGTGTCTTCCCAATCACCCCTTGCAGCTTGCGCAAAGGGCCAGTCACATTGCATCACCCAAGCAATCGCTCCTTCGCACCATGGCTCAGCTCAAATCCCGCTCTCCCTCCCTCCTAACCCCTGCTCTCTCTCCTTGTCTATCCTTCCCTCTCCCCGTTCCCTCCATGCAGCTTGCTCAAAGGGCCAGCCGCATTGCAACACTCAAGCACTCTCTCCTTCACACCATGGCGCAGCTCAAGTCCCGCTCTCCCTCCCCGGGACCAGCTTTCTCCCTCGCTTCCCTCCACTTCCCCTCCCTCCCCTCGCCCTCCCAACAACCCTCCTCTCGCCTATCACCGTCTCCTCAGCTCCCCTCCCTCCACTCGCCCTCTCTTCTCCCCTCTTCTCATCACTCGCACTCTCTGTCTCCCAGACATTCCCCCATGCTTCCTTCACGCTCCGCCTCTCGTTCCCATCAGAGAGCCATCATAGAGAATTGAAGCATCAGGGAAGCCTCTTAGGCGGCTCATACCGGTAGAAGCTATGTAAATGCAGCATAGATAGAAGCCTCATACACTTCATAAACGCCTCATTCACACTTCCTAGAAGCATCATAGATAGAAGCATGATATGCATATCAGAAGCCCACAACATATTCTAGAAGCTTCTCTTCTCTCTCCTAAGAACGTAGTGGCATGCTTTATTTTACACAAAAATCTGACCTGACACATAGGCACTCCGTAGACACTTCCTCTTTCTAGGAGGGGGGCCTTTCTCCCATTCCCACTCATAGCGGTGCATGCATCCAGCCTCCTTGTTCGAATGCACCTTGTGTCCACCTTGCATCGCTGCTCTTGTCCCCAACCAATCTCTTGTCGTAAATGCATCCAAACTCCGATCCTCTGATGCCGCGCTTGCAGTCGCCCCCCCACTGCCTTGCCTTTCAACATGTGTAGCATGAGGGCCCTTTGGGTGTGAGCCCTTGAGACTTGGAGGCTTGAAAGCACTCACCAACCTGCCGGCCGGTGGTGACGATGCAGTCAGACGGGAGGGCTGCCAGAGAGGGAGGGAGGGAGGGAGGGAGGGAGGGAGGGAGGGAGGGGAGAAAGCGTGAAAAAGGCGGATGTTTATGTCCCTCGTGACCAGGAAGGCAGCAATGCTGTCTGTGGTGCCGGCCGGTGGTGACGATGCAGTCAGACGGGAGGGAGGGAGAGAGGGAGGGAGGGAGGGAGGGAGGGAGGGAGGGAGGGAGGGAGGGAGGTAGGGAGGGAGGGAGGGAGGGAGGGAGGGAGGGAGGGAGGGAGGGAGGGAGGGAGGGAGGGAGGGAGGGAGGGAGGGAGGGAGGGAGGGAGGGAACGGGTGAAGGTTGGGTGAGTCAGTGCAAATGATGGCATGTCAGTGCCCCTGGTGACATGACTTGAAGCCTCCCCACCTCGGCCCATCAAACTCAGCCATGAGACGTGTAAGTTGCGCCCACAGTGCCCATGACGGAGCAAGGCGGCTGGTTTTTGAGGATTCTAAAAAACCCATCAAACTCAGCCATGAGACGTGTCCCCACACCACAGTGCCCATGACAGAGGCAGGCGGCTGCCCCAGCGACAGCATGGCAGTCAGGACCAAGCAACGGACACTCATAGCACTGGAGGCTGCATCGCCAACATGGCTTTCAGGGTGACTGTGGCAGAGAGTGCAGCAGAGAGTGAGAGTGGGAGCATGAGTGTAGCGGGATTCAAGGCGCGGGGGGGTCGACGCGGCGTGGGGACGGCAACGCGCATTCCGCGGCACTACGCCGCAGATTGGGGAAGCCATAAGATGCAAGGTCATGAGAAAGGTAGGAACCGTGAAAACTGTTATAAATTTAAACTGCAAGGCGATGACCGTCGAACGTCTCTTTCGCTGTGCGGATCCTTGATATGGTAGTTGCGCTGATCCGTCAAGCCGAGGATTGCGCTGATTGCTGCGCGGACAGTTGCGCCAGTCGTTTTGCGAATCGCTGCGCTGATGGTTGCGCCGATCGTTGCGCTGACCGATGGGTTGAGCGCGGCGCTGACCGTTGCGCTGATATCTACGCTGAAAGTTCCGCGATCGTCAGATCGCTCCGCCGCGCGACGGAACCAACGGCCGTGTCGTAACTCATTATAGCTGAACACTTCAGGATGTACCGTAAGCTGGAAACCGATAAGCTGGATCCTGGATTTACCGTAAGCTGGACAGAACAAGGCGATCTTCGCACTGCCAGTCAGTCAAGCGATAGACAGTCAGTCAGTCAACAAGGGAAGCTATACCGGGATTCTGCGAACGAGTGTTTTGAGGTCAAGATTATCGAATTTCCAGCAGCCAGAGCCCGCAAACAAGTCTACTAAGGGCGTATCTTTGGTGAATGGTGAATGGTCACCAGAACGCATTTGAGGCAACCACAGCTATGAGAATAATTGAGGCTGGAGACGCGAGGTTTGGAGTTAGGACTCAGGAGAAACTTCAAAAAGCGTAACTTTCATGTCCTAGCCATATCTTTCACATAATAAGTTTCACGACAGAACTCTGTCCAGCCATTCATACGAAAGTCAGAACCTAGAGTTGATGCTAAGCTATCTACGGTAAGCCAAGTAAGCCAGATCCACTTGAGCCTCAACAGCAGCGTTTCACCTCCAGAGCAGCTTGAGTCTTGACCGTCAGCTTGACCGTCAGCTTGATCTTGTTGGGTTGCGTAGCAACCCTATATATTTGGTTTGACATTTTGGGGATATCATTTGAAGAGTGATATTTACACACTTTTTGGAGCACCCGTTTGAATGTTTTGAATGTGTTCAAACGGATGCCTTAAATAGTGGATAAAAAACACTCTTGAATGAGATCCCCATATGTAAAACCAAATACCGGAACGCACGTACGTATCATGTTGAAACCATGAACTTGCTCGACCGTCCCAACCTCGTCGATAAATACGGCGGATCGTACGGCCGAGCATAATATTCTGGAATCAACATGAACGAATGCAATTGTACAAATGAACAACAAGGTATGGGGTGGAGTGGATGCTTCAAAGTGAATGTTAAAATGCATCATGCAGCAACAAAGGTTGATGGGGTCGTTGAAACAGCGAAAACCCGCTGCCCCAAAGACGATTAACAACCTCTAATTGCATACATGACACACAGTAACACCACACTTCGAAACACACATCCCACAAACACGAATGCACACGCACGTACAAATCGATAACACCACGTAACGGTTGTAAACGCATCGAAGTGGATACTTGATATACACCAATGCTGCAACTGAGATTGATGGGGTCGTTGAAACAGCGAAAACACGCTGCCCCAACGACGATGACAACCCCAGCTGCAAACACGATACATATCAGATCAGCACCACACTTCCAAACAATCACAACCAACTGACACGAATGGCGTGTCCAACACACACAGAAGCACACACAAGCACACATACACGCACATACACACATGCACGGACACACATATATATGCATACACATACACAATGAGGATGGAAGGCAAACCAGCATAGCAAAGAGTTGCAATGCAAGAAGTTGAATACGTAACAATCATTGCTAGCCTACCCCAACTTCCTATCCCTTTCCCCCTTGCCTCCTCCCCCTCTTCCATCTTTCTCTCCTTATCCCACGCTTTTCCACATCGTTCAGCCCCCTTCTATTTTCTGCTCCTCACAATGAGGCCCACACATCCTGAAAAACACACAGGTCAAGCAAGAAATACATTGCTGTGAGTGAATGCAGTGAATTATGCAAGGCATTAGCGCGCTGCAGCAAGGCGCCAACGCGCTGCGGCAAGGGTGGCTGCGTGTCTGTGCCGCGCCGACAGTGCGCCGCGCCGCACTCACACTCACCTGCGCACTCACACTCACCCTCGTACCAACACACTCACCTGCGCACTCACACCCACACCCGCACTCACACCCACCCGTGCATTCACACTCACCCTGCGCACTCACACTCACCCTCGCACTCACACTCACCCGCGCGCTCACACTCACCAGCCACTCACACTCACCCACGCACTCACACTCACCCGCACACTCACACTCACCGGCGCACTCACTCACCCGCGCACTCACACTCACCTGCACACTCACACTTACACTCACCTGCGCACTCACACTCTCCCCTGCACCCACACTCACCCGCGCACTCACACTCACCTGCGCACTCACACTCAACCCCGCACCCACACCCAACCGCGCACTCTCACTCACCTGCGCACTCACACTTACCCCCCCACCCACACTCACTCGTGCACTCACACTCTCCCACGCACTCACACTCACCCCCGCACCCACACTCACCGACGCTCTCGCACTCACCCCCGCACCCACACTCACCCGTGCACCCACACTCACCCGCGCACTCACTCATCCCCGCACCCACACTCATCCACGCACTCACATTCACCCGCCACTCACACTCGTCCGTGCACTCACACTTCCCCCCACACTCACACTCGCCCGCACACTCACACTTACCTTCGCAACCACATTCATCCCCACACCCACACTCACCCGCACATTCACACTCACCTGCGCACTCACACTCACCCCTGTACTCACACCCACCCCCGCACTCACACTCACCCGTGCACTCACACTCACCTGCGCATTCACACTCATACCCCACTCACACTCCCTTGCGTGCTCACACTCACCCGCGCACTCATACTCACCCGCGCACCCACACCCATCCCCGCACTCACACTCATCACCGCACTCACACTCACCCCCCCACCCACGCTCACCCGCGCACCCACACTCACCTGCGCACTCACACTCACCCCCGCACCCACACTCACCCGCGCACTCAAACTCACCCCCGCACTCGCACTCACCCGCGCACCCACACTCACCCGCGCACCCACACTCACCCGAGCACTCACACTCACCCGCCACTCACACTCATCCGCCACTCACACTCACCCGCCACTCACACTTACCCGCACGCCGACACTCACTTGCGCACTCACAGTCACTCGCGCACTCACCGTCACTCGCGCACTCACACTCACCTCCGCACTCACACTCATTTGCGCACTCACACGCACCCCCGCACCCACCCTCACCCGCACAATCACACTCATCCCCTCACTTACACTCACCCCCCCACCCACACTGACCCGTGCACCCACACTCACCTACGCACTCACACTCACCCCCGCACCCACACTCACCCGCGCACTCACACTCACCTGCGCACTCACACTCACCCGAGCAGTCACACTCACCTCCGCACTCACACTCACCTCCGCACTCACACTCACCTCCGCACTCACACTCACCTCCGCACTCACACTCACTCCCGCACTCACACACACTCACCCCTCCACTCACTCTCTCCCGCGCACTCACCCGTCGTGAATGATACGCGATGCGGAGGAGAGGCGACGGAGAGGATGCGCGAAGGGGCGGAGGCGTCGGGGATGAGAGGCGACAGTGGGGGGGCGATGGAGAGGAGAGGCGGCGGGGAGGAGTGACGATGGGGGAAGCGACGGGGAGGAGCGACGATGGGGGAAACGACGGGGAGGAGCGACGGTGGGGGAAACGACGGGGAGGAGCGACGGTGGGGGAAACGACGGGGAGGAGTGACGGTGGGGGAAACGACGGGGAGGAGCGACGGTGGGGGAGGAGCGACGGTGAGGGAGGCGACGGGCAGGAAAGGCGACGGTAGGGAAGGCGACGGTGGGGGCGGCGACGGTGGGGGAGGCGACGGTGGGGGAGTGACGGGGAGGAGAGGCGACGGTGGGGAAGGCGACAGTGGGGGCGGCGACGGTGGGGGAGGCGAAAGTGGGGGAGGCGTGGGGGATGAGAGTCGACGGGGAGGAGGCGCGACGAGGAGGAAACGCGATTGGGAGGAGGGTCGACGGGGAGTAAATGCGACCGGGAGGCGGGGTAAACGGGGAGGAAATGCGACGGGGAGGAGGCGCGACGATGAGGAAACGCGACGGGGAGGAGGGGCGACGATGAGGAAAAGCGATGGGGAGGAGGGGCGGCGGGGAGGAGATTCGACTGTTGTACGTGGTACTAAGACAATGCAAGTCAATGGGTTAGGTACTACAGACTAGAAACTGGAAGATGAAGAAGAGCGACTGAAAGGTGAGCGACTGAAAGGTGAGCGACTGAAAGATGAGCGACTGAAGCAAGAAACTCGAATTTGTTTTGAGAAAAGCAACACGATGGCGATGCACTTCGGCTGGACTCTTTCGGAGCTGGTCCAAAACAAAATTTCTGTTTGAACCAGTACAAAACGAAAAGCCTAGGTACCAAGGCAAAATCAGACATGAAACGTCATGTGGCTACCCGAGAACGAAATATAAATCTGGGCACCTCAAAATCGAAAACACCTCATTGAATTGAAGTGGGCGTCACGTGAAGACACACACTTGAAATTTCCAACTCAATATAAAGCTGACACATTTCATGTGCATAATGAGTCAGTTGCAGAACAACTAGACTGAACCACAACCCCTCTATAGAAAAACCACTAGTTTGTATAATGTAACATTGTTAAATTACTATTGATAAAATCATATTCTAGATTGATCACTACCCACTCAACAAATTTGGAGTATTACATATGGTATTTTGTTACCGATGAGAAGAAATTATTGCATGGCCACGATGAGAAGAAATTATTGCATGGCCTATGTAGATCTAACGTAGTACATCTTCCCATACGATAATATTAATGTTGTGTACGGTGGTAAAATTCTACGCAACCCTTACGACATTCACGTCGAGCCTTGTTTTTCTTCTTGACCCCTCTTGGCCGTCAGAGGCAAATGCCCCTGACGTTACACCCACGCACCACGATGAGGTGGAGGTCATTCGCGTGGGGTCTGCTTGGGAGGGAGGTAGGGGGGGGAAGAAAAGTGCTTGGGAGGGGGGGAAACGGTTAAAATTAGGGACGGGCAGATGAAAATGACGATAGGTTCACAATGTTGTCACAATGGGTCAGAATGACGGCCAGCCGTCAAGAGGACAGCCAGCCGTCAAGAGGCATACCTGAACACACCTTTACCACCCATACCATCGCCCATGTGTGTGTGCCTAATCGAGTCTGTCTAACGCTCCTAATCGCTCTGTACCCACTAGCACACCTCTTACAGGCCTGGCGTTTGCGCTGGTTGCTGCCGCTTGCGCTGGTTGCTCCCGCTTGCGCTGGTTGCTGCCGCTTGAGCTGGTTGCTCCCGCTTGCGCTGGTTGCTGCCGCTCCCGCCAAAACTGCAGGAAGGGCGGGCTGGGAGGGGAAGTCGAATTCCACCTCACTCCTTGTTCCTTGCTCCTTGCTCCTTGCTCCGACTCCTCGCTCCACACTCCACGTGTGTGGAGCCTCCCTCGAGACCAACTTACCTGCACCACAGACGACAGAAAAAAGAACATTATTCATTTTGAAAACGAAGCAGCGCGCTAAAAGCGAGAAAGGTGACAGAGAGAGGAGTGCAAAAGGCGACGAGCGGAAAGGTGACGAGACGACGGGACGAACAGACCACCACAGCAGAGAGAAGTGTCGTCACGCACCGTGAGCCGCGGTGCGCCGTGCTCTGATGCCCCGCCGTGTTCCGATGTCCCGCCGTGCTCCGATCCCCGCTTCGCCTGCGCTAAAGAAGAACGCACACAAAAATAAGTTAGTTTCATAATCAGAGAAAAAACTCAACGAAATCCGACGGCACTTACCAGGCAAGGGAGACCACCTCCCGCGTTACCTCCGTTGCTCGCCGCCGGCCCCGCGAGCTCCCCCTCCCGGTACCGCCGCTCCTGCACTAAGACGGAGCAGACAAGAAGTTAAAACCTTGAAAAGCAAAAGCAGGAAATTGAAACTGCTACTTACCACGAGAGAAGAAGGCTGCAGCCGTTGTCCCTTGTCGCCGCCTGCGCCGTTTGCTCCCCCTCACGCTCCTCCTGGCTGCACTAAGACGAATCACACGAAAAGAAGTGAATCTCTGGAAGAAAACGAAAGCAGGAAACGGGAAGTGATGCTTACCACGTTGACGTTGCCGCCAAGCTCAGAGAGAACCGCCGTGAGACACGCCTCTCGCCCGCGAGACACGTCGTGCGCCCACGAGGCGCGACCGAAGAAGCGTCGCCGTGCCTCGCGTCACGGTCTCCACGCCGGCATCCGTCCTCGCCACCCGTACGCCGGCTGACGGTCACCTTCTGCAAGTCGTTGAGAAGGAGAAGGAGAATCAGAACGAAACGGTCGAGAACAAAATAAAAATAATATGCTGAAATGACAATCCTCACACGTTACCTCAGGCTTGGGCGAAGAGATCCGCGCGACGGACGAAGTGACGCCAGCCGTCGCCGTCCGCCACTGACGGTAGAATCCTCGTCGCCGACGGTAGAGCGACGGAAAAACCACCAAGCGACGGCAGGGAGAAGCGCCGCCAAGCGCCGTGAGTCCCGCCCAAAGGACCGTCGCCATGCGGCATTCCTCTCCATTCGTCGCCGTCGCCATACGTCGCCGTGTGTCGTGCGCGTCAGATTCTGCAGGAAAGCGAAGCAACGCGTTAGAATGTAGGCAAAAAAAAAAAAAAAAAAACGTGTTGACGGATTGCCAAACGCACATTACCTCAGCTCGAGGGAGGCCGTCGCCGTCCCCTCGCGACGTGAGGCACCTCTCTTCCAACAGTAGTCTTCGTCGCCGTCGGTGTGTGCGTTCACGCGACCAAGACGGTCGCCAAGACGGTCGCCGAGGTCTGCAGGGACAAGGCAGCACGTTAGTACTCCACTCACGGGTAAACTTATAAAGAGAAAAGCGGGTAAACTTCACTCACCCCGACTTGAACGACGATTTGTGAAACGCATCTCGGCGCATCGTGACGAGGTGGAGGTCGAAGCACCATCGCCCGCGATTGAAGCAACTCTTCTGGTTCCCCGCGGTTGATAGCATCGGAAGCTTATAAAGCTTCAGATCCAAGCCTTCGCGTCGGCCGTCTTCGGTCTGCAGGGAAAAGGCAGGAGGTAAGTACCAGAAAAGGTAAAGAACTTCAAGTTAAACGGTAGACTTTCACTCACCCGTTGGCGCAAGTCTCGTCGTCGTCGGTGCCTCTCGCAACGTCTCAGGTCGCAAGGACGGTTCTCTCGCAAAGGACGGTCTGCAGGAAGAACAGAAAAGTTTAACTTTGAGTTCATATAACTGAATTTCTTCAACTGCGAAGTCGAAGGAAAGCGATATTTCACTTACAACGGCCACAAGGACCAGTTGCACCCGCGGGGCTTCGCGATCTGCATCCGGAGCTCGGGCCAGCGGCGATCATCACTTGGGCTTGAGTGCGTCCACTCGTCAGTCTTCGTCTTGAAAGACTTCGCCGCAAAGATATCGAGCTTGAAGCATCCCGCGATTGAGGTGCAACCCGTGTTTGAAGGGCCTTTACGACTTGAAGCAAAGGTCGCCACGAGATCTGCGGGAAGAACAACAGGTTAGTACCTGAACTTAACTGGCCAAAAACCGTTACAAGAAGAAGTCGAAAATTGCTGCACTTACCTCAGGTCTTAACGACGCTTCAGGTCTTAACGACGGTGCTTCAGCGCTTCAGTCGAAAAACGCTGCACTTAGCGTCGGCGCTTCAGGCCTTAACGACGGCCGCGTTGCTGCGTCGGCGATCGTTGCTGCGTCGTCGCTTTCGAGTGGCCTGAAAAAGAAGAGGCAAAAGATTAGTACTTTAGACAGAGCACCAAAGTTACTGAAAGGCGAGTGAGAACGGGAAAGTTAATTAGAAGTTAAACTGTCAATGGTACACGTACCCCGATTTGGCCGACCTGTCCGCCGTTGGCGACGGCAATTTGAATGCGATGATCGGCGAGACTTCCGGTTGGGCTTCAGGCTGGGCCAATCGGCGTCCAGCTTGACTTGGGTTCAAACCTCAAACTTCAAGTCTCGTTCGTAGAAACTTGAGCTTGACGTCTGCAGGAAAACAAAGAACGCGTTAGAAGATTTCTCAGAAGCACGTCAAACGGCGGAAAACAAACGATTCAGAACGTAACAAAACAATGTCGAAGTTGAAGAGAAATTACCGTCTCCGTGTAGGAAGGTCGGAGGAAGGTCGCACCTTGAATCAGCATCTTAAACCCGTTGATGAAATTTGAAGCTGAAGCTCTTTCCGAGACGAGCTTGGAGCGAAGACGCGACTCGCGTCCGGAGCTCGGGCCAACGGCGATGGTGAAAATCCGAAGCTCACTTGGGCTTGAGGTTGGGGTCATCACTTGGGCTTCAGGTCGGGCTTGAGTGAGCTCGAAGCGCCAGCGACGGTAGATGCTCTCATCCGATTTTGAAGTGCGACCAGAAACGGATAAGGAGGTCGTCTGCAGAAAATCGAAGAGCGAGTTAAAAGGTGAAGATGATTTGAAAAGAAGTCGAACTTTTTTTTGCGGATCTGGGAAAAAAAAAAGGTCCTTACCTCCACTCGATAGTCATTGTGTTGGAAGACTTTGCAGGTGGAGCTTGAAGATATCGGATCTTTACACCGAAGTTATCGCCGGTCCGGAGCTTGAAGCATCCCACCATTGAAGTGCAACCCGCGCTTGAAGCGTCTTCCCACTCGACCGTCTCCGTGTTGGTGACGGGGAAGAGACCGCAGCGACTTCCCTTGGAGGCAGCGACGGGGGTGGCCGCGAAGCTCTCTTCGCCGTATTGTAGATCTTAACGGCGACACTTCATGTCTCGCCAAGACGGTCGCCACGAGGTCTGCGGGAAGAAAGCAACATGTTAGTACCTGAACAATGTTGAAAAGCGACAATGTTAGTAACTTAACTGGCCTAAAACGGTTACAGGAAGAAGTCGAGAAACTTTGCACTTACCCCACTCGACCGGTGAAGACCGCCGGGGAGCGACAGTGAAGGCCGACATGGTCTTTGCGGTTGCGAGAATTGTCTTCCCCGCAACAGCGACGGGGAAGGTCGGCAACAGCAACTTGAGGCTGAAGCATTTGAAGCTGAATCTCTGGCCGAGACGAGCTTGGAGCGGAGACCCCGTGGCGATATTTTCGCCGTAGGAATCCTTGGCGTGGAGATATTGCAGAGATGATCCTGGCTGCGTCGGCGCTCTGATTTGCCGGGAAGATCGCGCCGTAAAACTCTCGCCGTGGAAGCTTCGTGGCGAGAAGATCTCTAAGAGAAGACTCGCGAAGACTCGCCATGTAAATCTTGCGGAAGAAATCATAGATGATTCGCGGTGTAAAGGTTGCCGCGAAAGGTTTTCATACACGGTTCGGCCCAAGGCACTTGGCAGCTCGCTCCTCACAGGACTCTACCCACCCATCCCACACCCGACCTCTATTCTAACTCAACGCCGCTTCATGCCATGGGCTTCTCCGTGTACTAGTAACCGTGGCTTCAGGTAGCATAGTTTGCTCGGTGGAGCTTCTAGCCTGAAGTGTAAGCTCATTAGGTTGGAGCATTCAAAGTATTCTTCCATGAGTTTGAGAAGAAAATGGACGACCAAAGACATAACATCGATGGTTATGCTCAGAATGGTGCAAAGGTCGCTGCTGAAACACAAGGAAGAAAGTGCTGCTGATGAGTGGACGAACCCAATTCAGCAATTCAGCCACCGCGGCGTCTCGTAGCGCGACTTCAAATCAAATGTGATAGAAAGTTACGCCATTTACTTAGGTGCAGTACGGTCGGACGGGGTGCCACGCACTTGCTCTGCCTGAGTTGGAGGGAATTACTGACACCACGCTGGGTGCGCGGTGCGAAAGTAAACAGAGTGTGTTGTGACAACCACCCTCAACGGTGACGATTACATCTGGTTGTGGCATGGGATGGAGGTGTGGTGGTGGCTATTGTCATTGGCCAATGAAATGCCCCGCCGACTAAGCGGCAGAGGACATTTCCCGAGAGCGCGTGGTGAACATGTTGTGGCGGCTCAAACTGTGTCCCCGCCTCATCCACCCAGCCAAAACCATGTTGTACATTCATCGAATTGTTCACAGTTGGGCTAAACTTGAATATTTGGTTGCAATTGTCAGTATGCAAACAAATTTGCTAAGGGCGCGTATCTCTGCTGGGGGGGTTTGTTGGGTGTGCTGGACTGCTAAGGGAGGTTCGACTTTCTAGGAGGTGGTTGACGTGGCGCTAAGTTGTTTTGGTCAGCATGAGTGAGTTTTTTTTTTTTTTTTTTTTTTTTTTTCAGTTTCGGCGTGAGTTCCGGGACTGCTTTGGTTTGGTTGGGGCATCAGTCTTTGGCGCTATGACTCGCTTTTATCCCCACTCGGGCAGTTGGAAAAACGATGGGTGGATGAGAAGAGATTTGCGCGAACCAATGGGAATGATTTGTGTTTTTGACACCCTGGCACAACCACCACTGCAACATCAACATCCCGAACCTCGATTTTCCGAACCTGCCACACCTAGTCCTTCTCAGCTGTCATTACGCAGGTGTAATATCGTGGTTCTGACTTATACCTAGTTGTGTTTGGTAGTAGTTTTGCAATGCAGCATGTGCCGCTCACTCTCTCCGTCGTACGTACACTTAGTCGCTTCACGCGTCTATTGTCGTGCTAGCAGTATGACATATGATCAGATATCGCAGTCTCGGTATACAATTTCAAGTTGCGCGCTCAGATCTGACTTCCATTTACTTGCGTGATTCGGACGGAAACATAACGTTTGTCGGCGGACGAGTTACTATCGTCGATTTCGTACGCATCAGTAACGTAGTGCGTTTCGTCGATTAGACAGCGCGTTTCGTCTACCTCACACCGTCGACTGTATCCTGGACGCAGGACGCGGTAAGGGAGGTGAGTGGAAGTGACGGTAATTTCCCCTTCCCCCTCCCCTTTCCGCTTTCGCCCTCATAACTTCGGAGCGTCGACGGTATCTTGGACTCGAGACGCGGAAAAGGAGGACGGGAGGTGAGTGGAGGTGAGTGGAGGTGAGTGAAGGGGAGAGATGGGGAAGTGGACGGAGAGGACTGGCGAAAGGGCGAAGCGGCCATTTTCCCCTTATTTCCCTCTTCCCCCTCCCCTTGCCGCCGTCAGCCTTATTTTCTTGGACTTGAGAGTGCGTCGATGGTAGCCTGGACGGACGGGAAACACGGAGGGCGGGAGGAGAGTGGGGGCGAGAAGAGGAAGGAGGGCGATGAGGGGAAGATGCACGCGCCCACTCGACGGTAGCCTGGACTTTAGCGGAAGGGAGTCGAGAGGGAATGAACAGGTGAAGCCGACATTTGAAGGCGGAAAGGATCGGTGAAAGGTCACAGGCGAATCAGCCCCCTTCCCCCTTGATTCCTCTCTCCCCCTCCCCCCCCTTCCCCCCCCCCTCCCCCTTCCCCCGCTTCCCCTTTTCTACACTTTCACCCTATGACCTAGCCTGGAAACGGCATTCATCTCCCCGTTTCCTAGCCCTCCCTTTTCTCGCTTGGCAGGCCTAGAAACGTCACTCATCTCTCAGCTTTCCTACTCGCTTATCCTTCCCCCTCTCCCCTCATCCTCCCCGCTCTCCCCTCATCCTCCCCGCTCTTCCCTCATCCTCCCCGCTCTCCCCTCATCCTCCCCGCTCTCCCCTCATTCTTCCCGCTCTCCCCTCATCCTCCCCGCTCTCCCCTCATCTTCCTTGCTTTCCCCTCATCCCCCCCCCCTCCCCTCATCCCCCTCGCTTTCCCCTCATCTTCCCCGCTCTCCTCTCATCTTTCCCGCGCTCCCGTCATTCCCCCTCTCTCCCTTCATCCAACCAGCCCCCCCTTCATATCACTGCCGCGCTCTATTGTTTTCTTTCTTCACGCCCACCCTCTATTGAGTTGGTTGGGGAGAGGAGTGGATCACATGTGTGGGCGTGATGTGATGTTGCCTGCACAGTAGCAGATGGAAGGGAGCGAATGGGTGCCATGGTGTGAGTGCATGTGACAAGGAAGTGAGTGATGGGACAAGGAAGTGAGTGATGGGACAAGGAAGTGAGTGATGGGACAAGGAAGTGAGTGATGGGACAAGGAAGTGAGTGATGGGACAAGGAAGTGAGTGATGGGACAAGGAAGTGAGTGATGGGACAAGGAAGTGAGTGATGGGACAAGGAAGTGAGTGATGGGACAAGGAAGTGAGTGATGGGACAAGGAAGTGAGTGATGGGACAAGGAAGTGGAGAGCAGAAGCGCACCTCAATGGTAGCAATGGACTCGAGAATGCCGTGCAGAAAGAGAGATTGAGATGGAACATTTTTTTATGTACCTGGAGACAAGGAAATGACGAGCGCAAGGGAGGGAGTAATAGAAGCACACCTCGATGGTGGCAATGGACTCGAGAATGCCGTGCAGGAAGACTTTTGAGTCGACTCAAAAGCCACCTCGTTACAATGGCACAGAAGCGCACCTCGATGGTGGCAATGGACTCGAGAATGCCGTGCAGGAAGACTTTTGAGTCGACTCAAAAGTCACCTCGTTACAATGGCACAGAAGCGCACCTCGATGGTGGCAATGGACTCGAGAATCCAGTGCAGGAAGAGAGCGTCGTCAGCAGGGCGAGGAGTCAAGCTGCATGAAGCCAGAGAGGAAAGGTGTGAATTATCCAATTCAGAGACGATCCAGTGAGGCTGGTTGTGCGAGCTAGTGAGACCATATGGCAGATAGGTATGAATCCGAGGCTGCACACTCATTGAGGCTGCAGGTCAGGTTCGGACACGGGGAACCACTCACCTGCACATGTGAGTGGGTAGTAATCGAGTTTCTCTCTACAGTCGGGTCTATTTTTGCACTCAGCTCCCTCAGCTGCTCGTCTGTGAAATGCTCCCGCAGCACTGCGCCGCCCGTATTCGACGCCCCGCCGACCAGCCACTTGCATTCCTTGTCTTCTTCTGCCGCACCTCCCTGCTCCGCCTCCCCCTCATTCTCCACTCCGGGCGGCGCCCAATCTCCGGGCGGCAAGCGGTGGCTGTATACTCCGAAGCGGGCATCGTCGATTCTCGCAGTGCTGACGAGCTTGACTGCGAGGGTAGAGCCAAGGGAGGTGACAGCATACCCAGGGGTAGTTACCCTCGGGGCCAGGAACGCGGCAATGCTGTCGGTGGTGCCGGTGGTGATGAAGCAAACAGACGGGAGGGCTGGAGGGAGGGAGGGATGGAGGGAAGGAGGGAGCAGGTGGAGGGGGGAAGGGGGGGAGGCTTATGTTTATGTCCCTCGCGGCCAGGAAGGCCGCAATGCTGTCGGCGGTGGCGGTGGTGATGATGCAGTCAGACGGAAGGGAGGGAGCAGGTGGAGGGTATAAGAGTGTCATGGTGAGAATATGACCAAGAGACCACACATAGGAGGAGTTACATGCAATGCTGTCATGGAGGGATGGTAGTGTGATGGTGATGCCACGCTTGGGAAATGCATGATTTACGCATGATTTACGCGTTTTGGATGCATCATAGAAAAGCTGAAGGCGCATACACGACGCCAGCGATATATTTCCCTTCCTAGAAGCTTCTCCTTCTAACAACATAGTTCACTCTCCACTTACACGAGCATCTGGTCTGTCTCCTAGGAGCACCGTAGTTGCATCTCATTCCTTCCTAGAAACGGCTCTCCTTCCTCATAGTGGCACATCCACTTCCGTTCTCTCACGTACACCCTCGTGTCGCTTGTTCTGCCCCCCCACTCGCTCCCTCCCCCACCTTAGCTCTGCCCCTGTCACTCCGCACCCTTAAAACTCCTCCCCATTTTTAGGAACGAAATCTACCTACTTCCCTTTTTCCCCACACCCCTCCTGACTTCATCCCACCACCAATCCCCGCTCCCCCCCCATCTCTGGAGGGAGCAATCTCAGGCCTTGAGAGCGTCTAATTTCTCCCTTCATCTCTCATTCATTCACGTCTCTATCCATTCATACTGTACCATGGGCCCATGGCACAGAGTGTTTGTTGATACGGTAGCTACTCTCTACCAACGTGGTGCTGCTGACATAACTTGATCCCATGATAGGTAGTATTTCAGATCAGATTTGATTCAACTCGTTTCCTTATTCCCAGGGTATGGCAACTCGTTTAACGAATTCAGACTGAATGACATTACCGGTATAAGTCTCACATTTATTCATGTTACAGGGTACACAGGTTGTTGCAACCCACAGCACAGCTCTAGATAACAAAGTAGCATGTGTTGTACACGTTGCCCCTCCCAGACCAATTTACATACTTACAGCACCTGTTACTTCCAACACCTTCCATGCCAGCTATATCACATCTTGTTTGCTCTCTTCACTTCACTCCGCGCAGCACCCCTTGCTACACCTGGGAACACCCTTTCCGGTTCTTACAGCATTGTCTCTCTGTCTCCTCGGACAAGGGCCGCTTTAGTTGCCTCGTTACAACCCTCGCCACTATAACATCATCGGGAGACTCTACAGCGGGGACAGGAGCACCAGCCGCAGCACCGCTAGCAGCTACCTTTCGCTCCGCACCCTCTGCTGTTGCGTGTGAATTTTCACCTCCTGCACCCTCTGCTTCTGCAGGTGATACCTCCTGCCCTGAAAATTCTGCCGGTGAAGGTGATGCCTCCTCCCCAGCACCATCAACTGCTGCTGCAGATGATACCTCCCCCCTTCCACCTTCTGCTGCTGCAGGAGATACTTCCACCCCTACACCTTCTGCTCCTGATGCTGCCCTTGCTGCTCTGGTTTCTGCTGTCATCCTCTCCGTTACTGCTGCTTCTGCTGCAGCAGCAGAAGCAGCACCCAAGTGCCCATAACCTACCGAAGCCACCTCTATTCGTGCTTCTGATCCCACTCCCGGGTCCTCTGCCCTTGCTGATGCTGCTGCGGCATCCTCTGCTGCTGCGGCATCCTCTGCTGCTACGGCTTCCTCTGCTGCTGCGGCTTCCTCTGCTGCTGCGGCTTCCTCTGCTGCTGCGGCTTCCTCTGCTGCTGCGGCTTCCTCTGCTGCTGCACGGAGATCACTTAAAGCCTCAGCTACTGGATTACTACAATTGGACTGCCCAGAGGCACTCCGGGATCCCCTCCGCGAACAAACGGTCCCGTCACAAAGAAACCGTACCACGCCTCAAAAGCCGCGCTATTTTCTGCCTGTAATTTACTCATACACGTCCTGCCCGTGTAGCTGCCCCAACCAAAGGGTAACTCGACCGTGCTTGTGAAGGCCGGGCAGTGGAGTGATTTACCCTGAACTGTAGAATATTTAGGCATATCTTTCAGCATACGGCTGCAGTCTACCTGTAATAAGGACTTCGCATTGGCTTTTGCGATTTTTATTGCCATGGACGCGACTCGGACGGTATCCGCTGGTGGTTGTGCGTTGGGACAGGAAACTGTTCCCGAAACGGCATTCCGGAAGGCGGCACGGTAAGCTAGAAGCTCCGCGTTTTTTTTCTGCACGGTAAAGCAAAGAAACGGAACTTCGGCAGTCAACGAGATTTGCTGCCGGTATTCACGCTGACCGCGAAAAACTTTCGTGCCCAATTCGACAGCGAAATCCCATGTTTTAAAACCGTAGAGCTCTGGAGGCGTGATCGTGACGCCTCGAGGTGGCGGTACGTTAAGGGCTGACGATAGGTCGTTCAGCAGCTTCGCGTACATTATCCCTGAATAATCGGAAAGTAGAACGAATAGAAATGATTGCTCAGCAAATTATTAGCACCCTCAAGCGCCGAAAGGCAGTCGAGCTAACCTGGGGACGACGAGCGGGGAGATTAAAAGCGTGTGTCGCGGGAAGAGTTGGAGGAGAAACCATGGGCCGGGCCCAGGCATCACATCACTGGCTTCTTGCTTTCCTCCTGCCCTCCCTGTCGTCCGCTGAAAGAGCATAAGAGCCCCATGATATCGTACACTATATTACGTACAGTTCCATGTCTTTATTCAACTCGTTTACTCATTTTCTGTAATTACCGTAGTTTAATGACCACAGAAAGTATAAATAATCAAGACTCCTGACACCACAGTGCTGCGGTAGATACATAGGTATGTACACATCAACTTATATCACAAGGTACAAGCAAATTGTTGCACTGTACTGTACAGCTCTACATGACACACCACACCAGCCTTTGCTATACACACATCGTCCCCCATTATCCATAACGTTTTTGCCTACTCTCAACATACCGTGTTGATAGTTGCCTTCACATCTCTTTTGCTAGCTGCTCTTCACTCTGCTCCTTGCGACGTGTGGAACACTTTCTCAGCTTTTTCTGCCCTTGACCAGCTGACTTCTTCGATACGACGCGCTTCGGCCGCTTTTTAACAGCCTCCACCTCCACAACATCACCACCAGCAGCATCACCAGCAGCAGCAGAACCACCAGCAGCATCAACAGCAGCTATCTCCACTCCTGTACCCTCTGCTTCTGCACTTGCTGCCAGCCCCCTTGCACACTTTCTCAGTTTTTTCTGCCCTTGATCAACTGACTTCTTTGATACGACAAGCTTCGGCCGCTTCTTAACAGCCCCCACCTCCACAACATCACCAGAAGACTCTGTAGAGGGGATAGGAGCACCAGAGGCAGCACCAGTGGCACCACCAGCAGCATCACCACCAGCAGCACCAGCAGCAGCATCACCAGCAGCAGCATCACCAGCAGCAGCATCACCAGCAGCAGCATCACCAGCAGCAGCTGTCTCCGCTCCTGCACCCTCTGTTTTTGCAGTTGCTGCCAGCCCCCTTGCACACTTTCTCAGTGTTTTCTGCCCTCGATCAACATCACCAGCAGCAGCTATCTCCGGTCCTGCACCCTCTGTTTTTGCAGTTGCTGCCAGCCCCCTTGCACACTTTCTCAGTGTTTTCTGCCCTCGATCAACATCACCAGCAGCAGCTATCTCCGGTCCTGCACCCTCTGTTTTTGCAGTTGCTGCCAGCCCCCTTGCACACTTTCTCAGTGTTTTCTGCCCTCGATCAGCATCACCACCAGCAGCATCACCAGCAGCAGCTATATCCGCTCCTGCACCCTCTGTTTTTGCAGTTGCTGCCAGCCCTCCTGCACCCTCTGCTACTGCTGCAGGTGCTATCTCTCCTTCAGCACCCTCTGCTACTGTTGCAGGTGCTATCTCCCCCCCAGCACCCTCTGCTACTGCTGCAGGTGCGACCTCCCCCCCAGCACCCTCTGCTCCTGCTATGTCTTCCTCTTTTACTCCCACTGCTGCTGCTGCTCCTGCTGCTTCAGCTGCTCCTGCTGCTTCTGCTCCTGCTCCTCCTGCTGCTTCTGCTCCTGCTGCTCCTGCTGCGTCTGCTCCTGCTACTTCTGCTCCAGCTAAAATTGCTCCAGCAGGCCCCAACACCCCACAACCTCCTGCACCCACCTCCTCTCGTCCTGCTGCCGAAGACAATTCCGGTTCCACTTTTTCTGCTGCTACTGCTGCGGCAGCCCCCAACACCCCACAACCTCCTGCACCCACCTCCTCTCCTCCTGCTGCTGAAGCTATTTCCGGTTCCACTTTATTTGCCGCGACTGCTGCGGCCTCCTCTGCTGCTGCCCCCACCACCCTCCCTTCAGCACCAGCTGCCGCGTCTTCCAGCTCTCCCCCTACCTGTACACCTCCCAGGAGGATTCCCTCCTCCCCTCCGCGTATGAATGGTCCCTCCACAAAAAAACCCAACCATGCCTCAAAAGCTGCACTGGTTTCTGCCTGCGTCTTAGTCATGCATGGCCTGCCCATGTAGCTGCCCCAATTGAAGGGCAGCTGCACCGTGCATGTGAAAGATGGGCAGTGAGACGGACCCTGCGTGTCCGTGAAATACCGTGGCGTGCCTCCCAGCATCCTGGTACAGTCCACCTGAAGCAGTAACTTCGCGTGGACTTTCGCAATCTCTTTCGCCACACCTGCGACACGCTCGGCGTCTGCCGGTGGCTGCGCATCCGGACACGAAATGTTTCCTGAAATCGCATTCCTGAAGGCAGCGCGGTATGCTAAGAGCTCAGCATCTTTCTTTCGTAACCCAAGGATGGAACTCGGGCCGTTCGATTCCTCCCTTGAGATCTGCTGCCAGCTTTCTGGCAGTCCGCGGAAAGTTCTAGATCCGAAGGTGACTTGGAAATCCCAAGTCAACAGATGCGGAGATCCTCTTGAGCCCAACGAGAGACCATGCGGGGGCGACACGTTCAGCGCTGAGGCGAGATCTTGTAACAACTTAGTATACATGATTCTAAGAAGGTATTACGATGTAGTCTGATTGACTCTGTTATCTTGATCTTCCTTTGACACCAACGAAGAAAATGAGGGATGAGGGATCGATAACAAGGGACTAGGTTCTGGCAATATGCGACGTCACGTCTTAGATGCAGCCCACCTCGCATTTCCTGGGTGAGAGAGACCGTAGTCGGCGGGTTGATAACAGTGGGAGATTCTCTAAGACAAGATCTCCAGGAACTAGGAGCGCGAGATGGCATCTGGTTCGTTCCTCTACACGCCACAACGCAACGATCTAAAGCGGAGGAGAAATTCTTCGACATTATTCTAAATCAAGGCGGGAAATCCGAGCCGCTCGACTTGCTCGTAACAGCTGTCCGTCCTACCTCGTCACTCACGCCAGCATGCGAAGGTTATTCCTAAAAGCGGTTGCGATTCGTGCATGCAGAAGGGTGACTGGTTGACTGGTTTGCTCTCTGGACGTGAAGAATGCTCGGTGCTAAGGGGGTGACTGGTTGGCTGCTTTGCTGGACGTGAAGAGGACTCGCCGTCAAGCAGTGTGTGAAGACGAGATCGGGTGGAAAAACACAAACGAATTCCGGCAAGCAGTGTGTTGGCAAGTATGAAGTGTAGACAAATGCACACCGTACAATCAATATATGGATGGTTGATGTGTATGGCACATAGCATTATTGCTTTCACCCTGGACCTGCAAAACACAGCTGGGCGCTGCAACATTTGCTAGATTAGAGAGCAACTTCTAGAGACAAATTTACAGCTTGAAGTGTTGAAACCAGACCAGTTTTGAAACACTATAATTGGCTTCCTTATGAATGGAACCCTTCATACCACATAGAAGGTGTGTAATGCTTTACAAGAACACGGCAGTGGAACGCCCGACGACCGCGTACTCGGGGGCTCAGGGTCCATGAGAGTTCCGGGGGGAATGTCGTACTTATGTTTCTCCCTTAGCGTGCTAGTGCATGACTGCTACACGCAGTAGACGCATGGAGAAAACAGCTCAAAGCCAAGGACTCCGCCATCGGCAATTATGACAATTCAAAGCCGGCCGGCCGGTTCCAGAAGAGATGGCATACTCGAGCTTATCCCGCAGCGTGCTAATTGGATGACAGCTTCATGCAGTAGACACGTGGACTGGAATTGACAGGGCAAAGCCCAAGGACCTAGGGACCATAGCTCAGGAGAGTTCAAAGCCGGTTCCAGAAGAAATGGCATACTTGAGCTTATCCCGCAGCGTGCTGGCTCGTTGATATGTGGGCAGCTGTGGGAGGGAGGGTTGGAGGGGAGGTGGGGGAGGGGAGGGGGAAAGAGCATTGGAGTTGAGCTTAACCTGTAGCATGCTGGCTTGTTGTATGTGGGCAGCTGTGGCAAAGCACGGGGTACAAGGAAACACACCATGAAGACAGATCAATGGGCATTGTCAGCACTGATGTACGAGTTTCGGAACGTCAGTTGTCTCAAAATATTTGGGCAGGTGCGGGCACAAGGGGCCACAGGGGGGCGTGCTGTGGTGGCTGGTTCGAACATTCATGCGCAGCTGTAGAGGGGAAGAGTGTGATAAGTGGCACATATAGAATCAGGAGGATCAAGGCAATCAAGGCAACACAGGTAGAAGAGGTAGTGAAGGCAGGTCGGTGAAAGGCACTTCAGATGGTGAGATCCAGAGAAATACAGCAACATAGACTTATAGAAAAGATAAGAAATCATGAGAATATGGAAATACGAAAATACTGGAAAATGGATTTACGAAAGGCACAGCAAAAACAATGATTACTTTGAGGAGGCTGTGGCAGCAAGCAATGATTACCTTGAGCAGGCTGTGGCAGCAAGCAATGATTACCTTGAGCAGGTTGTAGCAGGTGCTAGCAGTGGGAAGCCAGTCCACATCGTGCCCTCCTAGTGTAGCCCACATGGACGCGTCCACATTCACCTGATAGTGAGGCAGGTTATAAGGGGTATGAAACACACGCTGCATGAAGCAGAGGGCAAGTGCTAGCAGTGGGAAGCCAGTCCACATCAGGCCCTCCCAGTGTAGCCCACATGGACGCGTCCACATTGACCTGGTAGTGAGGCGGGTAATATGGGGTACGAAACACACGCTGCATGAAGCAGAGGGCAAGTGCTAGCAGTGGGAAGCCAGTCCACATCGGGCCCTCCTAGTGTAGCCCACATGGACGCATCCACATTCACCTGATAGTGAGGCAGGTTATAAGGGGTATGAAACATACGCAGCAAGAGTCATGGCATTCAGACCAGCCAGCCCACATGCTGACCTCCCAGTCACAAGCGACTGCAATCACACTCACCTGTCTTACAGTCACATCTGATCGTAGTCACACCTTGTGGATGGTGACGGATGAGTAGCTTAAACTTCGAAGGAGCAGCTGGTCACGAGTTTCCGTTCAGTTTACATAAAAAAAATTAACTATGTTCCGTTGTTAGAATAACATCTGAGAGCATAGTCACACACAGTGACACACACCTTGTGGATGGTGAGAGGCGGGTTGAGGTGCTTAAAGCCCAGTAAGGGCGGTCGCGAGCAGCTGGTCACGAATTTGAGCAGCTGGCTCTTCTCCTCCCTTGAGAGCTCCTTCACCACCTGGTGTGATGGTGGGACATGGTGAGTGGAAGACAGGAGGGAGAATAAAAATCATTTATCCAGGGACACTCTTCCTTTGCAGCAGCTAGTTCTGAACTTGGGCAGCTGGCTCTTCTCCTCCCTTGATAGCTCCTTCACCACCTGATGTGATGGTGATATATGGTGAGGAACGAAAGAGAGGAGGGAGAGGAGAGAATGACCCCCTCAGCTTAGCAGCTGGTGACGAATTCAAGCAGATGGTGACGAATTCAAGCAGCTGGCTCTTCTCCTCACTTGATAGCTCCTTCACCACTGGAATAACAGTCTCAGCCACGGAACAAGGAAATAACCGCTTGGGCTGACGCGGACACTCTCACGCACCTCCCAGTTTTGAGACGTCTCAAAACGCGGACACGCGCACGCACCTCCCAGAACATGCGGATGGTGCGATCGCTCTCTGTGTATCCTCCCGAGTACCACGTGTGTGCCTTGAGATCCTCCACGTCCACTCTTTCTTCCCCCAACTCACCCAACTCATCTCAGGGCAACGCACGCGCACGCACCTCCCAGAACATGCGGATGGTTCGGTCGCTCTCCGTGTATCCCCCCGAGTATCTCGTGTGCACCCTGAGGTCCTCCACGTCCACGTCCTGCTCTCCGCCTGACAGCAACTGCTCACAAACATTACAGCGCGACAGAGAGACAGGGTCACAGAAGGCACATAGATTGGGCTTCAGAGCCTAGAGGTGTGCACCCTGAGGTCCTCCACGTCCACGTCCTGCTCTCCGCCTGACAGCAACTGCTCACAGGGAGAGGGACAGGGTGCAGGCACATACACACAGAACACAGGCAGACACATTGGGCTTGAGGCCTAGCGGTGTGTGCCTTGAGATCCTCCACGTCCACGTCCTGCTCTCCGCCTGACAGCAGCTGTTTAAAGAGAGAAGCACACACAGGACACAGGCATGCATACATGGGATGGGACACAGGCAGACACACTGGGCTTGAGGCCTGGAGATGTGTGCCTTGAGATCGAGTTGAAGCAGTTACATAGACACATGCTACTTGATTACACCCAGAGTCACAGACATTTGAGTCGACTCAAAAGTCACCTCAGAGAGAGTTGAAGCAGTTATATAGACACATGCTACTTGATTACACCCAGAGTCACAGACACAGACCGCAGAAGTAAAAAAGAATCTCTGTTGCTATCTCCTGTGCATTCAACTGGATTCTTGCTATCTTGCGTGTTCCTGCCTGCTATGTTGCAATCTCCTGAAATCTCACCTGATTGAACTCCTTTGGGCTGAACAGCCGCAGCCACTCGGGCTGAATCAGATCTGAGAGGCCCCTCAGAAACGCCGCCACCACTGCTGCCATCTGCCAGTAGGAGGTGGAAGGAAGGGGTGCGCATGGGGCCAAGGGGGGGATGGAAAGGGGGGTTACAAGGGGACGGGTAGAGAGTAGACAGGCCTTTGAGTTGATTCAACAGCCGCAGCCACTCAGGCTGAATCAGATCAGAGACGAGAGGCCCCTTAGAAACGCTGCCACCACTGCTGCCATCTGCCAATGTCAGGAGGAGTGGCGGGCAGGGTGTGGGGGGGATGGAGGGGGTTAACAAGGGGGCGAGTAGAGAGGGAACAGGCTTTTGAGTTGACCGACAGCCGCAGCCACTCGGGCTGAATCAGATCTGAGAGGCCCCTTAGAAACGCTGCCACCACTGCTGCCATCTGCCAGTGTGTGTTGTGGGGAGAGTATGTTGTGACGGGAAGTGGGAGGTATTCAAGCAGGTATACAAGCGGGAATTAGAGATGGAGCGAACTTATGAGTCGACTGAACAGCTGCAGTCACTCAGGCTGAATCAAATCTGAGAGGCCCCTCAGAAACGCCGCCACCACTGCTGCCATCTGCCAGTAGGAGGTGGAAGGAGGGGTTCCGCATGGGCCCATGGGGGAGATGGAAAGGGGGTTACAAGGGGGCGGGTAGAGAGGAGACAGGCCTTTGAGTTGACTCAACAGCCGCAGCCACTCAGGCTGAATCAAATCTGAGAGGCCCCTCAGGAACGCTGCAACCACCGCTGCCATCTGAACAAGTGGAGGATGGTGGCGGAAGGGAGGGGGAGGGGGAAGGTGGAAGGGGGGAGAAGAAAGTCGCATAGGTCAAGATTTTCCACTGCAAATCTAAAAAATAAAGATCTGCAAATCTCAAAAATCAGGATCTGCAAATCTCAAAAATCAAGATTTGCAAATCTCAGGTTTAGGATGGCTAATTTTGAAATTTGAAACGCCTAAAAAATAATTGGTCATTGCCAATTTCAGGTTCAGGGTTGTGGATGGTTAAGGTGGCAGTCAGCCACAGCAGAATGCACCACAACTTGTTCTCATTGGTCACTGTTAAACCCCCCTGACTACTGATAAAACCACCTGAAATTTCACCTGACAGTTGAGATTGTTTCACTGGCCCTTGTAGCTTGTTGAATCCACCTGACAGTTGTTGAAACCACCTGAACTCTCACCTGACGGTTGAGCTTGTAGTCCGCCACGGCATGGATGTACTGCAGCTTGTTCTCATTGGTCACTGCAATGTGACTGCCGCCCGGCCGCAGCTCCACGATGCTGTGCTCTCCCAGCACTTCCTCTGTCACTGTGAAGTCCAATGCCAGTTCAGATGCATCTCCTTCGTAGTGCTGCATGGGAACGAGCAAGGCGAGGAGAGACAGGAGTTGGAAGGCCGGGGCCCGCAGCTCCACGATGCTGTGCTCTCCCAGCACCTCTTCTGTCACTGTGAAGTCCAATGCCAGTTCAGATGCATCTCCTTCGTAGTGCTGCATGGGAACGAGCAAGGCGAGGAGAGACAGGAGTTGGAAGGCCGGGGCCCGCAGCTCCACGATGCTGTGCTCTCCCAGCACCTCTTCTGTCACTGTGAAGTCCAATGCCAGTTCAGATGCATCTCCTTCGTAGTGCTGCATGGGAACGAGCAAGGCGAGGAGAGACAGGAGTTGGAAGGCCGGGGCCCGCAGCTCCACGATGCTGTGCTCTCCCAGCACCTCTTCTGTCACTGTGAAGTCCAATGCCAGTTCAGATGCATCTCCTTCGTAGTGCTGCATGGGAACGAGCAAGGCGAGGAGAGACAGGAGTTGGAAGGCCGGGGCCCGCAGCTCCACGATGCTGTGCTCTCCCAGCACCTCTTCTGTCACTGTGAAGTCCAATGCCAGTTCAGATGCATCTCCTTCGTAGTGCTGCATGGGAACGAGCAAGGCGAGGAGAGACAGGAGTTGGAAGGCCGGGGCCCGCAGCTCCACGATGCTGTGCTCGCCCAGCACCTCTTCTGTCACTGTGAAGTCCAATGCCAGTTCAGATGCGTCTCCCTCATAGTGCTGCATCGATAAGAGAAGGACGGCGGAAACGGGAGGGGATGGCATGGAAGAGAAGAGAGATGGGTGGCTACTGCCCGGCCGAAGCTCCAAGATGCTGTGGTCTCCCAGCACCTCTTCTGTCACTGTGAAGTCTAATGCCAATTCCGAGGCATCCCCCTCGTAGTGCTGAAGGTGGGTGGGGGGATTTGCGAGGGGGGAAGGGGGAGAAAGAGGTGATATGACTGCTGCCCGGCCGGCCGCAGCTCCACAATGCTGTGCTCGCCCAACACTTCTTCAGTCACCGAGAAGTCCAACGCCAACTCAGATGCATCCCCTTCGTAGTTCTGCATGGCACGGAGCACGAGGAGGAGAGATAAAAGGTCACTGTTGGGGGTCACAGATGCACAATGCTGTGCTCTCCCAGCACCTCTTCTGTCACCGCGAAGTCTAACGCCAACTCAGATCAGATGCATCCCCTTCGTAGTGCTGCATGGAAGGGTAAGGGACACTAGGGCTTCACTCATCACTCGCAGCCCCACAATATTGTGCTCTCCTAACACTTCCTCTGTCACTGTGACGTCCAAAGCCAGTTCAGAGGCATCCCCCCCGTAGTGCTGCGGAGAGGGGCAGGGGGGTAAGGGGCAGGTGGTGCATTAGTCACTGCGATGTGACTGCCACCCGGCCGAAGCTCCACAATGCTGTGCTCGCCCAGCACTTCTTCAGTAACCGTGAAATCTAATGCCAATTCTGAGGCATCCCCCTCGTAGTGCTGCACGGGAAGGAGAACAGGAAGGCGGGCGATAAGGGGATGGACGGACAATGGTTGGCGGGAGCAGCAGAAGCTCCACAATGCTGTGCTCGCCCAGCACTTCTTCAGTAACCGTGAAATCCAATGCCAATTCTGAGGCATCCCCCTCGTAGTGCTGCACGGGAAGGAGAACAGGAAGGCGGGCGATAAGGGGATGGACGGACAATGGTTGGCGGGAGCAGCAGAAGCTCCACAATGCTGTGCTCGCCCAGCACTTCTTCAGTAACCGTGAAATCCAATGCCAATTCTGAGGCATCCCCCTCGTAGTGCTGCACGGGAAGGAGAACAGGAAGGCGGGCGATAAGGGGATGGACGGACAATGGTTGGCGGGAGCAGCAGAAGCTCCACAATGCTGTGCTCGCCCAGCACTTCTTCAGTAACCGTGAAGTCCAGAGCTATCTCCGGGGCATCCCCCTCGCAGTGCTGCATCGAGAAGAGGAGAGGAAAACGGGAGGGGATGGCATGGAAGAGAGATGGGTGGCTACTGCCCGGCTGCAGCTCCACGATGGGTACATCCGGGCCCATTGTGTCTGGCCTAAGCTCAGCGTAGAAGAGATTAGAACGAGTTAGCTCTGCTGGATCTGGGTCGAAACTATCTTTCTAGGCTGCAGCTCCACGATGGGTACATCCGGGCCCGTTGTGTCTGGACACGATGGGCTGGACACGATGTGTCTGGCGTTCTGACTAAAATACTTTTTTCTTACGGCTTCCCTCATTTTTTCAGATTAGTACCGATAGGCTTAGTTCTATAGATCGTTCTTGATCTCTTAGAAGGCTTGCAGCGGATCGAAACCAGCTGATTTCAACATGGAAGAGAGATGGGTGACTGCCACCCGGCTGCAGCTCCACGATGCTGTGCTCTCCCAGCACCTCCTCTGTCACTGTGAAGTCCAATGCCAGCTGGTTTTTGAGAATTCTCAAAAACCACTTTCTCTGTCACTGTGAAGTCTGCCTCAGAGTTTGCTCTGAGGCAACCCCCTCATGGTGCTGCACCGGGTGGATGGGAGCAAGAGGAGGAGAGGCACGAGTGGCACGAGTTGCACACGGCTTGCTGCGGTTCGAATCCTTCTTTACTCTGCAAGAGGCACGAGTGGCACGAGTTGCATGGTACTTCAAATACATGAGATTCCGGTTCAGCTCCACGTCCAATGAAGAGAGCTCGTCCAAGAACGCGTATCGCCCCACCAGCTTGGACACGAACAGAGGAGAAGCTCTACTGCCAAACCCACCCTCCCACCCACCCACCAACCCACCTTCAAATACATGAGGTTGCGGTACAGCTCCACGTCCAGCGATGAGAGCTAGTCAAGGAAGGTGTATGCTTACACACCACACACGCGCACACACTACAGCCACACTTCACCCACCCACCTTCAAATACATGAGGTTGCGGTACAGCTCCACGTCCAAGGATGAGAGCTCGTCCAAGAACGCGTATCTCCCCACCAGCTTGGACACAAAGAGTGGAGCGAAGCTGTACTGGAGGAGAATGCCCTCGTAGAGTGCCTTGCCCACTATGATGCCCAGTGTAACCACACGATGATGCCCAATCACATGCTACAATCAGCTGTACTGGAGGAGAATGCCCTCGTAGAGTGCCTTGCCCACTATGCTGGTCACTCTGCCCTGCCCCACTATGCCCCACCATACCCAACCACCGACTCAGGACTCTTGGAATACACTTATACAAAGGCACAGCCAGACAACCCACCTTGAGATGCATGAGATTCCGTTACAGCTCCACGTCCAGAAAGGCGTGTCACCCCACTAGCTTGGAGACAAAGAGCGGGGCGAAGCCGTACTGGAGGAGAATGCCCTCGTACAGCGCCTTGCCCACGATGCTAACAGTCTGCCCAGACGATGATGCAGTCACATGCCCAGATTCCGGTACAGCTCCATATCCAGGGATGAGAGCTCGTACTGGAGGAGAATGCCCTCGTACAGCGCCTTGCCCACTATGCTGAGACACACAGTGAGAAGTCCCCCCCAAAATGTCAGACAGTACGACCCACCTTAAGATACATCAGGTTCCGGTACAGCTCCATGTCGAGCGACGAGAGCTCATCCAGAAAGGCATATCTCCTATCCAGTTACAGGGCTTCACGCTGCTTGCACACCCACCCATTCCCCCACCCACCTTCAACTACATGAGATTGCGGTACAGCTCCACGTCTAGCGATGAGAGCTCGTACAGAAACGAGTATCTCCCCACGAGCTTGGAGACAAAGAGCGGGGCGAAGCTGTACTGGAGGAGAATGCCCTCGTAGAGTGCCTTGCCCACGATGGTGCTGATCACTATGCGTACACACCACACACTACACTACAGCCACACCAGAAACTTTCTGGCAGAAAGGCATATCGCCCCACGAGCTTGGACACAAAGAGAGGGGCGAAGCTGTACTGGAGGAGAATGCCCTCGTAGAGTGCCTTGCCTACGATGCGGCCTCTGTGGACATGCAATGCCCACTATGCAGACACGAACAGGGGGGCGAAGCTGTATTCCAGCAGGATTCCCTCGTACAGCGCCTTGCCCACTATGCGGCCCAGTCACATGCTACACTCACACACCCACCTTCAAATACATGAGGTTGCGGTACAGCTCCACGTCCAGCGATGAGAGCTCATCCAAAAAGTCGTATCTCCCCACTAGCTTGGAGACAAAGAGTGGCGCGAAGCTGTATTCCAGCAGGATTCCCTCGTACAGCGCCTTGCCCACTATGCAGGTCACTGTGCCCCCATGCACGCAAAGTAGAAGGTGGTAGAGGAAGGACGACCCACCTTGAGGTACATGAGGTTGCGGCCCAGCTCACACCCACCTTCAAATACATGAGATTGCGGTACAGCTCAACGTCCAATGAAGAGAGCTCGTCCAAGAAGGCATATCGCCCGACCAACTTCGAGACGAACAGGGGAGCGAAGCTGTATTCCAGCAGGATTCCCTCGTACAGCGCCTTGCCCACGATGCGGCCCAGTCACATGCTACACTCACACACCCACCTTCAAATACATGAGGTTGCGGTACAGCTCCACGTCCAGCGATGAGAGCTCATCCAAAAACGCGTATCTCCCCACGAGCTTGGACACGAAGAGAGGGGCGAAGCTGTATTCCAGCAGGATGCCCTCGTACAGCGCCTTGCCCACTATGCGGCCCAGTCTGCCCACACGATGTCACTATGCCCACATGCACAGGAGAAGCTACAGCCACACCCAGCCACCCACCCACCCACCTTGAGATACATGAGGTTGCGGTACAGCTCCACATCCAGTGATGAGAGCTCATCCAAGAAGGCGTATCTTCCCACTAGCTTGGAGACAAACAGTGGCGCGAAGCTGTACTCGAGCAGGATGCCCTCGTACAGCGCCTTGCCCACGATGCGGCCCAGTCTGCCCACACGATGTCACTATGCCCACATGCACAGGAGAAGCTACAGCCACACCCAGCCACCCACCCACCCACCTTGAGATACATGAGGTTGCGGTACAGCTCCACATCCAGTGATGAGAGCTCATCCAAGAAGGCGTATCTTCCCACTAGCTTGGAGACAAACAGTGGCGCGAAGCTGTACTCGAGCAGGATGCCCTCGTACAGCGCCTTGCCCACGATGCGGCCGAGAAACTCCACCATGGGAATGCCGTGGCCCAGCGCTGCCGCTGCCGGGTGCGGATACAGGTAACCCTCTTCTGTGGCCGCCTGGAGGAACAGGCCGTAGCTGGGGAGAGCAGGGAGGGAAGGGAGGGAAGGGAGGGAAGGGATGGATGAAGAGAAGAACCCAAACTCCAATACGATGCGGCCGAGAAACTCCACCATGGGAATGCCGTGGCCCAGCGCTGCCGCTGCCGGGTGCGGATACAGGTAACCCTCTTCTGTGGCCGCCTGGAGGAACAGGCCGTAGCTGGGGAGAGCAGGGAGGGAAGGGAGGGAAGGGATGGATGAAGAGAAGAACCCAAACTCCAATACGATGCGGCCGAGAAACTCCACCATGGGAATGCCGTGGCCCAGCGCTGCCGCTGCCGGGTGCGGATACAGGTAACCCTCTTCTGTGGCCGCTTGGAGGAACAGGCCGTAGCTGGGGAGAACAGGGAGGGAAGGGAGGGAAGGGATGGATGAAGAGAAGAGGGGAAGAATGAGTCCAATCCCACCCACGATGCGGCCGAGAAACTCCACCATGGGAATGCCGTGGCCCAGCGCTGCCGCTGCCGGGTGCGGATACAGGTAACCCTCTTCTGTGGCCGCTTGGAGGAACAGGCCGTAGCTGGGGAGAGCAGGGAGGGAAGGGAGGGAAGGGATGGATGAAGAGAAGAGGGGAAGAATGAGTCCAATCCCACCCACGATGCGGCCGAGAAACTCCACCATGGGAATGCCGTGGCCCAGCGCTGCCGCTGCCGGGTGCGGATACAGGTAACCCTCTTCTGTGGCCGCTTGGAGGAACAGGCCGTAGCTGGGGAGAACAGGGAGGGAAGGGAGGGAAGGGATGGATGAAGAGAAGAGGGGAAGAATGAGTCCAATCCCACCCACGATGCGGCCGAGAAACTCCACCATGGGAATGCCGTGGCCCAGCGCTGCCGCTGCGGTGCGGATACAGGTAACCCTCTTCTGTGGCCGCTTGGAGGAACAGGCCGTAGCTGGGGAGAACAGGGAGGGAAGGGAGGGAAGGGATGGATGAAGAGAAGAGGGGAAGAATGAGTCCAATCCCACCCACGATGCGGCCGAGAAACTGCACCATGGGAATGCCGTGGCCCAGCACTGCTGCCGCCGGATGCGGGTAGAGGTAACCTTCCTCTGTTGCCGCCTGCAAGAAGAGCCAGTAGCTGGGGTGAAGAGGGCGGGTGGGAGGTGGGAAGGACGGATGGAAGGGCGGAGGAAGGAAGTGAAAAAGAATGAGCCCACAGTCACCCACGATACGGCCGAGAAACTCCACCATGGGAATGCCGCGACACAGCGCCGCTGCTGCCGGATGCGGGTAGAGGTAACCCTCTTCTGTTGCTGCTTGGAGGGACAGACCGTAGCTGGGGGGAGGGTGTCAAACGAGGGGGGATAGAGGAGAAAGAGAGAGAGAGAGGGAGGCAAAAAGATAGTGATTTTTTAGCTGTTGCAGCATGGATGGAGGGGAGGAGAATGCCCTAGTAGTGAGCCTTGCCCACGCTGCACCGCCCGCTCATACGCTGCACCGCCCGCTCATACGCTGCACCGCCCGCTCATACGCTGCACTGCCCGCTCATACGCTGCACCGCCTGCTCATACGCTGCACCGCCCGCTCATACGCTGCACCGGAGGCTCATACGCTGCACCGCACGCTCATACGCTGCACCGCCCGCTCACACGCTGCACCCCCCGTTCACACGCTGCACCGCACGCTCACACGCTGCACCGCACGCTCACACGCTGCACCGCCCGCTCATACACTGCACCGCACGCACATACACTGCACAACCTACCAACTCAAAGTGTCACCTGCCACTCAATGTGCGACCTGGCCCAAATGCCACCTACCCCGGGTCGAAGGCTGCTTTAGCAAGGTCAGTCAGGAACTCCTTAAAGAGTCCGCCCTGGTCCATGCCTATCTCGACATCACATGCACCACTTGTCCCAAGCGCCATTAACCCCTAGTGCCACTTACCCCGGGTCGAAGGCTGCTTTAGCAAGGTCAGTGAGGAACTCCTTAAAGAGTCCTCCCTGGTGCATGTCTATCTCGACATCACAAGCACCCCCTGTCCTCCATACAACGTGCCGCTAGTGCCACCTGCTCAGGTGCCATTTATCCCCCAGGTGCCACCTACCCTGGGTCGAAGGCTGCTTTAGCGAGGTCAGTGAGAAACTCCTTAAAGAGTCCGCCCTGGTGCATGTCTATCTCGACATCACATGCACCCCCTGTCCTCCATACACAACCTGCCACACATGCCACCTGCCCCAAGTACAGCTCACTCCAGGTTCCACCTACCCTGGGTCGAAGGCTGCTTTAGCGAGGTCAGTGAGGAACTCTTTAAAGAGTCCGCCCTGGTCCATGCCTATCTCCTCCGCTCCGAAAGCATTCACGAAGGAGACGCGCACACGACCCTGAGATGGGAGCAAAAAGAGATGAGAGGGAGAGTGAGAGAGCAGGGGAGTGAGGGAGGAATGAGAGGGAGAGTCCGCCCTGGTCCATGCCTATCTCCTCCGCTCCAAACGCGTTCACAAATGACACGCGCACACGGCCCTGTGGGGTGGTTGGAGCGGGAGGGAGAGAATGTGAAAGAGCGAGGGCGGAATGAGAAAGGGAGAGGGTGGAGAGAAAGGGAGAGGGTGGAGAGAAAGGGAGAGGGAGGAGAGAAAGGGAGAGGGAGGAGAGAAAGCAAGAAGGAGGAGGGAAGGGAGCATTTTTTGAGCTACAGGTCCCGCCACAGACACATCGACGGCGCTTTTTAGGGCAGTTCTTTGCAGTTACTGATCCCAATTGTTGTTGGCGGTTTTTGAGGATTCTCACAAAAACCACATTCACAGTGGCGCTGATCCCTATGTCACATGGCTGAACGCTCGTGCTTTTACACCCTTTCAAAGCAGACTCACAGCACCTTGACCAAGGGTCCAGGTTGCTTCCTTCCAATCAGTTCCGCCCTCCCCCACTTCCCCACCCCACATCTTGTGTAAGGGTCCCTGCTGGTTGAGGCGCACGAAGGCATGTTCCACCAGCAGGCCTCGCCGCACAGAAACGTGCACCACCCGTGGGTGAGTGGGAGGACTGGGGCCGCATTGCTATCAAAGAAACAAATGACAAGTGAGGACATTGAGTGGGAGGACTGGGGCCGCATTGCTATCAAAGAAACAAATGACAAGTGAGGACACTGATGAGGACTGGGGAGGACGGGACAAAAAAACGTGTTCCATGGTTCAAAGACTTCCCATCAGTGGTACCTTGAGCATGGGACCGAGTTGATTCAGCCCCCAGGAGGAGGTCGCGCACAAACGCATCCTCCACGAGGAGATCGCGTTTTGAGACGTCTCAAAACTGGAGGTCGCGCACAAACGCATCCTCCACAACCAGGTCGCGCCGCACGGACACGTACACCACCGGCCGCACCATGCGAATTCTCACAAGTCCACCACGGGCCGCACCGTGAAATCACTTTTGAGAATCTTCAGAAGTCCACCACGGGCCGCACTGTGCCCATCCCGTGGGTCACTCTCAAAGTACCTTTCAACACATCTTTTGAAGAAAGTTTCAATACCTTGAGCATCGGTCCAAGTTGGTTAAGCCGCACGAAGGCATCTTCCACAAGCAAATCCCGCCGAACAGACACGTCCACCACGGGCCGCACCATACCCATCCCGGGGGCAGCCCCTAATCCATGCCGCGCCTTGTCCGCCTGAATCAGCTCCCTGAATATGTGCACCCTGAGAGCACAAAGGAGAGCAGAAGAGCGACAGATGAGGGCTTCGAGCCTGTCACGCCTGTGCCATTCCTACATTTCAAAATACATCTATTGTAGCCCTTCCCCCCCCTCCCCCCCCTCCCCAACCCTACATTTCTGAACACAGCTCGCACCTCTTTTCAAACGGTAGCACGTGGGGCAGTGTGCGCAGCACAGCAGCCATTGCAGACCCACTCTGCTGCTCCTTCCCCTTCTCCACGCCTCCTCTCCCTCTCGCTCCTCCCGCCATCATCACTCCCCCGTCCCCTCCAAGTTCCCCTCCTCCGCCTCCTGCCCCCCCGCCCATCCCTAGTTCCCCCATCCACTCCCCCATCTCCCAGTCCTCCTCCCCTCCGCCCATCATTCCGCCCATTCCCCCTCCCCCCTCGCCCCCCACCCCGTGGTGTCTAGCTGCACCTGTAGGAGGGGATGGGAGGGAGGAGGAAGAAAGAACAGGGAAGGCAGACGGGTACTATTCAGCATTCGCATAAAAAACACGGAATGCAATCATTCTGTCCATCCAGCATTCCCCCACCCCACCTCCCCCCTACCCTAGCCCCCCACCCCATGATGCTTGGGTGCGCCTGCCGGGGAGGGAGCAGAAGGGGACGGAAAAGAAAACGGGAAAGCAATGAGCTCACAGAAAATGGGAGCCAGAGGGAAGGCTCGCAGAAGGCTCTTCTGCAGTCACGGTCGTGGAGAGGGAGGAGGCACCAAGTGGCTGGCTGCTTCTAATGGAACGTTGCACACTTGGCACACGAGACATGAATAGGCTTGTACGTAGTACGTACCTGCTGCCGAGATGACAGGTGGCGGGCGGCGATCAGCTGGTGCAAGCCACAGGGAAGGCTCGCAGAAGGCTCGTCTGCAGTCACGGTCGTGGAGAGGGAGGATGCACCAAGTGGCTGGCTGCTTCTAGTGGAACGTTGCACACTTGGCACACGACACATGAATAGGCTTGCACGTGGTACGTACCTGCTGCCGAGATGACAGGTGGCGGGCGGCGATCAGCTGGTGCAAGCCACAAGGAAGGTTCACAGAAGGCTCGTCTGCAGTCGCGGTCGTGCAGAGGGAGGAGGCAGCGCGTGGCTGCTTCTAGGAGAACAACTCGTAATGAAGGATGGCCATGGGGAGAGACTGATGGCGTTTACCTGCTGCCGAGATGACAGGTGGGGGGCGGCGATCAGCCGGGGCCAGCCAGAGGGAAGGCTCGCAGAAGGCTCTTCTGCAGTCGCGGTCGGTCATGGAGAGGGAAGAGACAGCGAGGAGGAGAAAGGGAGCAGGAAACAGTCCCAGTCGTGCAGAGGGAGGAGGCAGCGAGGAGGAGAAAGGGAAAGGGAAGTGTAACCACCAGGCGGTGGGCAGCGATCAGCTGCGGCCAGCCAGAGAGAAGGTTCACAGAAGGCTTTGGAGAATCTCTCATCATACCTGCTGCCGAGATCACAGGCGGTGGGCAGCGATCAGCTGGGGCCAGCCAGAGGGAGGAGGCACCAAGTGGCTGCTTCTAGTAGAATAATCGTTGTATACCTCGTGTTGAAAATATATGTAGGCACACAGCACATGAAAGAGGCCGTTTACCTGCTGCCGAGATGACAGGTGGGGGGCGGCGATCAGCCGGGGCCAACCAGAGGGAAGGCTCGCAGAAGGCTCTTCTGCAGTCGCGGTCGCGCAGAGGGAGGAGGCAGCGAGGAGGAGAAAGGGAAAGGGACGTGGAACCACCAGGGAAAGAGTACAGTACCCACCGGGTCGCCCAACGCACCTGCTGCCGAGATCACAGGCGGTGGGCGGCGATCAGCTGGCGCGAGCCAGAGGGAAGAATCACAGAAGGCTGGTCTGCAGTCCCAGTCGTGCAGAGGGAGGAGGCAGCGAGGAGGAGAAAGGGAAAGGGAAGTGTAACTACCAGGCGGTGGGCAGCGATCAGCTGCGGCCACCCAGAGAGAAGGTTCACAGAAGGCTTTGGAGAATCTCTCATCATACCTGCTGCCGAGATGACAGGTGGGGGGCGGCGATCAGCCGGGGCCAACCAGAGGGAAGGCTCGCAGAAGGCTCTTCTGCAGTCGCGGTCGTGCAGAGGGAGGAGGCACGGAGTGGCTACTACAAGTAGAGCGGTGTACCCTTTGTTGTTCTCCTTTTCTTTTATTTTTCCACGTGAGACTTGAATGGGAGCATAAGAACCTGCTGCTGAAATCACAGGTGGTGGGCGTCGATCTGCAGGGGCCAGCCAGAGGGAAGGCTCACAGAAGGCTCGTCTGCAGTCGCGGTCGTGCAGAGAGAGGAGCAACACATACCTTTTTTTTGACACACGAACGGCGTTTACCTGCTGCAGAGATGACGGGTGGTGGGCGTCGATCTGCAGGGGCCAGCCAGAGGGAAGGCTCGCAGAAGGCTCGTCTGCAGTCGCGGTCGTGGAGAGGGAGGAGGCAGCGCGTGGCTGCTTCTAGGAGAGCGGATTGCGAGGGGGTGAGAGGAGAGGAGGCGGAGGAAGAGGCGGAGGAGGGGGATGGGGAGGAGGAGGAGGGGGAGGAGATGAGGGTGTTGTAAACGAGAGTGTTGAGTGTTGCTGCAATGACTCTTTGCTCCGAGAGAGAGAAGGGGATCTGAAATACAAGGAAGGCAAACCAGGGACACAAAGCAGAGGGAATAAGGAAGCAAGAGGGACAGGGAAGACAGAGAGAGCACATGCGAAGGTGTTGGTGTTGTAAACGAGGGTGTTGAGTGTTGCTGCGATGACCCTTTGCTCGGAGAGAGAAAAGGGGATCTGAAAGATGAGGGGAACAAAGAAATACGTGCAGAAGGGGGAGGAGTTGATAACGAGAGTGTGTTGCAGACTAGGGTGTTGAGTGTTGCTGCGATGACTCTTTGCTCCGAAAGATAGAAGCGGATCTGACAGGCGAGGGAGTGGGTATACAGACAGAAGGAGATGGGTTTTTGTTTGGCGAGGGTGTTGTGTGTTGCTGCGATGACTCTTTGCTCCGAAAGATAGAATCGGGTTTGGAGGATGAGAGGAGGAACAATGGACAGGGAAGCAAGAGACACAGGGAAACGAGAGAAACCGGGAAACAAGAGAAACCGGGGAACCCAAAGGGAGAAAACGATCACCACATTTTACCAAACCGCAAGGAAATCTGGAGGATGAGAGGAACAAGGGACAGGGAAGCAAGAGACACAGGGAAGCAAGAGACACAGGGAAACAAGAGACACCGGGAAACAAGAGAAACCGGGGAGAAAACGATCACCACATTCCACCGAACCGCAACCACGCAGCACCGCACAGCACCCACCTGTCTCTGGTGGAAATCCTCATCATCCAGCATGAGCAGCAGGTGGGCATACGCCCTGCAGAACAACGTCAACCCACCCACCACCCAACACCGCACACAACCCACCACCTCACTGTCCAGCACCGCACAGAACCCAACATCAAACCACCCTACCGGACTGCACTGCAAAGCACCCACCTGTCTCTGGTAGAACTCCTCATCATCCAGCACAAGCAGCAGGTGGGAATACGCCCTGCAGAACACTCACCACTGCCACCCCGCTCCTCATACGCTCCACATCCCACCACCCCACCGCACAGCACCGCACAGAACCCAACATCCCACCACCCCACCGTACTGCACCGCACAGCACCCACCTGTCTCTGGTAGAACTCCTCATCGTCCAGCACAAGCAGCAGGTGGGCATACGCCCTGCAGAACACCGTCATCACCACTGCCACGTCAGCAGCCACCCCTGCCACCCCCTTCCTCATACTCTCCACATCCCACCGCTCCCCTCCTCCCTCTCCCCCCTCTCTTCCCTCGAATCCCCCGGTTCCCGTTCCCTCCCCCTCCTCCTCATCTCCCCCCTCGTCAATATCCTCTTCCATATAGTCACCTGTCTGCGTCTCCCAAAACGTCCTCCCTCCTCCCTCTCCCTCTCCCCCTCCTCCCCCTCCTCTTCCTCTGCGCCTTCTCTGTGCTTCTGCTGTACGTCTCTGAAAGGTGGAAGAGAGAAAGGTAGACCACCGCTGCCGCCCACCCATAAACGCAGCCAACGCAGCGTCATCATCACCCGCACTCCCGGGCGGCCCGCCCTGGCTGGCAGAATCTGTCTGCATGCGGTCAACACGGTCAACGCCCCTTCTCTCTCTTCCTCCTCCTCCTCCTCCTCCTCCTGCCGCTGCTGCTGCTCCTTGTCGGCCCCACTCGTCCTCCTCCTCCGCCCTTCCCTCCGCACCCTCTCCACCTCCCCCATACCCTTCCAGAAACGACCTTGGAAACCAGCTGCCCGAGAACTGGGGCAGCTGAAACGAACCAGCCACCCCCCCTCCTCCCCCCTGCCTACTCCCTTCCCTCCCTCCTCTGCTTCTTCTCCTGCTAGACCCCCCTCTAGCTCTATTGCCGCTACCAGCAGCATCAGCAGAACCAGAACCAGCAGCAGCAGCAACAGTGGAACCAGAACGACCAGCAGCACCACCCAGTACCCCCTGGGCACCACTCTGCACCCCTTGCGCACCACTCTGCATCCCCTCACTCTCAGCATACGCCTGAGAAATGGAGATACGGCAGTGCGCCACCAGCCAGTGCCACAGGCCCGTGAGCACCTCGCGAGTGAAGGCCAGGACGTTCAGGAGAGGGAGAACCCGCCCTGAGGACGCATGCACCGAGGAGAACAGGGTCAGTAGGAGCGAGTACAGGCGGCCGAAATCGCCCATGTCTAGCTGCTGCTGCCGCCCTGCTGCTACTCCTCCTCCTGCTGCTGCTGCTGCTGATCCTGATGCTGCTACTGCAGCAGGTTTCCCTCCCAATTCTGCTGCTTTTTCCGCACTTTTTTCGGCTTTAAGGGCCTCTTCTAGGACTCGCAGCACGTGCCACCGCTGGCACAGCGGGGAAATATCCTCGAAAAAACACGGGTGCACCTGCCTCCGCCCGTCTCTTCTTCCCCTCCCTTCCTCTTCCTCATCCTCCTCATCCTCGTCCTCCTCCTCCTCCTCCTCCTGCTTCCTTCCCTTCATCCCTTTCCCTCGTCTCTCCTCCCTCACCTCTTTCTCCTCGTGGTCAATCACAGCAGCAGCTAGGGCGCAGAGGGAGTGGACATAGAGTGGCAAGTCCAGACCGGGTAGGAACAGCTCAGAGGAGAGTGAGGGAGAGGGAGGAGGAGGAGGAGAGGGTGGAGAGGGGGAAGGGGAGGAGGATGGAGAGGGGGAGGAGGAGAGGGAAGGGGGGCTGGTGGCGAGAGCAGAGACGTTTGCTAGAGCCCAGGCGGGAGGGGGGAGATGGGAGGTGAGCCGGTGGTATGGGTCGGGTGGCGAGGGGTGGGGGGAAGGAGCCTGGCGCTGCACGAGGGGATAGAGAGGGGCAGGTAAATAGCAGAGGGGAGGGAGGGAGAGGGGGAGAGGGGTCGGGGACACAAATGAGAGAGCAGCAGAGAGGGTAGCTAGGACCAGCCGGGAGGGGGGAGATGGGAGGTGAGTCGGTGGTATGGGTCGGGTCGCGAGGGGTGGGGGGAAGGAGCCTTGCGCTGCAAGAGGGGATAGGAGGGGAAAGGCACAGAGCGGAGGAGAATCGGAGGGGCAATGGAGGGGCAGGCAGCAAAGGAGAAGGGTTGGGGAACCGGAGAAAATGATTACACCAAATAGGTGAGGAGGCACGGCTGTTTTTGAGTCAACTCAAAGGAGAGAATGATTTCTCCAGGGTTGGGGGCAACGGAGAAAATGATTTCGCCAGATAGGTGAGGAGGCACGGCTGGAGGGCTGACAGGTGGCGCAAGGCAGGGAGGAAAGGAATAAGTCGTAACGTGGGCAAAGCCAAAGGTTCATGTAGCATGTAGAGAAGGCACGGAGAGAATGATTACACCAGATAGGTGAGGAGGCACGGCTGGAGCGCTGATAGATGGCGCAGGGAAGGGAGGAGCGGAGTAAGAGGTCTAGTGGACAAAGTTGTGGTGAACATAAGAAGGGAGAAAATGATAACACCAATTAGGTGAGGAGGCACGGCTGGAGCGCTGACAGATGGCGCAAGGCAGGGAGGAGGAGAGGCGGGGATGTTTAATGGAGAAGGTAAACGATTCTGGCAGACAGACAGGTGCATTATCGTAGATGGCCCGGAAGAACGACTCATACCAGGCAGGAGAGGGGGCACGGTTGGAGCGCTGACAGATTGCGCAAGGCAGGGAGGAGGGGAGAAAGAGATTTAGTGGGCAAGGCCGAAGGTTCATGTAGAAAAGAGGAGAGGAGAGAAGGGTCGTACCAGGCAGGAGATAAGGCAGGGCTGGAGAGCTGACAGATGGCGCAGGGAAGGGAGGAGGGGAAAGAGAGGCCTAGTGGGCAGCAAGGCCAAAAGTTAAGTTGAGGTAGAAAGGAAGAGAAGAGAGAATGATCGTACCAGGCAGGAGAGGAGGCAGGGCTGGAGAGCTGACAGATGGCGCAGGGCAGGGAGGAGGGGGGATGGCAGGCGCCACGTCAGCAGCGGGACGGTGAGAATGTGGGCGGCAAACTGATCTGCTGCCAATGATGCCCATGCTGCATGCAAAGGAACGGAACATAGGGCATACAGACGGGGATGCGAGAGAGTAGGCTTTTGAGATGCGTCCAAATTCAAATGTGGGCGGGCGGCAAACTGATCTGCTGCCAGAGATGCCCACGCTGCATGGCAGGGAACGGAAAGTAGGGACGGTAGAACTGGGCAAGTAGACTTGTGAGACATCATATGACTAAAGTGATGCCGGCAAACTGATCTGCTGCCAGAGATGCCCACGCTGCATGGCAGGGAACGGAAAGTAGGGACGGTAGAACTGGGCAAGTAGACTTGTGAGACATCATATGACTAAAGTGATGCCGGCAAACTGATCTGCTGCCAGAGATGCCCACGCTGCATGGCAGGGAACGGAAAGTAGGGACGGTAGAACTGGGCAAGTAGACTTGTGAGACATCATATGACTAAAGTGATGCCGGCAAACTGATCTGCTGCCAGAGATGCCCACGCTGCATGGCAGGGAACGGAAAGTAGGGACGGTAGAACTGGGCAAGTAGACTTGTGAGACATCATATGACTAAAGTGATGCCGGCAAACTGATCTGCTGCCAGTGATGCCCATGCTGCATGCAAAGGAACGGAACATAGGGCATACAGACGGGGATGCGAGAGAGTAGGCTTTTGAGATGCGTCCAAATTCAAATGGGGGCGGGCGGCAAACTGATCTGCTGCCAGAGATGCCCACGCTGCATGGCAGGGAACGGAGCGACGGTAGAGACGGGCCGAGTAAACCAAAGAATAAGAGGAGAAGGGACTGTTCAGGACACAGCTCTGTTGAAACAGTTTTTGAGGCGCCTAAAAAATCGTCTCAGTTTTTGAGGCGCCTAAAAATAAGAGGTGAAGGGACTGTTCAGGACACAGCTCTGTTGAAACAGGGGATGAATATACTCGAGGCACAATGAGACGAGGGAAGAAAAATGCGGTCCTTAGGAAAATAGCGGTGGGCAGGTAAACCAGGAGAGGAGGAGAACTATAACGTATGACTTACCAGATGGCAGCTTCCCAGCAACTTCTTGCCCATCTTTCCTGCCCGAGAAAACAATGATAGGTCTGAGAGCCACCGTCATTGCAGCAGCGGTCAGCAAAAATATTTGCTGGGCAACCTGAGCTCCTCCCCCACCTCCTCCCATCCCTCCTCCTTTGCCCTTCATTTCCCTCCACCCGTCCACGGGCGGGGCGGCGGAGTTTGTCAGTATGTGCATGCGCAGTGCAGGGTAGATCCCTGTGGCACCTGATGCAGTACCTGCCAACAGAGAAAGCACCTGAGCCTCTGCTGCTGCCAGGGTGCTTTCAGGGGAGGAGGAGGCGGCGACAGCTGGCGATTTGAGGAAGCGCCACGTGGCAGTGTCACAGAGTGACATGTGGACACGCATGGCGAGAACTGTGAGTAGGAGAGAGGGTGCTGATGGGGTGGTGGTGGTGTGCGTGTGAGAGGAGGGAGGGGCAGAAGAGGAGGAGGAGGAGGAGGAGGAAGAGGAAGAGGAGGAGAAAAGGCTGAGGAGAGCACTGCAGAGGGAAACTATTCTATGTGCCTGGTGCTGCCACGTGGCGCACTGTGATTGGGTGCCGACGGCCAAGGAGCAGAAGTTGGTAGCAGGATCTGCATTGGGATGAACGAGAGAGGGTGAAACACAATTGTGAGAGGAGGGAGGAAACGGAAGAAGAGGCGAGCTTGAGAGGGGCCTAGGGGCGATTTTTGTGTCGACTCAAAAGTTGGTAGCAGGATCTGCATTCGGATGAACAAGAGAGGGTGAAACACACTTGCGAGAGGAGGGGGGAAGCGGAAGAACAGGCGAGCTTGAGAGGCCTAGGGGATTAACAAAAGAACAGGCGAGCTTGATTAAGTGGATCGGGACTGTTGAACCGACTGCTCCGAAAATCCCACTTACCTGGGAAACTTCAATAGCCCGACTCTTTAAGAGCCACACCAGCACTGACTGAAACTGTTCCACTTCCCTTCCTTCTCATCTCACCCTTCTTTTGATGGGCTTAAGCGATTGACACAAGACTAAACTCAAGCCCTTGCTTACCTGGGGAATCCAGACTTTTTAACAGCCACACCAGCTCCGACTGTAACCGTTGCAGTTCCTTTCCTGCTCCCCCTCCCCCTGCCCCTCCCCCTGCCCCTGCCCCTGCCCCTGATCCTGCTCCGGTCCCTCCCCCTTCCCCTCTGCTTCCCCCTTCCCCCCCCTCCCCCCTCCCTCCAATTCTCCACTCCCTTTTCCGCGCATCCCACAGCAAGAACAGCACCGGCGCCAGAAGCTTCTGGGAAACTTCATCGGCTGTTAGAGGCGCTGGGGGCTGGCCCCCCACTGCTGCCATGCGGGAAGCATGCCACGTGTCCCACTCGGATTGGACGAGCTGGCGAGCGACGCAAGCTGCTTTCCTGCCACGCCACACACGCTGATGTGGGCAAACGGAATTACAGAATGGGTGGGTGAGTGGGAGGGTGGGCGAGTGAATGGGTGGGTAGGTTTGTGGGTGAGTAAGCGAGTGGGTGGGTGGGTAAGTGTGTGGTGCGAAACCATTTGATGGCAGATGTAGCGGCGTGCACGTAAGAGGAAACCTGCCAGAAATGTGGACTGGGGCACCTGAAACGCCGACTGGAGCACCTGAAACGCCGACTGGATCACCTGAAACGCCGACTGGATCACCTGAAACGCCGACTGGAGCACCTGAAGCGCCGATCTGGCGCCTGGCGCACCTGAATGAGCGCGGCGGAGGCCGCGGACTTGCGGGCCTTGCTGCGCGCCGCGCGCTCTTCCGCCACCTTGTTCAGTAGCGCGTTCCGCGACACCTCGCGCGCGCTCGCCCCACGCAGCGACACCTGCGGAGTCCGGCGGGGGAATAGGAGATAGGAATTCGTGACAGGAAAATATTGAAATGAGAAAATTCGAGAGATTCGACGGGGACACAGGAGGGAGAGAGTCGAGCGTAACAGAACAGTCTGGCAGGGCGTTCCGCGATACGTCCGTTCCGCTCACTCCGCCAAGCGACACCAAATGAAGATTTAGTCAAGCTCTTAACAACACGTGTCATGTCAGCATAGGGTCGATCTGGTACACCCAGTGACAGCACATGCCGACAAACACTGATGTAATGGATCCAAGGAAATCTAGCTCCTTCCTACTCCAACTGAGCAGTTCCGCGCTCACCTCGCGTCGCCCTCCGAATTGCATCCTGACCGTTGGACCGCTCCTGGCCTAGGTCGGCAAATTACGATACGGACTGGACTTGTCCTGAGCGTTGGTTGAGTAGGATGATTCCAGGATGCCCTGAGACTAAGTTAAGACAAGTTTTAGGAGACGGTGGAGTTAAGTAGCACACAGGAGGTCGTAACAATAGTCTCTAGGTACTCCCTGAGTTCTGAAGTCGTGAGTACGAATTCTATAGCATGTTGAATGTCAGACTTTTTTGGAGGGATGCATTTGATTGGAACTGCTCCGATATCTGGGGGACTGAGATCCAGTCATGTAGTCATTACAATTTGAGTAACACCTATATCAATGTAGTGTACAAGGACTTCACGGGTGAGCTGGGCTGCGTCACCGCGCTCGCTCCCCTGGCAGTCCATTTCGGAAATGGGGTGAGTGACGGCAGCCTTTCAGCCAAGGGGGAAGCTGCTATTTGCCAATCGGAAGCTTCTTTCGGGTGCCCAAGCCTGACGTCAGACCGTAAAACCCTCACTATTGCCTATGTGTCGATCGCGGAATGTTGACATGGCAATATATGATTCGTGAAATTACTTCGCCGATTGGCTCTTCGGTTTCAGCAACCCGTAATGTTTTGCCAGGGCTGCCCTGACCACAAGTTCCCCCCCCCCCAGACCCCGTGCTCCACTCCCGCACTAATCTTTTCCGCATTCTCCGCCAATTCCCCCCAACAGTCTCCGCCTCTTCCCCGCCCTTGCTATATATTTTCCACCAGTCAACCTCCACACTCCTCTCATATTCACTCTCCGCTTTAGTCGGAGCTCTTTCTTTCCTCTCTCCTAGAGACCTGGTTTTCCCAGGCTCTCCGCATTCCACGGTTAGCGCGTAAGAGAATCTTTACGCCGTCGAGCTATCGGCTGCTTATCTCTCTTTTAGCCGTCAAGACGAGCTAACCTAGAACCATCATGGCTCTTTCCTGCGGAAGCTGCACGCTCGGCAAGACCGCTGTGTCCGGTCTCTCTCTAAAAAATGACGCAACCCTCGCGTCGGCCAAGAGCGCCGTCGTCATGTCGCCCATGCCACGTGTCGAGAAGCTGAGCGCCGCTGGCAAGAAGGCCGCAGCTGTCGTGGTCAGCGTGAGGTCGCAAGCCGTCGCCACCGCGACCACGAAGCGCGGCGCGGAGGTGCAGTTCGAGAGCAAGGTGTTCACCAAGGAGAAGATCAACCTCGCCGGCCGTGAGGAGGTACACATTTTCTTTTTCTTTTTTCGTTTTTGTAAAACGATATTGAGACGTCGATTAACGCGGACGTGAAGTTCGAGAGCAAGGTGTTCATCAAGGAGAAGATCAACCTCGCTGGCCGTGAGGAGGTACACATTTTCGTTTGTACTTGTCGTTTTTGTCAATCGATCATGGGAAGACTAGGCTCGCTGGCCGCGAGGAGGTAAAACGACATTCTTTTCAGACTCTCAACATTCGATTGTGAGATGTTGGTGAAACGGACGTTGCTGAAACGCGAATGTGGAGTTTGAAAGCATGGTGTTTTTCAATGCATAAAATAAAACCTTTGAAAGTTTTTTTTCCCTTCTCTTCATTGGCGTCGCTTTCGGGTTCACCCCCATGAAGTCGTTCGCTCGAGAAATGTTCACATCGCAGATTTTTCGAACCGATGCCATTATGCGATTCCCGCCTGCGCATCCCTCGTTGGTGCGAGTATCGTCGGTTGAGAGTAGCGGATTCATCCACAGAGCACTGTCTTTGCGGATTCCTCGATTTCCGCTATCTCACGTGTCATATTGAAGTGCTTTCTTAGCCGAGTCATCGGGCCACTCCGTATTCACTAATCGCTGATCGTTGATCCTCGATGTCTCTAGCACCACATTCGCTTCATATTGCCGTCCTCCGCCGCGTCCTTCCCCCCATCAGTACATCGTCCGCGGTGGGCGCAACCTCTACCCGCTGCTCGCGGAGGCTTTCAAGGGCATTAAGAAGATCGGCGTCATCGGCTGGGGTTCCCAGGCGAGTATAAGCTCGTCTTTCTGTTTCCCAATATTTTTCTCCCAATTCAGGCTTAAACCCTGTTTCTTTGTCTTGCAAGTCTCAGCAATGCAGTTAATTCCGATTCCCGCAAAATCAACCCGTTCGCGATAGAAAACTCCTTCGCAACAAGGACCCGTTTTTCAACGTCTTGTATCGCATATTTCATTCTCCAAACACATCTGTCGCATGGTTCTCCTCAGTCGCAGATCATCCCCTTACTGCATCTTATCCGTATTCAAATATTTTATCTCGGAATATCCACGATTCCCTCGTTTTTCCGTTGTTGGTTTCTCATCCATTCCGAGTTTCTCTGTATCGCGTATTTCCACATCGCAGGGGCCCGCTCAGGCGCAGAACATCCGCGACTCTCTCGCGGAGATCAACTCCGATATCACCGTCTCCGTAAGTCGCATTATCCCCGTTACTATCGCACTCCCCAGGATTTCATGTTTTTTACTCGGATGTTTTCTACATTGCAAGTTGCAAGGCCCTTGCATCACCGCATATAATGGATTATGGATGTTACGAAGCCAATTTTCTGACTTCCAACCACAATCTGTTGTTGAGCGTGATCGATGTGTCCGTGTTCTGGGCTCTCTCGAAATCGCTGCATCATGACATTTCGGAACCCTTTTCTCTCTTTTTTGTTCACATTTCTGCTTCCGACCCCTTTCCGTCGGTCCTTGTCCACGTGTCACTTCCAGATTGGTCTGCGCCCCAGCTCGTCCTCAGCGAAGGATGCGCGCCGATGCGGATTCACGGAGGAGGCGGGCACGCTGGGTGACGTCACCAAGGTCATCTCTGAGAGCGACCTGGTCATTCTCCTCATCTCCGACGCTGCTCAGGTAAGATGGATTCGCTATAGTGTGTACTCGAGATAAGGTAAAGAGGAGTTAGGGACGTCACCAAGGTCATCTTCTAGAGCGACCTGGTCATTCTCCTGATCTCCGACGCTGCTCAGGTAAGAATGACTCTCTATGGTGTGTACTCGATACAGGGTTAGAAGCGCTGGGTGACGTCACCAAGGTCATCTCCGAGAGCGACCTGGTCATTCTCCTGGTGAGGATGATTCGTTACTGTACGAACTCGATACAGGGTTAGGAGGAGGAAGGCACGCTTCTGGGTGATGTCGCCAAGGTCACCTCTTAGAGCGACCTGGTCATTCTCTCCTTATCCTCCTTCGCCGGTCTCCCCCCGTCTCTCCCCATCATCCGCCCGGTCTCCTGGGCCACCTGCAGTCGCGCGGAAAGGGCTTCCGCGACGACATCAGCGTTGTGGCCGTGTGTCCCAGGGGCATGGGGCCTACCGTGCGGCCTGCACCCCTCATTACCCCTTTTTACCCCTCCGTTTACCCCTCCTCATCCGCCCCGACATCAGCGTCGTGGCCGTGTGTCCCAAGGGCATGGGGCCCTCCGTGCGCCCCTCACCCCTTTCCTTACCCCGTTTTAACTCCTCCTTTTTCCGCCGTTTTCTCCCTCCCCCTTATCAGGCGGACAACCACGAGGCGATTCTGGGCGCCATGAAGCCCGGCGCCGTGCTGGGTCTCTCTAACGGGCTCCTGCTGGGCCACCTGCAGTCGCTCGGAAAGTCCTTCCGCGCCTCACACCGCTCTGTACCCCTTTGATCCCCTCCGTTCTCTCCCTTCCCCCCTTATCAGGCGGACAACCACGAGGCGATCCTGGGAGCCATGAAGCCGGGAGCCGTGCTGGGTCTGTCGCACGGGTTCCTGCTGGGCCACCTGCAGTCGCTCGGAAAGGGCTTCCGCGACGACATGAGCGTGGTCGCCGTGTGCCCCAAGGGCATGGGGCCGTCCGTGCACCTTTCACCCCTTTTCCTCGCCCCTTGTTTACCCCTGTTAACCCCTCCGTTTTTCCTCGTTTTTCCCCTGTCTCTTCCCCTCTCTCACCCCTATCAGGCGGACAACCACGAGGCGATTCTGGGAGCCATGAAGCCCGGAGCCGTGCCAGGTCTGTCGCACGGGTTCCTGCTGGGCCACCTGCAGTCGCTCGGAAAGGACTTCCGCGACGACATCAGCGTCGTTGCCGTGTGCCCCAAGGGCATGGGGCCGTCCGTGCGCTCTCCACCCCTTCTTACCCATTTTTAACCCTCCTTTTTCCGCCGTTTTCCCCGTTTCTCCCCCTTTCCTTGCCAGGCGGACAATCACGAGGCGATTCTGGGAGCCATGAAGCCTGGCGCCGTCTTGGGACTCTCCCACGGGTTCCTGCTGGGCCACCTGCAGTCGCTGGGAAAGGGTTTCCCCGACGACATCAGCGTGGTGGCCGTGTGCCCCAAGGGCATGGGGCCGTCCGTGCGGCGCCTCTACGTGCAGGGCAAGGAGGTGAACGGCTCGGGCATCAACGCCTCGTTCGCCGTGCACCAGGTAAAAGGAGGGGACTGGGAAGGGGGAGGGAAGGGGTGCCCCTTGAAGGGAGGCCCTCAGGCTGTGCGTGCAGGGCAAGGAGGTGAACGGCTCGGGCATCAACGCCTCGTTCGCCGTGCACCAGGTAAAAGGAGGGGACTGGGAAGGGGGAGGGAAGGGGTGCCCCTTGAAGGGAGGCCCTCAGGCTGTGCGTGCAGGGTAAGGAGGTGAACGGCTCGGGCATCAACGCCTCGTTCGCTGTCCACCAGGTGAGCAGAGAGATGTGGAGTGCTGTAGGGGGGTGCTGCCGTGTGCCCCAAGGGCATGGGGCCGTCCGTGCGGCGCCTCTACGCGCAGGGCAAGGAGGTGAACGGCTCGGGCATCAACGCCTCGTTCGCCGTGCACCAGGTAAAAGGAGGGGACTGGGAAGGGGGAGGGAAGGGGTGGCCCTTGAAGGGAGGCCCTCAGGCTGTGCGTGCAGGGCAAGGAGGTGAACGGCTCGGGCATCAACGCCTCGTTCGCCGTGCACCAGGTAAAAGGAGGGGACTGGGAAGGGGGAGGGAAGGGGTGCCCCTTGAAGGGAGGCCCTCAGGCTGTGCGTGCAGGGCAAGGAGGTGAACGGCTCGGGCATCAACGCCTCGTTCGCTGTCCACCAGGTGAGCAGAGAGATGTGGAGTGCTGTAGGGGGGTGCTGCCGTGTGCCCCAAGGGCATGGGGCCGTCCGTGCGGCGCCTCTACGCGCAGGGCAAGGAGGTGAACGGCTCGGGCATCAACGCCTCGTTCGCCGTGCACCAGGTAAAAGGAGGGGACTGGGAAGGGGGAGGGAAGGGGTGCCCCTTGAAGGGAGGCCCTCAGGCTGTGCGTGCAGGGCAAGGAGGTGAACGGCTCGGGCATCAACGCCTCGTTCGCTGTCCACCAGGTGAGCAGAGAGATGTGGAGTGCTGTAGGGGGTTGCTGCCGTGTGCCCCAAGGGCATGGGGCCGTCCGTGCGGCGCCTCTACGTGCAGGGCAAGGAGGTGAACGGCTCAGGCATCAACGCTTCGTTCGCCGTGCACCAGGTAAGGGACTGGGGATCCTTGATTGGGGAAGAGCTTTTGGAAAGCACTGCAGGAAAGGTGTGGAAGCGGGACCTACCTAAGAGCAAGACTCAAAGAATCAGGCACAGTCCACCAGGAGTCAGTACAAAGCAGCGCAGTTCGTTCGTTGTGTGTGCACCTTCTTGTGACTCGCCTTCTTAAGCACCTTCTTATGACTCGCCTTCTTAAGCACCTTCTTATGACTCGCCTTCTTAAGCACCTTCTTATGACTCGCCTTCTTAAGCACCTTCTTATGACTCGCCTTCTTAAGCACCTTCTTATGACTCGCCTTCTTAAGCACCTTCTTATGACTCGCCGTTCCGTGCTGTGCTCCTCCCTTCCTGTGCCACGTGGCAGGACGTGGACGGCCGCGCCACTGAAGTGGCTCTGGGCTGGTCCGTGGCCCTGGGCTCGCCCTTCACCTTCGCCACCACGCTGGAGGACGAGTACAAGAGCGATATCTTCGGGGAGAGAGGTGAGTAATACGAGTGGGAATGGGAGTAGTGGGAGGGAGCGATGGGTTGTGTCAGCAGCATTCTAGCAGCTGGTCGATGGCCCTGGGCTCGCCCTTCACCTTCGCCACGACGCTTGAGGACGAGTACAAGAGCGATATCTTCGGAGAGTGAGGTGAGGAACAGCGGTGGAAACGATGGGAATGAGAGTGGTGGGAGCAATGGGTTGTGTGTGTAGCATTGTAGCAGCTGGTCGGTGGCCCTGGGCTCGCCCTTCACGTTCGCCACCACGCTGGAGGACGAGTACAAGAGCGACATTTTCGGGGAGCGAGGTGAGGAGTGGGGGTGCGAACGGGAGTAGTGGGAGAGGTTGGATGTTTCTGCAGCATTCTAGCTGCTGGTCGGTGGCTCTGGGCTGGCCGGTGGCCCTTGGCTCGCCCCTCACCTTGGCCACCACGCTCGAGGACGAGTACAAGAGCGACATCTTTGGGGAGAGAGGTGAGGAACCTATGGAGTGTGAGGGAGGAGGAGCATGGGGTCTGAGTGTGCGCGTGTGTATGTGGTCGGTGGCTCTGGGCTGGGCTCGCCCTTCACCTTCACCACCACCCTGGAGGACGAATGCAAGAGCGATATCTTTGGGGAGCGAGGTGAGTAGGGGTGGAAAAAGGGGTGGTTGGATTGGAGAGGTGTGCTGTGTGTCTCCAGAACACGGGCAGCTGGCATGTGTGGGCCTTGGCTCGCCTTTCACGTTCATTCCTGGCAGATGGCATGCATTCCTCAACACTCGTTCCTCCGCTCCCCTTGTGGGTCTTCCCTCCGCACATGCATTCTCCTGGGCGCCGTGCACGGGCTGGTGGAAGCTCTGTTCCGGCGCTACACGGGGGGCTGAAGGGCTCTCTCATCCGAGAGCATTCCTCCACTCCCTTGCATCGCATTGCACCCCTCATTGCAGGCATTCTCCTGGGTGCCGTGCACGGGCTGGTGGAGCTGCTGTTCCGGCGGCGCTACACGGCGGGCGGCATGAGCGACGAGGAGTTGAGTGTGGCATGCATTCTTCAACACTCCCCTTTTCCGCTTCCCTCACTGCCCCTTTGCCCTACCCTCTACAGGTATTCTCCTGGGTGCCGTGCTTGGGCTGGTGGAGGCGCTCTTCAGGAGGTACACAGCGGGCGGCATGAGCGACCAGTTGCGGTGGAGCATGCCTCTCTAAACTGCGCTCGTTGCACTCTCTCCCCTTTCCCTCTTGCCACCAGGTATTCTCCTGGGCGCGGTGCACGGGCTGGTGGAGGCGCTGTTCCGGCGCTACACGGCGGGCGGCATGAGCGACGAGGAGGCCTTCAAGAACACCGTGGAGTGCATCACTGGCAACCTCTCCAAGACCATCTCCACCAAGGTGCGATTGGAATACATATATATATATATATATATATATATGGGAATATACATCTACATATACATGGCTATATACGTTAATGGTGAATTGTAGTACAATGAGAGTATGGCAATAAAGAGTACAAAAACACTATGGAGTGCATCACTGGCAACTTGTCTACGACCATTATTCGCCAAGGTTCACTTCCTTTTCCCGTCTCATGCCCTTGCTCCCTTTTTTCCCACTCCCTGCCCTCTGTCCCGCAGGGCGTGCTCGCAGTGTACGACTCCCTATGGACACCCTTCTCATTCTGTGCCCCGTCCCTGCCTTGTGTCTGTCCCTCAGGGCATGCTCGCGGTCTATGACTCGCTCACCAAGGAGGGCAAGAAGGAGTTTGAGCCGGCCTATGCGGCCTCCTACTATCCCGCAATGGACATTCTCCTCATTCTGTGCCCCTTCCCTGCCTTGTGACTGTCCCGCAGGGCATGCTGTCAGTATATGACTCTCTTTCTGAGGAGGGCAAGAAGGAGTTTGAGCCGGCCTATGCCGCCTCCTACTATCCCGCAATGGACATTCTCCTCATTCTGTGCCCCTTCCCTGCCTTGTGACTGTCCCGCAGGGCATGCTCTCTGTATATGACTCTCTTTCTGAGGAGGGCAAGAAGGAGTTTGAGCCGGCCTATGCCGCCTCCTACTACCCAGCAATGAACATTCTTCTCATCCTGCCCTCTTTGCCCCCCCTTTCCTCTCCTGCACTTGTGTCATTCGACTTCCCCTGGCAGGGCATGCTGTCAGTGTACGACTCACTGTCCGAGGAGGGCAAGAAGGAGTTTGAGACGGCCTATGCCGCCTCCTACTACCCTGCGATGGACATTCACCCTCATCCTGTCCACTTTGCCCCCCCCCTTTCCTCTCCTGCACTTGTGTCATTCTACTCCCCCTGGCAGGGCATGCTCTCTGTATATGACTCTCTTTCTGAGGAGGGCAAGAAGGAGTTTGAGACGGCCTATGCCGCCTCCTACTACCCCGCAATGGACATTCTTCTCGAGTGCTATGAGGACGTTGCCTGCGGCAACGAGATCCGCTCCGTCGTGCTCGCTGGCCGCCGCTTCTCGGTAAGATCCTTTCCTCCCTCTCGCCGCAACTTTCTTGCGGCAGTGAGATCTGCTCTGTCATGCTCTCTGACGTCCTCTTCCCGGCCTCTTGCACCTCCTCCTGTGCCTCGTGTTTCTGATCCTCTATGTTTTCACTTCACTCATCTTTGTATCCTTCCTCGTATTCCTTCGCTTCCTCTCCCTCCCCCACCCCTGCAGCCCAAGGAGGGCTTCCCGTCCTTCCCCATGGGCAAGATCGATCAGACGCACATGTGGAAGGTCGGGGAGAAGGTCCGTGCAGCCCGCGCCCCTGGCGCCCTCGGCCCGCTCCACCCCTTCACCGCGGGCGCCTACGTGGCAGTCATGATGGCTCAGATCCAGGTGCTGCGGCTGAAGGGGCACTCGTACAGTGAGATCTGCAACGAGAGTGTGATTGAGGCGGTGGACTCACTCAACCCCTTCATGCACGCCCGGGGCGTCGCCTTCATGGTTGACAACTGCTCCACTACTGCCCGCCTTGGCTCCCGCAAGTGGGCTCCCCGCTTTGACTACAACCTGAGCCAGCAGGTGAGCAGGCACGGGGGCAGGAGGGCTTGGTGTGTGGGAGAACAGAAAACAGCAGATCCAAGTGCTGCGGCTCAAGGGGCACTCGTACAGTGAGATCTGCAACGAGAGTGTGATCGAGGCCGTGGACTCGCTCAACCCCTTCATGCACGCCCGGGGTGTTGCGTTTATGGTCGATAAATGCTCTACTACTGCCCGCCTTGGCTCCCGCAAGTGGGCTCCCCGCTTTGACTACAACCTGAGCCAGCAGGTAAGTGCTCCTGCTCCGGCAGTGGGGGGGCAGGCAGGCAGGCAGGCAGGCAGGCAGGCAGGCAGGGGTTTGTCCATCTGAGTCGTGGTGTATGGGAAACAGGCAGGCAGCAGGTGAGACAGGCAGAGGGGGTCATGCTTTTGGCAGTGTCAGTCTGGTTGGTATCGATGCATCCATCTTCATTCCCTTCACTCCATTTGCCCTCCTCACTCCCTCATCATCACCCTTCTACAGGCATTCGTGCCAGTGGACAAGAACACGCCCGTCGATGCATCCATCATCACTCCCTCTCACTCCCACCCACTCCCACCCACTCCCACCCACTCCCACCCACCCCTTGTAACTCCTTGCCAATCCCTCGTCACCTCCCTTGCTTTCCCCACCAGGCGTTTGTGGCGGTGGACAACAACACGCCCGTCGATGCATCCATCATCACTCCCTCTCACTCCCGCCCACTCCCACCCACCCCTTGTAACTCCTTGCCAATCCCTCGTCACCTCCCTTGCTTTCCCCACCAGGCGTTTGTGGCGGTGGACAACAACACACCGGTGGATGCATCCATCATTGCGGCCTTCAAGAGCGACCCCGTGCACGATGCCCTCGCCGGCTGTGCCTCTCTGCGCCCCTCTGTGGACATTGCGGTTACCGCCGATGCCGACTATGTCAGGGAGGAGCTCCGCCAGTAGGCTCCTGCATGCATAGTGCTACCGTAGAATGGACCTGCTGATGTTTTGATGTTTTCTAAAAGATATTGACAAATTGAAAAACATAAAATTATTGTACCCGTCACAGTCACTGCTCCTGGGTTCGCCTGTTGTCAGAGTCAGGAACAACCAACTGATACTGTACTACAGGAACCAGCACCACTGTTTCTGCTGTTGGGGTTTCTACTACCCATCGGCTTCTCAGCCCCATGTATGGTGCCCTGGTCTGGTGGGCTATGCCCCACTGCTCCCTCAGAGTACATTGTGTTTACAGCCGATGCCCACTAAGCCAGGGAGGAGCTGCGCCTGTAGGCGACTGCCGAGTTTGTCCTAGGCTGTGCTCTTGGCGTTTTCTAAATATTTTTGAAATTTTGAGAACAGAATAGTATCTGCCTTGTCACTGTGCCTGTACAAAAATCTGCACCATTGCCGAACCAATTAGTGATTCAACCAGAGCAAATGAGTCCTTTTAGCTTCATGCATGCATTTTTAAGTGGATTGTTCATCCACAAACTGTACCGAATCCATCATCATTCGCGATACCAGCCACCTCACACTCGACACAATCGAGGTGATGGAGAAAACCATCCCCAATGCGTTCTTTCCAGCCAATCGCGTGCAAGCAAGGTACTTCTCTCAGCAACCAGGAATCATGTGCACTCACATCACATAGCAGTCTGATGAATCAAGCCACGTACTGTAGCACGAACCAAGGCTTACCTTCGTCCTTGGTCAGACCACTAATGTATGAGAGATCAGGCTCCTACTGCGTAATCTGTTGATTGATGCGACGAACCGAGCCGCTCGCTGAGCTACGATGAAGGCGTTTTCGCTAGCGAAGAAGAAAACTCCGTTTCAGAAGCATCGCGAAGAGGAGGCGAAAAAAAAGGTAAGCCATCGCTACTGGAGGATTTAGGATAATTCGGATGTCCTCGTTTCTCCAATAATCGCTTTGCGTCCTTAATGTTTCTAGGTCTCAAGATGTTGTTCCAACCTTCGGTCAATTGTAGCATTTAACCCTTTTGTGGAACTTTAACGGTTTTATTGCTTACCACTTTGTTACGCTGATGTTTTGTTTTGCAGCGGGAAGCGGAGGAGGCGGCGCGTGTCTATGATGAATTCGTCGAATCATTTAAAGTGGATGATAAGAAACCCAAGGCATTTGTCCGAGGAGGAACGATCAACCCCAACGCCAAGCACGACACACCCGGGGAAGGTACAGCTGCTTAGTTAAGCATCTCCTGGTGCGATTTCTTATCCTTTTCGATGCGGCTAGATTATTGCTGGGGACTTTTCCGCATCCTAATCACGCCTCTCTTATTCTCTGCTGCGTACCCATTTCCCTTTTTCGTTATTATCACTCTGTTGTCCTCCATAACCCGGTAGCTTCCCTCTCTCGGGACACTCTGTTGCCAAGTGGGTTTCTTTCCCGGATTCCCTTGTCGCTAGAGGTTGCGATAAACGCTTTAAAGACGGACTCGTTCTTAATTCAATAGGCTGTGATGTACCCATTTATGCCGAACATATCTCCTTTGCAGAACCTGGAAGCGCTTCCAAAAAGGCCACAGCGAGGTGAGAGGCCTTCCGGCGCCTCCTCCTGTCCGACATTCCTCTTCCCACAGCGTATCATATCATATCGTATCAGATCTCATACCAGAAAGGCTTCGCGAAGTCCAGGAGAATTTAATCTCACCTGGCAGGCCAAGCGGAAGGATTTTTCTGATATTTAACTTGTCGAATCCTCAGATCCTTTCTCTGTTGTACACATTGCATCCGCGCATTTCTTTCGGGTGGTTCGGTTAGTGTGACTGGTGAGAGGTGGTCAATAGGATGGTCGTATTCGGTGATGATTCTTGTAGGCGGGATTATGGTAATAACATCATGACACGGCATTTCGTCCCGTTCTGTGTCTCACCCCTCACCCTTCTCTCCGCCCTGCCCTCCTGCGGAATTGGCTTGCCGATTTCCCTATCCTCTCCCTCCCCTCCCTCCCACCGTCCCCCACCTCTTTCCCTCCCGCCCCTTCTGCCTCTTGCGTTTTTTTTCCATTCCGTTTGCGCCTGCCTTCCTCCCCTATCTCGCCTTTTTTTGCCCGTTGCCCGTCGCTTCTGTGCTGCTGTGTGTATGCATGGCAGATATGTTCCGTCTTTCCTGCCCCCTCCATCGCAAAGTCCGCTTGCGGGAATTCTATCCAAGGACAAGAATGTAGGTGCACTGCAGCGGGGGTCCGGGTGGGGAGGTGGGGGATGGGGGTGGGGGGTGGGGGGTGAGGGCTGGGGGTGGGCGCGCGGGTGGGCGCGTGGGTGGGGGTGGGGGACACTACAACCATACCATGGTATTGTCATTTTGAGCTCATGTTTCCAGTCAATATTCAGTTACGGCATGTTTATTTTGAGCCCATTTTTCAAGGCGCTTCAAAGGTCAGGTACATTCTTGGGAGTGCCATATCAATTGAGTGAGTGCACAGCAACTTTCCTACCTATCTCTTCATCATTTTTCTTAGAGTCTTTAATGAATTCTTCCCTTTTCAAGTCACTTTCAAGCCTCGTCGGCCCTTTGCTCTCTCCCTCACACCCCCTCCCCTTCCCCGCCCACCCCCCCGTTTGTCCTTTTAGTAAATATAAATTTCCGAGACCATCATCCTAACCTCCTCTCGCTCACTGTCTTTTCGCTCTCTCCCTTCCTCCGTCACTTCCTCCTTCTCTCCCCCTCCCTCCCCCCCCCTTCCGTCCCTGCCTCCCTCCCCCCACCCCCCACCGCCCTCCCCGACCATCCCCTCTCCTACCTTTTCTCCTTTTTTCTTTAGCCTGGATGAACCTCTGAGACCATCATTCAAACCTCTCGCATTCTCTTTGCTTTCCTCCCTCTTTTCCTCCTTCCGTTCCTCCTTTCCCTCTGTCCCTCCCTCCTTCCCTCCCTCTGTCCCTCCCGCCACCCCTGCCTCCCTCCTGTCACACAGGCGTTCAGCCTGGAGGAACCAGAGGCGCCAGCCGAGCCCGTGCCAAAGCCAAAGGAGCAGAAGAAGCCGCGCAACATCGATTTCTTTATGCAGGAGCTGAAGCAGGAGCAGGAGCTGCGCGAGCAGAGGGAGAAGGAGCTCAAAGAGCGAGCGGAAGCGAGGGCGGCAGGCAAGCCGTATGGCAACGAGGGGCAGCCGTCGCTGCTGGGGGGTGAGGGCACGGATCTACTGCAGCCGTTCCCAGATGGCGTTAGAAGGAGGGTGAGTCTTGGTGTTCTGTACTCTGTCTGCCACTCCCGTATGACAATGAGGAGGGGCAGCCGTCGCTGCTGGGGAGTGAGGGAACGGATTTGCTGCAGTTCCAGATGGGGTTCGATTCGAAGGAGGGTGAGACTTGGGGCTTTGCGGTCCATCTTCTCTTGTTCGTTCTCCCTCCCCCCCGGCCCATTCCCCATTTTGTCATTATATTATCGAATTGACTTCTGTTATTTGATTTTCTCAAACTGTGTTGTTGTTCAAAAATATATTCCACTTATTCATTGCTTGACCCTCATCCCTGTTCGGTTTCCTATTGCACTGACTTGACTTCTCCACCCCCCCCCCCTTTCCCCCCTTATTCCAATCAAAACCATACTTTTGCTCTCCATGCATGCAGCCATCCAAGTTCGACTCAGGGCCGCCTCTCATTGCCACGCCTCCGGGCATCACCACCGTCTCCACTGACGATGGGGGAGACCCACCTCTAGAAACATTCCTACCCGCCTTCCTCTCTCCTTTAACAACCCTTGTCTCTCCATCCATGCGTGCAGCCGTCCAAGTTCGACTCAGGGCCGCCCCTCATGGCGACGCCTCCGGGCATCACCACCGTTTCCACCGACGATGGGGGAGACCCCCTCACCACCAACCTCTATGTCGGCAACCTGTCCCCGAAGGTAAGGCGTGAAGCACGGCGTGGGGTGTGGCGTGCAACAGGTGATGATGGGCATCACCACCGTTTCCACCAACGATGGGGGAGACCCCCTCACCACCAACCTCTATGTCGGCAACCTGTCCCCGAAGGTAAGGCGTGAAGCACGGCGTGGGGTGTGGCGTGCAACAGGTGATGATGGGCATCACCACCGTTTCCACCAACGATGGGGGAGACCCCCTCACCACCAACCTCTATGTCGGCAACCTGTCCCCGAAGGTAAGGCGTGAAGCACGGCGTGGGGTGTGGCGTGCAACAGGTGATGATGGGCATCACCACCGTTTCCACCAACGATGGGGGAGACCCCCTCACCACCAACCTCTATGTCGGCAACCTGTCCCCGAAGGTAAGGCGTGAAGCACGGCGTGGGGTGTGGCGTGCAACAGGTGATGATGGGCATCACCACCGTTTCCACCAACGATGGGGGAGACCCCCTCACCACCAACCTCTATGTCGGCAACCTGTCTCCCAAGGTAAGGTGTGAAGCACGGAAAGGGGTGTGGCGTGCAACAGGTGATGATGGTTGCAGTGTGTTGTTAATTAGGAGTGGTGGACTGGACGGTTCGCCCATCACCACGGCCTGGGGTGTGGCGTGCAACAGGTGATGATGGTTGCAGTGTGTTGTTAATTAGGAGTGGTGGACTGGACGGTTCGCCCATCACCACGGCCTGGGGTGTGGCATGCAACAGGTGATGATGGTTGCAGTGTGTTGTTAATTAGGAGTGGTGGACTGGACGGTTCGCCCATCACCACGGCCTGGGGCGTGGCATGCAACAGGTGATGATGGTTGCAGTGTGTTGTTAATTAGGAGTGGTGGACTGGACGGTTCGCCCATCACCACGGCCTGGGGTGTGGCGTGCAACAGGTGATGATGGTTGCAGTGTGTTGTTAATTAGGAGTGGTGGACTGGACGGTTCGCCCATCACCACGGCCTGGGGTGTGGCGTGCAACAGGTGATGATGGTTGCAGTGTGTTGTTAATTAGGAGTGGTGGACTGGACGGTTCGCCCATCACCACGGCCTGGGGTGTGGCGTGCAACAGGTGATGATGGTTGCAGTGTGTTGTTAATTAGGAGTGGTGGACTGGACGGTTCGCCCATCACCACGGCCTGGGGTGTGGCGTGCAACAGGTGATGATGGTTGCAGTGTGTTGTTAATTAGGAGTGGTGGACTGGACGGTTCGCCCATCACCACGGCCTGGGGTGTGGCGTGCAACAGGTGATGATGGTTGCAGTGTGTTGTTAATTAGGAGTGGTGGACTGGACGGTTCGCCCATCACCACGGCCTGGGGTGTGGCGTGCAACAGGTGATGATGGTTGCAGTGTGTTGTTAATTAGGAGTGGTGGACTGGACGGTTCGCCCATCACCACGGCCTGGGGTGTGGCGTGCAACAGGTGATGATGGTTGCAGTGTGTTGTTAATTAGGAGTGGTGGACTGGACGGTTCGCCCATCACCACGGCCTGGGGTGTGGCATGCAACAGGTGGTGATGGGAGTCGTCAGTGAGTAAGAAAGAACCGAATACGTAACGGTGAGTTGTTTGTAAGATAGGAGTGGTGAGTGATGGAGGTGAGATCATCGTGCTTTCACTCTTCCGTTGCACTTGCGGTTCTTCACGCTCACGTCCTCCCACACGTTCCCACGTCTTCCCTCATGTCCTTGTAACCAGCTCGGAGATTTCCTGCTAAACTAGTGCCGTGCCACCGCTGCCCAATGACTTACCACATGAGATGTCGTCCACCGGATCCGAGCCTAGATAGAAGTAATTTTAGTAGGCGTTGAGGGTTGGGAGCGTAGGGGATGGGTTTGATGGACGCTTCAAGCGAATGCCTACTGCAATGCATGAGGCGTCCAGCAAACTCGTTCCCTGAGCCTCAAATCTTTTGTGGTATATTAAAAGCACTTTCATCCAGGCTCAGATCTGGTGGGGGACATTTCACGAGGTATGATCTTGGGCAGCGCCGCAGCGGTGGCACGACACTAGTTTGTAATTATTCCAGGTGGACGCGAATTTTCTTATAAGGACGTTTGACCGGTTTGTGCAGATTAAGAGTGTCAATATCATGTGGTTGCATGGCGCTTCAACTTTTGCAATCGCTTCCTTCCCTCCATTCCTCTTCTCTCTTCCGCCTCCCTTCTTTGCATCCCTGGTCAGGTGGACGAGAACTTTCTCCTGAGGACGTTTGGGAGGTTTGGGCCGATAGCGAGCGTGAAGATCATGTGGCCGCGCACAGAGGAGGAGCACCGCCGACAGCGCAACTGCGGCTTCGTGGCGTTCATGAAGCGCGCCGATGCTGCCAAGGCCAAGAACGAGATGGACTGTACGTGTCAGGAGGGGTGGATGACCTGTGTGTGTGCAGTTGGGTTGGGGGGAGGATTGTGGGGCATGACTGTTGGGGTACTTTGAGAAGCAGCACCCAGGGGGCTGTGGCGTTCATGAAGCGCGCCGATGCTGCCAAGGCCAAGAACGAGATGGACTGTACGTGCTGGGAAATGGGGGAGGGGGAGAGGGTTTGTGGGAAGTGGTGATTCAAGGGGGAATGGTGGGGAATGGTGGAGGGCAATGGTGGAAGGTGGGAGGAGTGCCGGGGAATGGCTGAGGTTGAGGGGGGGAACGGTGGAGGCTGGTGGGAATGGTGGAGGTTCGGGGGGGATGGTGGAAGTTGGATGAAGTGGTGGTGGTGGAGGCTGGAAGAAATGTAGGGAATCTGAGACGACTCAAGCCACCCACCCCCTCCCTCTCCCCCACCCCACCAGACGCAAGCAGGCATGGTGGTGTATGAGTGCGAGATTTGTACGAGTATGAGATCCGCATATAGTGGGGCAAGGCCGTCTCTCTCTTGAGCCAACTCCATGCCACTGCCCAATCTCCTTGCCATTCATTCCCCGCCCTCCCACACACGCGCAGGCATGGTGGTGTACGAGTATGAGATCCGCATAGGGTGGGGCAAGGCCATCTCTCTCTTGAGCTAACACAATACTCATTCACTTCCCCAATCCCTCCCCCCCACACACGCGCAGGCATGGTGGTGTACGAGTATGAGATCCGCATAGGGTGGGGCAAGGCCATCTCTCTGCGGCTCTGCCTGCCTCGGCCCTCCCGGCGCCTCCCCCCAGCCAGATGGCAGTTCGCCCCAAGGAGCTGCCGCCCAACTCAGGAGAGGCTGTTGCTGCCAACAGCCCTTACTGGCGCTTCCAGCAACACTGTTATTGCCAATAGCGCCCGCAATTCACACCCATCTCCTTACCTGCCCCACCTCCCCCTACCCCCTCTTCCCGCTCCCCCTCTGCCCCACACCCACACACATCCAGGCATGGTGGTGTACGAGTATGAGATCCGCATAGGGTGGGGCAAGGCCGTCTCTCTGCCCGCCTCGGCTCTCCCAGCGCCTCCGCCCGGCCAGATGGCTGTTCGCCCCAAGGAGCTGCCGCCCAACTCAGGAGAGGCTGTTGCTGCCAACAGCGCTGTTATTGCTAACAGTGCTGACCCTCTTGCTGCTGCTGCCGCCGCTGCTGCTGCTGCTGCTGCTGCGATCAACATGGCTAGCTTGGGAGCAGAGAATGCGGAAGTGGTGAGTGTTCAGGGGAGGCTGTTGCTGCCAACAGCGCTGTTATTGCTAATAGTGCTGACCCTCTTGCTGCTGCTGCCGCTGCTGCTGCTGCGGCTGTGGCTGCGAAACATGGCTAGCCTTGGGGCAGAGAACGCGGAAGTGGTGAGTGTTCAGGAGAGGCTGTTGCTGCCAACAGCGCTGTTATTGCTAACAGCGCTGACCCTCTTGCTGCTGCTGCCGCCGCTGCTGCTGCTGCTGCGGCTGCGATGAACATGGCTAGCCTGGGAGCAGAGAACGCGGAAGTGGTGAGTGTTCCGGGGAGGCTGTTGGCTGTTGGCTAATAGTGCTGACCCGCTTGCTGCTGCTGCCGCCGCTGCTGCTGCGGCGGCGGCTGCGATGAACATGGCTAGCCTGGGAGCAGAGAATGCGGAGGTGGTGAGTGTTCAGTGAAAGTTCACGGTCCAGAGGTTGGCTGCTGCCAGTTCGTCATGCCAACAGCGCCGGGCCGCTTGATGCTGCTGCTGCGGCTGCGATCAACATGGCGAGCCTGGGAGCAGAGAATAGGGATGAGCAAGGGGCGAACACGAGCATGTTCGTGTTCGCCCCTACACGAACACATCCGTTTGCCGAACCGAACACTGTTCGGTTCGGCGAGCACTTTAAGCAAAACTGGTGTTCGCCGTTCGCCTGTGAAGGCGTGTTCGGGCGAACCTCGAACACACAAACCTGTTCGTTTTTTTGCTCATCCCTGGCAGAGAATGCGGAGGTGGTGTGTGTTCATTGAGTGTTCATCGTCCATCCATGGGGTGTGTTGCTGCCAACAGCGCTGTTATTGCTAATAGCACTGACCCGCTTGCTGCTGCTGCCGCCACTGCTGGGGCTGCGGCTGCTATCAACATGGTGATTACTCAATGAAGGTTCATCGTCCAGGGGTTTGGGGTTTGAGGTATGTTGCTCTTACTTCACTCCTTGCGTTTTACCCTTTCTTCACCCCTCCTTACTCTTATTACCCCTTGTTTTGCCCCCTCCCACTTCCAGGTCATCACGCCGAACGTGCCAGACATCAAGATAGTCCCGCCCAAGGATCCACATCAGCGCCACGTCATCGACACGCTGGCGCTGTACGTGCTGGACGACGGGTGCATGTTGGAGCAGGCCATCATGGAGCGCGGCCGCGGCAACCCGCTCTTCTCCTTCCTCTTCGATCTTGGCTCGCCCGACCACACTTATTATGTGTGGCGAGTCTTCTCTTTTGCACAGGTAGGTGCTTATTTCTGAGTGCTTCTCCCTGTTTGGCACCCTGTGAGCTGCACTCTGTGTGGGACCTATACCATAGCATAGTGGGCGCACTGGCGCTGTATGTGCTGTACAGGCTGGGCTGTGGTGGACGACGGGTGCATGTTGGAGCAGGCCATCATGGAGCGGTGCATGGTGAGTGTAGGCTAGAGTGTAAGGCGCTGTTTGTGTTGTACGGGCTGGGCTGGGGTGGACGACGGGTGCATGTTGGAGCAGGCCATCATGGAGCGCGGCCGCGGCAACCCGCTCTTCTCCTTCCTCTTCGATCTTGGCTCGCCCGACCACACTTATTATGTGTGGCGAGTCTTCTCTTTTGCACAGGTAGGTGCTTATTTCTGAGTGCTTCTCCCTGTTTGGCACCCTGTGAGCTGCACTCTGTGTGGGACCTATACCATAGCATAGTGGGCGCACTGGCGCTGTATGTGCTGTACAGGCTGGGCTGTGGTGGACGACGGGTGCATGTTGGAGCAGGCCATCATGGAGCGGTGCATGGTGAGTGTAGGCTAGAGTGTAAGGTGCTGTTTGTGTTGTACGGGCTGGGCTGGGGTGGACGACGGGTGCATGTTGGAGCAGGCCATCATGGAGCGCGGCCGCGGCAACCCGCTCTTCTCCTTCCTCTTTGACCTTGGCTCGCCCGACCACACTTATTATGTGTGGCGCATCTTCTCCTTCGCCCAGGTAGGTGCTTCTTTCTGAGTGCTTCTCCCCTGCTGTTCCGCCACCCTCTGGCCTGCACAGTGGGGCAGGGGGGCAACCCTCTCTTCTCCGTCCTCTTCGACCTCGGCTCGCCCGACCACACCTATTACGTCTGCCGCGTCTTCTCCTTCGTCCAGGTAACCTCTCCTTCCCTGTGAGGCTAGAGCTCCATCCATGTGCTGCTGCAGCTGCACGGTGCGGCCGCAACAACCCGCTCTTCTCCTTCCTCTTTGACCTCGGCTCGCCCGACCACACCTACTATGTGTGGCGCGTCTTCTCTTTCGCCCAGGTGCTTATTCTTAATGTTTCACCCAGATGACATCTCTGTCTTGCTCCTGCCTCTTGTCACTGCATCTCCTGCTGCTGTTCACAGGGAGACACGCGGCAGCAGTGGCGCGCAGACCCCTACATCATGATTGCAGGCAGCGGCAGGTGGATCCCACCCTCTCCAGCAGCCTCTGCTCTGCACTCAGTCTCAATACATGCTTCTGTCTTCTTTGTTCCCTGTACTGCTGTCTGCATCACAGGGGGATACCCTGCAGCGGTGGCGCACAGATTCCTACATCATGATTGCAGGCAGCGGCAGGTGGATCCATCCCTCTCTAGCAGGCTCTATTCTCAGTCTCCGTATAACCTGTCTCGTTTTTCTTTCCATATGTACTGTGTATATGTCCGTCACAACAGGGAGACACCCTACAGCGGTGGCGCACAGATCCCTACATCATGATATCAGGCAGTGGCAGGTGGATTCCGCCTACTTTGCCCAAGACGGACGAGCTCGCGGGGCCCACCATCCTAGATAAGGACAAGGGCGGCTCCACCTACGCTGCAGGGAAGCCAAAGGTGAGTAAGTTGATGCGGGTAAGGTAAGCCAAGAGAAAGGGGATCGTTCCTGTACGCCCCCCTCTACCCCGAATGGACTACCTCATGGGCCCCACCATACTGGACAAGGACAAGGTTGGATCGACCTACGCTGCAGGGAAGCCAAAGTTGAGGAAGTTGATGCGGGTAGTGCAAGCTAAGAGAAGGGGGATCATAGGGATCCCTCAGTCTCCAGTTTTGGGTGGACGACAAGTCTGGCTGAAGCCTGTTCTCCTGCCATTGCTTTTCCCTGTGCTTGGTCCTTTCCCGTACCCTCAGGAGCATTCTCTGACAGACAAGCAGCGGGACAGGTTTGAGGAGATGCTGAGGGGACTCCCTTTGGAGGTTTGTGAATCAGCACAGGAATCTTTAGCTGAGTAAGCCTGCTCTCTTCCCATCCCTTCTCCCTTTCCCCCGTGGCCCCCCAGGAGCACTCACTGACAGACAAGCAGCGGGACAAGTTTGAGGACTTTCTGAGGCGACTTCCTCTGGAGAGGGAGGATATTTGCAACGCCATGGCGTTTGCCCTCGACCACGCAGAAGCAGCCTCTGACACCCGTCCCCCCTGCCCCCTGTATCCTCCCAGGAGCATTCGCTGACGGACAAGCAGCGGGACAGGTTTGAGGACCTGCTGAGGCGACTCTCTCTGGAGAGGGCCTCACCTTAACCTAATATCTGCTCTACCCCTTGTGCGCTTGCTATCCCTCCTCTCTGTGTCCTCACAGGAGCATTCCCTGACAGACAAGCAGCGGGACAGGTTTGAGGATTTACTGAGGCGGCTCTCTCTGGAGAGGGAGGATATCTGTAACGCCATGGCGTATGCCCTCGACCATGCAGAAGCACGGCTGATAAGGACGCTCACTCCCCTCCAACGCTCTGAACCACTGCTTGTTTGTTTGTTCTCCTGTCTTCTCTTGACCCTGTGTCCTTCTCAGGAGCACTCGCTGACGGACAAGCAGCGGGATAAGTTTGAGGACTTACTGAGGCGACTTTCTCTGGAGAGGGAGGACATCTGCAACGCCATGGCGTTCGCTTTAGACCACGCAGAAGCAGCCACAGACATAGTCGAAGTGCTGATTGAATCCCTCACCCTCCTCGAAACGCCCATCCCCCTTAAAGTCGCACGCCTGATGCTTGTATCAGACATCCTCCACAACTCGTCTGCCCCCGTCCGGAACTCGTCGGCCTACCGGACCGCTTTCCAGGGGTATTTACCCGACGTGATGGAGAGTTTCAACGACTGTTTGAGCGTGGTTTCGGGCAGGATGACTGCTGAGGCTCTCAAGGACCGTGTGCTGAAAGTGATTCAGGTGTGGGCGGATTGGTTTTTGTTCTCCGAGGCGTATTTGAACGGGCTTAGAATGACGTTTCTGAGGGCGGTTGGGACGGCTGTGCCTCCGTTTCACACTCTGCCGGAGGATGAAGAGGAGGAGGAGCAAGGGGGAGGTGGGAATGGGCCTGGTGGGTCAAAAGATGCGAATCAAGGTGCGGGTGGTGTTGGTGGTGGTGCTGACGCTGCTGCTGCTTCGGCAGAAGGATCAGCAGTACCAGCAGCAGAGGGAGACACAGCAGCAGCAGCAGCAGCAGCAGCAGAGGCTTCTGTGCCGGTTTCTCCAGAGGAGGCAGCCCGAAAGGAGCTTCTCGCACTCCCATTGGTGGAGCTCAAGCGTCGCTGCAAGCACAACGGCTTATCAACCCGAGGGGGAGTGCCTATCATGGTGGCCCGACTGCTTTCGTTAGATGCGGCTGAACAGGCTAAGAAGGCTGCCGAAGCAGAGGCAGCTGCTGCGGCGGCTGCTGCGGCCGAAGCTGCGGCAGAGGCTCGGAGGGCGAACATCGCGAAGCGAATGGAAGGGAGTGTGGGGTGGTCGGGATGGGTTGAGGTGAAGAAGGAGGAGAAGGAAGGGAGCAAGGGCGATGTGGGTGGGGAGGGGGGTAAGGCTGGTACTGCTGCTGATAGTGGTGGTGCTGCACTGCCAAAGAAGTTTGTCCTGCCTACACCTGAGCTTAAAGCCTTTGGATCGAAATTGGAGAAACTGGAGAAACTAGGGCCGCTTCTGAAATCGGTTAAGCTTAAGCTGGAAAAGAAAGCCGTCGGTTTGCCCCAGTCAAAGTGGAATAAGGATGATGAGGATGAAGATGAGGAGGGGGGAGGAAAGGGAGAGGATGAAGAGGGGAATGAGGAGGGGGATGATGACGAGAGGGGAGGGAAGAAGGGGAAGAAGAGGAGGGAATCGGTAGGTGGGAGTGATGCTGCGGATGGTTCTCGTTCTGCTGGTGTTGCGGCTCCGTCCCCCTTTAAAGCTGCCTCGATTGTCTCATACAACTCGTCAGACGAAGACGAAGGCTCACCACCCCGGCGCACCTCCGCCGCCCACCGAAACTCTGTCTCTTCTGGGGGAGGTGGTATCCAGGGGAGCCGGCAGATGCACATTCAAGACCAGCAGGAGGAGGAGGAGAGGAGGGCAAAGCAGAGGAAACTAGAGCTAGCAGTTTTGGAGTTTAGAGATGCCTTAGAGGCTCAGAATTTCAAGGCTTTTGAGGTGGAAGTGAAGGTTGCGGCGCACAGGAAGAAGCTTGAAGAAGAAATGGCGGCTGGGACGTGGCCGCCCATGATTGGTCGGTTGGCGTCGGGTGGGCGACAAGCGTCGGCTGCGTACGGGGCACCGCTTGGGACTCCAGGTACGCGACTGATGCTTGCTGTTTCGGTTTTTCTTTCTTTCTTTTGTTCTTTTTTATTTTTTCAAGAGCTTTTGTTCCCTTACTTACTTTGCTGTTTATCTCATGTTTCGGGCCTTCTGATTATGTGATACTGTTTTTTGGCCTTAGCCATTCTAACCACCCCTGGCTCTCCCCTCAACCCACCACCACCACCACTATTGGAACCCATCACTCCCCCCCTTCCTACAATCACCCCTGCTACAATCACATTCGCTGCGATCATCCTCGTCCCTTAATTAATGTGTACGTACGGTAAGCAGGGAGGAGAAGGGAGGAGGTGGGGGTGGCAGCAGCAGGGGGGGAGGAAAGAGAGGAGGGAAGTGAAGGGATAAAAAAACATGTGACCTCGTCTGATCAGGAGCAGCAGGGAGCTAAGCAGAAACGAAGCCGCAACAGGAGCAGGAGCAGAAGCAAGAGCAGGAGCAGAAGCAGGAGCAGAAGCAGGGAGCGGGAGCGGGATAAGGAGAGGGAGAGGGAACGAGCGAGAGATCGTGAGAGAGGGAGGGCGAAGGAGAAGGAGAGAGAGGAGAGGGAGAAGAGTGGGGAAGGGCGGGACTCTAGTAGTGATGAGGGTGATAGGTCACAGGATAGGGAGATGGGGAAGGGGAGGGAGGAGAGGAGAAGGAAGGATAAGGACAAAGAGAGGGAGCGGGAGAAGGATAGGAAAAGGGGTAGGGAGAAGGAAAGGGAGAGAGACCGGGATTTGAAGGAAGCGGATCGTGAGGATAGGGATGATAAGAGAGGAGGTGATAGGCACAAGGACAGAGGTAAGGATAGAGAGAGGGAGAGGGAGAGGGAGAGGGAAAGAGGCAAGGACAAAGAAAGAGATAGGCAGAGGGATAGGGATAGAGGTAAGGATAGGGAGGAGCGGGAGAGAAGTAGAGATGGGGAGAAAGAGAGGGACAAGGAGCGAGAAGGAGACCGGGACAGGCACCGAGATAGTCATAGGGATAAAGACAGGGAGACAGAAAGGGAGCGAGATCGGGAGAGTGCGAAGGACAGAGAGCGTGAAAGAGAGAGGGAGCGGGGGAAGGACCGTGGGAGGGTGAGGGAGAGAGACGAGGACGACAGAGAGAGGGAGACGGAGAAGAAGAGCCGGAGGTGAGGGCTGCGAGGATAGATGTTTTGGGTGGAGACGGAAAATGTATTGTTACAACAAGAGAGACAGTAACAAATATACTTGTTGGGTAGGGAGTTGGTAGTTTTTCCGGTGCCTAAATTACCGAGAGACATGCTGGAGCGATTAGGCAGGGAATCAAGCATGGGATTATTTGGAAAGGTTCAAACTATTAGATATGGTTTTAGATGGTTGTTACCAAAAAATTGTGGCCCCAGGATGCATTTAGTGTTCTGTTTGTGTCTCATCTGACTTGTCAAAATCATGTTAGAGCGTATTCCTATCCTCGTATCAAGAAAACCTCATATCAAGATTGTACTTTTTGCCTGGTAAAAGTAGCGAGAGGTTTTGGGTTTAGGGAAATTTTCAGTGGGAGGTTGATATGAGGTTTTCTTGATACGAGGATAGGAATACGCTCTTAGACCTGAATTACAAAAAAAGGAAGGCAAACTGTACACAGTTTGCCTACCGAACCCACAGTTGACCTCCCGAGCCAGGCTGGTTACCAGAAAACAAAGCGCCAAAAAACAGAATGTCGTAGAGCAGAACGGGTTTGGTTGGCGAGAGTCCCAACCACACCCTCCTGAAGGAACAAGGGCTCAAAATGTGCACAGTTTGCCTTCTTTGGTAATTCAGGTCGTGCGATTTCCATAGTACGCGAAGCGATTAGATCATGCGAAGAGAAAGAATAAAAAGCCACTAAAGCATAGGCCATGAGCATTTTCACCTTTAGTCCTAGCCCATCCCCAAACATCGCATTTGGACCTATCGCCTTCCGCGTCCCCCACGCTTCTCCCCACCGTCTCTCACACACCTCCCCACGCACACGCCCACGCTTCCCCTCACCGTCGCCCACGCTTTCCCCCACCGTCGCTCACGCTTCCCCTTACCGCCGCTCACGCTTCCTCCTGCCTTCCCCCACGCTTCCCCACACCGTCGCTCACGCCTTCCCCCACCTTCCCTCACGATTCCCCTCTCATCGCCCACGGTTCCTCCTACCGTCGCCCACGCTTCCTCCCACCGTCGCCCACGCTTCCTCCCACCGTCGCCCACGCTTCCCCCCACCGTCGCCCACGCTTCCCCCCACCGTCGCCCACGCTTCCCCCCACCGTCGCCCACGCTTCCCCCCACCGTCGCCCACGCTTCCCCCCACCGTCGCCCACCGCCACCGTCGCCCACCGCCACCGTCGCCCACCCCCACTGTCGCCCACGCTTGCCCTCCCATCGCCCTCGGTTAGCCTTCCCGCCGACCTCCCTTCTCTCCCACCTCTCTCCACGTCGTCATCACTCCCCTGCCTATCACGTTCCCCCTCTTCACCGTCGCGTCTCCACCCATGCCGCCCACCCTCTCATCCCTTCCCATCGCATTTAGGGTCGTCGTTGTGTCCCTTCCCCATTGCCTCGTTAGGTCGCTCACGCTCTCCCCATTACCACCTTCTCTACTCCTACCATCGCCCATGGTTACCACCCCACCCTTATTTCCTTCTCTCGCATTCTCCCTCCCCATCAGCCTCTCACCCACCCTGGGCGGGGAGGTATGGCGGGCTGGGCTGGGAGCTGGGGAAGGGGTCGTGACTCGTTCGCTGTGGGGTGTGGAAGGGTGCGTGGTCAGCAGCACCCACCCTTCTCTCTCTTGCACTGACCTCCTCTCCTTTCTCGCACCAACCCCACACGCATGGCAGGTGGTGGTGCGGCTTTGGAGCAGAGTGTTTGGCGCACAGCCAGGGCAGCGCGTGCAGGCGGGCAGCAAGGAGTGCAATGCTGCAGGGGGCGGGTCAGGGGAGCGGGGGAGGCGGGGGAGGCGGGGCAGGGGAGGCGGGGGTTAGGGAGAGAGGGTGCAGGGATCCTCCTATCCCCCGTTCCACCCTTATACCCTGCCACACTTTTACCTCCTGCCCTCCTCCCTTACTCCGTTCTGTCGTTCCCCCACAGTCGTCCTCCTCTCCCTCTCCCTTCCTCCCTTCCTCCATCTCTCTGCCTCACTACCCTCTTTACCCTCTCTGTTGCCCGTCCTCCCTTCCTCCCATCCTTCCTTCCTGCCATTCTTCCTCTCCTCATCCTCCCTCGATCCAGTCCCCCTTCCCCTTTCCATCTCCCACTCTCCCACTCCCTTCCTCACGCCAACCCTGCTCCTCCGTTCCACCCTTCTACCTTCCCCCTTGTACCCAGCCGCACTTTTTCCTCTCATCCGCCCATCATCTCATCCGCCCATCATCTCATCCGCCTGTCCTCTCATCCGCCCATCATCTCATCCGCCCATCCTCTCATCCGCCCATCACCTCATCCGCCCATCATCTCATCCGCCCATCATCTCATCCGCCCATCATCTCATCCGCCCATCATCTCATCCGCCCATCCTGTCATCCGCCCATCACCTCATCCGCCCATCATCTCATCCGCCAATCATCTCATCCGCCCATCCTCTCATCCGCCCATCACCTCATCCGCCCATCCTCTCATCCGCCCATCATCTCATCCGCCCATCACCTCATCCGCCCATCATCTCATCCGCCAATCATCTCATCCGCCCATCCTCTCATCCGCCCATCACCTCATCCGCCCATCCTCTCATCCGCCCATCATCTCATCCGCCCATCATCTCATCCGCCCATCATCTCATCCGCCCATCCTCTCATCCGCCCATCATCTCATCCGCCCATCCTCTCATCCGCCCATCATCTCATCCGCCCATCCTCTCATCCGCCCATCATCTCATCCGCCCATCATCTCATCCGCCCATCCTCTCATCCGCCCATCATCTCATCCGCCCATCCTCTCATCCGCCCATCATCTCATCCGCCCATCATCTCATCCGCCCATCCTCTCATCCGCCCATCATCTCATCCGCCCATCCTCTCATCCGCCCATCATCTCATCCGCCCATCCTCTCATCCGCCCATCATCTCATCTGCCCATCATCTCATCCGCCCATCCTCTCATCCGCCCATCATCTCATCCGCCCATCCTCTCATCCGCCCATCATCTCATCCATCCATCCTCTCATCCGCCCATCATCTCATCCGTCCATCCTCTCATCCGCCCATCCTCTCATCCGCCCATCCTCTCATCTGCCCATCATCTCATCCGCCCATCATCTCATCCGCCCATCCTCTCATCCGCCCATCATCTCATCCGCCCATCATCTCATCCGCCCATCATCTCATCCGCCCATCCTCTCATCCGCCCATCACCTCATCCGCCCATCCTCTCATCCGCCCATCATCTCATCCGCCCATCATCTCATCCGCCCATCCTCTCATCCGCCCATCATCTCATCCGCCCATCCTCTCATCCGCCCATCATCTCATCCGCCCATCCTCTCATCTGCCCATCATCTCATCCGCCCATCCTCTCATCCGCCTATCATCTCATCCGCCCATCCTCTCATCCGCCCATCATCTCATCCGCCCATCCTCTCATCCGCCCATCATCTCATCCGCCCATCATCTCATCCGCCCATCCTCTCATCCGCCCATCATCACATCCGCCCATCATCTCATCCGCCCATCTGTCAAACTATATACGTGCTAGTTCTGTGTAGGCTATAGTGGGGTAGCCTGTATGGGGTACAACCCAATGTTAGGGTTAGTACTTGTACCCACAATCCTATCAATGCAGTCTTTCCTGCTTGCTATCTTGACATGGTTTCAGAGCAGTAGGTCCGTAGGACCTTTTTTTTTTCGGGCCCACCATTACCTAGTGTCCGACTGCGGTTACCGCGTTACCCCACGCCTTGCCCTGCGCTGCCCTATAGCGCGCGCCCTGCCCTGCCCTGCCTTGCGTCGCGCTGCCCCGCGCACGCCTTGCCCTGCCTTGCGTCGCGCTGCCCCGCGCACGCCCTGCCCTGCCTTGCGTCGCGCTGCCCCGCGCACGCCTTGCCCTGCCTTGCGTCGCGCTGCCCCGCGCACGCCCTGCCCTGCCTTGCGTCGCGCTGCCCCGCGCACGCCCTGCCCTGCCCCGCGTTGCGCTGCCCCGCGCGCGCCCTGCCCTGCCCCGCGTCCTGCTGCAGCTCGCGCCCTGCTGCCCTGCGCGTCGCGCCCTGCTGCAGCCCGCACGTCGCGCCTTGCTGCCTTGCGCATCGCGCCCTGCTGCCTTGCGCGTCGCGCCCTACGTCTGCCCCGCGCGTCGCGATCTGCTGCAGACAGCGCATCGCGTCCTGCTGCACCGCGCGTCGCGCCCTGCTGCAGCCCGCCGTCGCGCCCTGCTGCCCCGCGCGTCGCGCCCTGCTGCAGCCCGCGCGTCGCGCCCTGCTGCAGCCCGCGCGTCGCGCCCTCCTGCAGCCCGCGCGCCGCGCCCTGCTGCCCGCGCGTCGCGCCCTGCTGCAGCCAGCGCGTCGCGCCCTGCTGCCCTGCACAGTGCGCGCCCTGCTGCCCGCGCCGCAGAGGCCGAGTCGCGCCGCCCAGGCCGAGTCGCGCCGCCCAGCACGAGCCGCCCTGCCCAACCCGATCCACCCTACTGCTGCTGCTGCTGGTGGAGGTACTGCTAGGAGTACTGGAGGTGCTACAGCCTAGCCTCGCCAAGCGGCTCTGCTGCTCTTACTGCTGCTGCTGCTACTCGTGCTACTGCCTTCACTCCGTCCTGCCCTAGATGTCACGCTCCTCCTAGCTTGCCCGCCATGACTTCACTTCGCAGCAGCAGTGGGAGTGGTGCCGGCGGTGGTGGCAGCAGTGGGAGTGGTGGCGACCGTAGTAGCAGTCACTGTGGCGCTGTTCGGTGCGGAGTTTCTGGCGGTGGCCAGATGCAGCTACAGCGGCGTCCGACCCTTACGCCCCAGCAGCTTCGTGAGTGGCTTTACCAGCGTGGGACGTCTCCGAGTCCTGGTCGCTGCCCGTACGTCATTCGCACAGGTCGTCAAGCTGGTCAGACCTGTGGGACACCTGGTCACGCACAGTCCCGCTGCTTCTCCTATTTGGGTGACGCCTGGCACGCAGAGTTTGGAGACGATGCTGAGATCCCCCACTGGCTTGAGCTGCTTAGGTCGGGCGTTGATGTCTTTGCTTTAGACTATGACGCCATCCTTACTGCCATGTATGCTTTGCGTGGTGGTGCTGAGGGTGACTGTTACCTGTGTGTGCAGCACGACCCCGGTATAGAGGTTACTGCTCTAGGTGCTAGTGATGCTGCTGCCTTAGGTGCTAGAGAGTCTGCTCTCTTGGGTACTGCGCTTACTGAGGCCTTGCACACCTTCACGCTTGACTCAGGTGCTTCCCGCTGTTTTTTTCGCGATAGTACCGCACTCACACCACTTCCTGCACCTGTTGCTGTGTCTTTGGCTGACCCCTCAGGGGGCCCAGTTCTGGCACGGTCCACCACTGTGCTCCCGTGCCCGGCGGTTCCGTCTGGCTCACTGACAGGCCTCCACCTCCCCTCGTTCTCTACGAACTTGGTGAGCAACGCAGTTCTCCAGGACCAGTGGGTTGACACCTTTACCCCTGGAGGACAGCGTGTGGCGATCTGTACGTGTTCCCGGACCGGCCGCCACCTGGCCACGTTTACCCGTCGGCCAGGGTCGAGTCTTTACACACTGACGACTGTGTCTCCTCAGGTAGCTGCTGTCGGTCAGGTGCCTGCGTCAGGTCTGGTAGCCTCCCCCTGTGAGTGTCGCTCCCTGTCGCACCAGACTCTTCTCTGGCACCACCGCCTGGGTCACCCCTCCTTGCCACGTCTCCGTGGCATGCACCGTCGCCTCCTTGTGTCTGGTCTTCCCGAGTCTCTCCCTCCCCTCCCTGCCTCGCCTGCGCCGCCCTGCCTTCCTTGCGTCGAGGGGCGGCAGCGCGCCGCTCCTCACTCCTCCTCGTTTCCCCCGACAGAGGCTCCTCTGCAGACCCTCCACCTGGACGTGTGGGGCCCAGCCCGCGTTCGTGGTCAGGGCGGTGAGCGGTACTTTCTGCTGGTTGTCGACGACTACTCGCGTTACACCACGGTCTTCCCCTTGCGCACCAAGGGTGAGGTCCCTGCTGTCCTGATCCCTTGGATCTGAGCAGTTTGTCTCCAGCTCCGCCGCAGGTTCCGCCAGGACCTTCCTGTCCTGCGTCTGCACTCTGACAAAGATGGTGAGTTCACCTCCGACCTCTTGCGGGCCTTCTGTCAGGGGGAGGGCATCGAGCAGTCGTTCACGCTTCCGGGCTCACCGCAGCAAAATGGGGTTGCTGAGCGCCGCATTGGCTTGGTCATGGAGATCGCACGTACCTCCTTGATCCATGCGGCGGCTCCCCATTTTCTGTGGCCGTTTGCGGTCCGGTACGCCGCGCAGCAGCTCAACCTCTGGCCCCGTGTCTCCGTGCCGGAGACCTCGCCCACACTGCGTTGGACGGGGAAGGTTGGCGATGCGTCGCGTTTCCGAGTCTGGGGTGCTCGTGCCCTTGTCCGCGATACGTCCGCGGACAAGCTCTCCTCCCGCACCATTCCCTGTGTCTTCCTTGGCTTTGTCCCTGACGCGCCTGGCTGGCAGTTCTACCACCCCACCTCGCGCCGTGTCTTCCCCTCTCAGGACGTCACCTTTGACGAGTCGGTTCCTTTCTACCGTCTCTTCCCCTACCGCACTGCCCCTCTCCCTCCCCCGCCGCTTTTCCTCGCTCCAGGTCCCCCTCCGGTAGACCCCCTCCCCCCTCAGGGTCCTGCCCCTTCAGGTGTGTCTCAGGTAGACCCACTCCCCTTGGCTGAGCCTGTAGAGGTCACTAGCGACTCAGGTACTGCTGCGGGTGGTGCTGCTCAGGGTACTGCGTCTGGGGGTGCTGAGCCTGTGCGTGAGGTGCTGGGGGGTGCGGAGCCTGGGGGTGCTGAGCCTACGAGTGCGGAGCCTGGGGGTGCTGAGACTGAGGGTGCTGAGTCTGGGGGTCTCTCTTCACGACGGGGGCCTCTCTCACCACACCAGCTACGAGAGTGGATGGCGTGGCGTACCCGCCTGAGGTGTCGTGATGCTGGTGCTGGAGGTACTGCTGCTCGAGGTGCTGCGGTTGGAGCTGCTGGAGCTGCTCGTCGTGGAGGCGCTGGGGGTGCTGGCGCTGAGGGTCCTGGAGGTGCTCGTACCGGAGGTACTCGAGCTGCCGGGGTCCGTGGTGCTGGAGGCACTGGAGCTGGAGACCCTGGAGCTGGTGCTGTCGACCCTGGAGTTGGAGACCCTGGAGCTGGAGGTGCCGGTTCTGGGGGTGCTGCTGCTGGAGGCCCTGGAGCTGGAGGCTCTGGAGCTGGACCTGTCGACCCTGGCGTAGGAGACCCTGGAGCTGGAGGTGCCGGTTCTGGGGGTGCTGCTGCTGGAAGCCCTCCTGGTGCCGCGTTGCAGCTGTCACCTCTCTCGCCGCGGCAGCTGCGCGAGTGGCTTGCTTCGCGCACCCGCCTTCGGCGTCGCGCTACCGGAGCTGGAGGCACTGGAGCTGGAGGCGCTGGAGCTGAAGACCCTGGGGCTGGAGGTGCCGGTTCTGGGGGTACTACTGCTGGAGGCACTGGAGCTGGGGGACCTGGAGCTGGTGCTGTCGACCCTGGCGTTGGAGACCCTGGAGCTGGAGGTGCCGGTTCTGGGGGTGCTGCTGCTGGGGGCACTGAAGCTGGAGGCCCTGGAGCTGGTGCTGTCGACCCTAGAGTTGGAGACCCTAGAGTTGGAGACCCTGGAGCTGGAGGTGCCGGTTCTGGGGGTGCTGCTGCTGGAGGCCCTGGAGCTGGAGGCTCTGGAGCTGGTTCTGTCGACCCTGGCATAGGAGACCCTGGAGCTGGAGGTGCCGGTTCTGGGGGTGCTGCTGCTGGAGGCCCTCCTGGTGCCGTGTTGCAGCGGTCACCTCTCTTGCCGCGGCAGCTGCGCGAGTGGCTTGCTTCGCGCACCCGCCTTCGACGTCGCGCTGCCGGAGCTGGAGGCACTGGAGCTGGAGGCGCTGGAGCTGGAGGCGTTGGAGCTGGAGACCCTGGGGCTGGAGGTGCCGGTTCTGGGGGTACTGCTGCTGGAGGCACTGGAGCTGGGGGACCTGGAGCTGGTGCTGTCGACCCTGGCGTTGGAGACCCTGGAGCTGGAGGTGCCGGTTCTGGGGGTGCTGCTGCTGGGGGCACTGGAGCTGGAGGCCCTGGAGCTGGTGCTGTCGACCCTGGAGTTGGAGACCCTGGAGCTGGAGGTGCCGGTTCTGGGGGTGCTGTTGCTAGAGGCCCTGGAGCTGGAGGCTCTGGAGCTGGTCCTGTCGACCCTGGCATAGGAGACCCTGGAGCTGGAGGTGCCGGTTCTGGGGGTGCTGCTGGTGGAGGCCCTGGGGCTGGAGGTTCTGGAGCTGCTGGAGGAGCTGGTGCTGCTGGTGCTCGTCCTGGAGGTGCTGGAGCTGCTGGAGCTGGTGGTGCTGCGGGCTTTGGAGCTGGAGGCGCTGGTGCTGGAGGCGCTGGAGCTGGAGGTACTGGAGCTGGAGGCGCTGGAGCTAGTGGCGCTGGAGCTGGAGGTTCTGCTGCTGCTGGAGGTGCTGGTGCTGGTGGTACTGGTGCTGGTGGTACTGCACAGCCGCGACTGTTCTTCGCTCCGCCGTCACCGTCGTCTCTGTCACCGCCTAACTCCGTGCTTCGCCAGGTTCT